TTTCGATTTGAAGTGTAATAATAAAATATGACAGCTAAATTACTGAGAATAGAGGCATAAACCCCTAAAACAAAGGAATGAGATTTGCGTTCTCATATGCATTAATGTGCATAGTACTATTCTTATTTTATATCCATTATCCATGACCATTAAATATGCAAACTCATTAAAAGAATCAAAGGCTTGTTTGCCAATTCAAGTCGTAAAAAAACATTTGTCATATGTGATAGAAAAAGATACCTCGTGCTATTATTATACTTGCATGGTTGTTTAGGCTTGAAGAGTAAGATACCATATTCCTCAGGGCCTCAGGAATAACAACACATAAGGGTTATCACGGGTAGTGTATTCAATTATGTCCATGGTGTTGTTCATGTATGGAGACGACATTTACTACTTTCCATCGGGCGGGCAGTCAGCTTGTCTGCCATTTTAAATATCTTAAAAAATATTTTACAGAAATAGGTGTTATCTTGTGAAAGTCCATATCTACTTATAAAAGAGGCATCTTCAGGCAAATTATTAGATCGCTGCTTGGAGTTTAGTATTCACATTTCGCAGTTTGAATGCCGAATCAAAGGCGAAACATGTGTTTAGACGTGCTAAACATGCGTGGACGAAATGGAAGTCAGAAATTAGGGGCTAATATGAAAGTTTGTATCACTTCTGGTAGTAATAATGATGGTCAATCTTCGAGTGTTGGCTTCACACGCACATTAATGGTAACAGGATTTTAAAAAAAAATCTAACCAAATAACCAGTATCATAAAAAACTATATATCCATTACAGACCTGTCCGACAGCGATAGTAATACATAATACTAGGTCAATGGAAGCAGAATGAAATGTTGTATCACGTCTCACGTCGCATAAGCGACTACTGTCGCATGCCTATACCACATATAATAATCGCATAACTTGCACGTTCTGCAACGAGCTGGCATACCATGGTTCACTATAACACGTGATACTATAGATTTCTCATTTGAAATTTTATTCTTAGATTTAACACATTTATAACACTATCCAATATAATAAAAAATAATAATAATTAAAGATTGCGTCCCACAAAAAAAAACGAACTTCAATTGTGACAAAACCAGTTCTTTCGATCTAAAAATATATTTGATGAAATTTCTATGGAACCAATTAGTAAGTATCTGAAAGGATATATTCAGATAAAAAATAATTTTCTAAACCGGTTTAGAACTGACCTATGAATTGACAAGAACTGAGTTATGAATTGACAAACATAAAAAAATGAAACCAAATGAAGAACCTCCTTCTTTTTCAAGTCGATTGAAAATCACAGATAATAAAAATCCATCTCCTAATTTTCCACATTTGTTACTAAGTAATACTATAATTGAGAAAATAACTTTGTTTGAATGTTTGTTGCTTCTTAGCGCCATTGCTGTTTTATACACATACTATCTATATAAATCTTTCTATAGTTTTCTCCGTAGAAGGATATGGCTACTTTTATCCCGGTCAATGAACATATCCCGTTGCGAACGAAGTCGTGATTAAAAGTTAGAAATAAAATAAAAATAAAACTTATCAATGTTAGAAAATAAAGGAATAAAAGTCGATATAAACACTATATGTAGGTATTATACATAATACAATACCTTTTTCTGTACTTAGCACAATCAATAAACAATCTTATTGTATCTTTTTATTGAATTAAATCATTGAAAAAAAGAAAACAGATAAGCATATTATCGGTAATAAATTACAGTTATAAAAAGACATGTCAAGACTGTTTTTTTAACACTTTATTCTAAAGTCTTAACTCTTAAGAAAATAATGAGTATAATGGTTAGACTTATGTCATAAAAGGGATTTCTTCCAATCAACATTTGAATGTCTCAATTGGTGGAGACAAAAAAATAATAGCTAATTAAAAATGTAAAGATAATAAGTGTTATTATTTTTAATTATATGGAATAGATATAGAAAAATAGATTTTATAATACAGACATACTGTTATATTTGAATATACGGGTAGATATATGTATAAGTATGGAAAATATAATAGAAAAAAGACAAACATCATGTACATTTGATAGAAATGCTGGATAAGGGTTGGAAGAATAACTGCGGAAACTCGACTAAGTTTCGCAATGTTTGGATGTTCAACCTTAAGATCATCGTAACACCAATGGACAAAAACAAAACAATAATGCAAACGAAAACAAATTTCTTGTCGATCAACTAAAATATTTGGGTGAATCACACGTACTAAATTAAATATGGCACTTTCAAGGATTTTACACAAAAGATAGTTAAACTATTACCCGTGACTCGAACGTCATTTGTCACGATTAACACTGGCCCAGTTTGTAACATTTTATCAATATAAATAGATATATAATCAGGTACATCTGTCTTGTCTTGTATATATTGTAGTTAATTTGTATATACTGCAGACAGCTTTACATTTGCAATAAACCCATTAAAATACAAAATAATGTGCCCGAACACGAAAAAATTAGACCTAAATAAAAAACTTTCATTTTGGAAATAAAAACAAAAAAGATAAGCAGCATATTACGTTTAGATTCAGAAAAAAAAATATCCAATGCAGGAATTCATATAGGTATTTTAATGCATCTTAGAATGGCAAATAAACCGACGGTCCATTGATGGAAAATGGCAACCGTCGCCTATACACATGAACAGTGAAATGGATGTATATAATTAAAAGATTAATAATTAATAGAGCATATAATAAAGTCTAATAGGCATTTAAAAGTCAAACATTGCATGACATAATAGAGAATAAAATTAAGATGATTGATAGTGAAATAACGTTGTAATGCCCAGAGACAAACCAAATATTTTTTATTTATAGAACACATTTAATTTTCCAGATAACAAATTCACGACAAAAGACCTATTACGATACGTGTAAAGATAATTATGATACATCACGTACACTTTACGAGAATCTCCAGTGCGTTGTAATATAATTAATTACATTGTAAACAATAATATGTATTTGTTACATAGGCTATAAACAAAATAGATAACAAGACATACAAATATCAAACTTTTCTAAAAAACCTTAAAGATTAATGCAATAAATAATAAAAAAGGGCACAAAGGACATTCCATCGCATCACATCATCACACACTCCAATCGCCTGGCCAAAGCTAGGACACCCTGTATTGTTATGAGGATCTAGACAACGTACGAAAGGGAGCTCAAACCACTAAAGACACAATATTATATGAAAAAAGAAGAAGAAAAGAGTGTATATAAATTTTTTAGAGACTTTACTTAAAAATTCAATATGAATAAAAATCTAAATATTGGAAATATATATTAATTTTATTATTTTATTACAGTATCATGTAGGTATAATAATTAAATACGTTAAATACACAGCACAGCTGAGTCAATAAACTCACCTGACGCAGGCTCTTCTTGAAAATTTTGAACTTCATATTTTTATTGTGAACTAAAATTTGTAATATGAATACACTATACAAATAAATAAAATAGGCACTATAGATGTGTGTTGCTCACAAGGCCACAGATTATCACAAATACGTTTAATGACAGTGAAATTTTAAAATCCCGCGTAAATAAAAGCGCGGGCTGCGTTCGACGATACGCGACCGTCCCGCGCTGATCTAGATTCAGTTGTGATGTGTGTATGCAGCATTCATGTTATGTTGGAATGTGGGAATTCGTTCTGCAGTTATATTTTCTTGCTTTTCGTTAATCGTGAATATAAAATTGTTTACACGAAGTTTACATTAAACAGGCGCGAGTATAAAAATATAAAAACGTCCCACTACTGGGATAAGTATTTCAACATAAAATAAGATATATTAGCCTGCTAACCCACTACTCCAATGCTTGCCAGATGGGTTGCCATAGGGTTTGAGGGGAAAAGGATTGTTAGTAATAGGGCCTCATAACCCCATTGCGGGGGGAAAGGGCTCGTTAGAAATAGGAATTTTAGTCTCCATTACTATCAATATATATATTAGATCGACCTCCACGCGGTTCCCCCTGGTAAACATCGTCACGATGGGCTAACTGACCTGCTTTCATAAGTACAGGTAGTGAGGAATGATAAGTGAGGATGACCTCACCTATCATTCCTCACTAGTACCCCGCCAACGCATACCAATAGCGCAGGTGGGGTTACTATTTCATTCCACCCCATAAAAACGTCCACACTATATTCTTTTATGGAGTTTTTTTTTATTATATCTCAAACAGTGTTAGTGGAAATATCGTTTTATTTTTTTGTTTTTGTAATGTGCACATATACCTTATTGTAATTATTTCACATTTTTCGCCTCGGAAACTTCGGAGTTAAAAAGATGGGGATGTTTTTTTTTTCTCATATTTTCAATTATAACTCAAAAACTCCGCATCATAAAAATAAAAATCAGTTTTAAAATGTACAATTAAAACTGTTTCATATGATATCACACTTGGACTAGTAGGTCAATTTTGAAATTTTAAGTAGGATGTTTGAACTCCCAAGCAACGAATAAATTTATATTTTTTTAATTATTTCTATTGCAAAATATGCGGGTCAATGATATGTAAAACTTTCAAATATTCAAATTGATAGCATCAGTAAGTCGACCATGCAATAAATTTCCGAATTTTCCGGCTTAATTTCGTATTTTTGTTCATACCGGAATCGGCCTAGTAAATGAAGCTTAACATTTCATTCGTCATAAATTCTAATAGTCCAAACGAACGATATTTTAACACTTTCTATATTTTTAAACGTTATTTATTATGTAATTTTAACATCATATTTATGTTTCGTTCGTCCTCAAAATTTCAGATAATATTTCATAGTAGACCCTCCGTAGATGCTGAGATATAACACTGTAACAGACTGCCGGACGGCATAGTCGCAACATAAAGGTTCCTTTGTACCATTTTAGTACGGATCCGTAATTTAGGAAAGACCGTAATTATAGTATCAAGTATTAATATTTTATCTAAAAATAACACTTACCTCGTGATCTGGTCCTGGTTTAGACGCTAATCTCGCTTCATTTAGCTGGTTTTTTAAGGCCCTACAACAAAAATATAAATTAAAAAAAAAAAAACAAAAATATACTTTTTCATGTAGATCTATATCTACAAGACACCTATGACACAAAGTATTTGCGACTTCGAGAAATAGTTTTAACCCTGAATAACTGGCAACGAACTCAATAGATAACTTCTATCAAAGCAATGGATATTATGCATAGCAAATAAATTTAAAACGGTGTGGTAATTGTGATCACACTGCCAACGTACCATACCACGCCATAGCATACATATGCATAGTGACTAAAAAATCGTATTGTTAATCAATTATTAAATTTAAGATGACATTAAATATAGAATATATTTATTTAACAAAGTATGTTTGTATTAGCACAGAATTTATCATTGCCTCCTACACTAGGCTGAGCCTGTCCTGTAGGAAGCAGAACTCGTGTTATCATATACATGCATACAGATATTAAACATAGGCTTTTTAGCAGTATTGACAATTGTGTAACTAATTTGTATAATGCAATTATTTCTTTTAGATCTGACCACCAATACACATGTATGAATAAGAATTATGAATGTGTGTGTGTGCATGCGTGTGTGTGTGTGTGTGTGTGTGGTATATGTGGTGTGTGTTTTTTTGTGTATGTGTCGGTGTGTGTGTGTATCTGTGTGTGTATTGTATATTAACACCATATTGCTTTATTAATAAATTCATTATTGAAATAATTGAATCCAATCTACATAAATAATTTATAAAAGGAGTTTAATTTCTTTACCATTCCAGCCTGCCATCATATCCTCACTATATATCAATTAAACAGTCATTTACTTTATAAATAAATTATTAAAACATGTTAACCACCAATTCATTCATTCATTATTATGTAATTGAAACATAGGCATATGAATAATGCACCGCTTTTAAGGATAAAGCTGTCCATTGATTTCTCAGAGTGATCATTTCTTGTAATTGTTTGTATTTATAATATAGGAAACAATAAATAGTATCTATGTATCTACTTTACAATATTTCGACTACTATTTCTTTGGGAGAAATATTTAGCATCACTAATAGAAATTGAAATGTGGTGCTGGAGAAGGATGGAGAAAATTTAGCTGGAGGGATCGAATTAACAATGAGGAGGTCCTGCTTAGGGTTAAGGAAAAAAGACAAATTATTAGAACTATTGAGGACAGAAGGGGAAAAATGTTGGGACACTTGATACGACACGACGAACTTATGAACATTGTAATAGAAGGTAAGATAGAAGGAAGGAGGGGGAGAGGGAGACCGAGACATAGTTACATCAGGCAGATCAAGGAAGGAGTTGGTGTCGTCTCGTATCAAGAGGTGAAGAGACTCGCTGAAAATCGTAGTAAGTGGCAAGAGCTCCACCGACAAGATAAGCAGCTCTTAAATACATAGTTGTAGTAGTAGTAGTAGATGACTCTTTCAAACGAATGCATTAGCATTCCTTTGAAAAACAATAGAATATTAATTCTACCAGTAAATATTGGTTTCCCCAAAAAAAAACATGGAGTCGAAAATGACATAAAATTTTGTACTTCCCGTAATAATTCGTCACGTCCATCTTTTAAAGGAGGCTCAATTTTTTTAGCCTCCTTAATTTTTACTTATTAGGTTTGTATCCTAATATTTATATTCTATAATATAGATATATTCTTAGATTTACGTACAGCAAAAATACTAAGAATCTATATATATGTTACATAAATCGAAGTTATTATTCCAATTTTACACTATATAACGTAATTATAGTAATTCTATTTATTTTCCTAATATGAATTAAATTAAAAAAAAAATTACATATAGAGCTCCTCTGCCTGTCTGGCTTGTTTCTCGCGCCTGCGCAACAACTCTGCGCAGTGATTCAACGCTGTCAGAGTAGCGCCACATGTAGCCCGGAATGACGCGCTCGTCGCACGAACTTCCCCAGCATGCAGCGATAGGTCGTTACCTGCGAGCAAAGCAAAGAAATTATTAAATTACACTGTAACAGTATACTCTATACTAATATTATAATTGTCGCTGGTTCGATTCCTGCACTATACAAACATTTGTATTCACAGCTAGTATGGCTGTTTGTACTGATCTAGGTATTTTCTATATATAAAATGTATTTATTTTAAAAAAAACATTTAAATGTGTCATTTGTCTAGTACCCATAGTACAAACACTACTCCGTTTGGCACTAATTGGTGCTATGTAATATGTTCAGCAGTCTTTATTTATTTATTTAATAAAATAAAGCTATAATAAACAAGATTTGTAATGAATAAACTCATAAACTACTTGCCTAATTTTAAAAGCTCTTTCACCTATAAAAAGCTATTTTGTCAGCGAGTAACATAGTCTATATATTATTTTCGAAAATTCTATTATTACCCATGCGTAGCTGTGCTAGACGCTAATAATTTATATTACGCAAGTTGACCATATAATTTTTAAGTGACTACTAAAAGGAGAAGGTTGTCAAATCATTGTTTTATCATATGTTACGCGATTATAAATCCAATTCGGAATCAATTTTGTTATTAATTATATTCATCATTATCATCTCAGCCATTATCTATCTGTCCATTGTTGAACATAGGTCTTCTCCATAGTGCCATAAGAAACGGTCCTAAACCGTCCACATCCACAGACTCCCTGCAATATATGAAAAAAAAACAGCATGAAAAAATCTGCTGATAGATATAATAGATATAAAATGCTACATTCTAAATTAAAATGTTGTAAATCTAATCTACATAATCTAGTGTATAAAGTTATCACATACTTAGAATTACATAAACATTTATATTCCAATGAAACAATTTGGATTTGTGTGTAAATATATGTATCAATTTTCTTGTACTAAGAATTATGAAATCTACTCGTTATGATACATTATTTAACATGTTGGACTATGAATAATCGTGTTTGCGAAATACTTTGTTCACTTATTAGTGTTCCAATTTCCGTTAATATAGCTAACTGACTACGCTAATTACAAAAACGTCTAAAATGATATTTCAATCTTTTACTTCAAAATTATCACATAACATTGTGCAAAATACTAAAACGTAATGTATTTATCATCGTCTGTATAACATATGTATAACAATATAATGTACATACTATCTTTACGCTAGATCCTAGGGTTGTTAGAAAAAATTTAAAATGTTTACCATCAGCCAATTTGACAGCATCAATTGCATCTGTGGTATCATCACTAATTTGAGGGTAGGTGGCAACACACATGTCAAAGTACTGTTGCAACTGTACAGCTTGTTTTGACAACAACTCGGTGTATGTATCCAACTCTTGTATCTTTTCTGTGAGACGCCGTGTTGTTCTTCCTGAAACATTATTTGTTATTGTCAATTTTCTTCTCTTGTTATGTCTAACAAACTGTTGTTCTACCAAATAGATTTACAGTTGAATTTTTTGCGCTAATATTACAAATATTAAAATTAATATCTTTGCTTGTTTGTTTGTTATACCTTTAACTAATATTATAAATTTGAATATATATTCCCAAAAAAATATTTCTTTAACATGTTTTCGAGACTAGAACAGATTTAAATGTAAAGATTAACCATATCTCATATTAACATACAGGATACCTTTTACTATATAACTCATGTAAACAAAATGTGGGTTTAGAAAAAAATTATAATAACCATGAGATCCAGTGGACTGTAACGATGTAACCGAGCCATGTCTCCGAAGACCACCTCCATTAGAACTACTATCTGAATTTGTGCCATACCCTGATTCCACCTGTAGGGAAAAAAAATTGCAATGCAATTATCAGTTCATACATAGATTTATTCTAAAATACCAATAACTGGGCTAAAAAAATGACCATTGACATGACATTGACCATAAACAGAAGACATTGCCTTATAAAAATGTATAGAGATGCATTGTTATTTAATTTTAATTAAATAAACTGATTCATTTATTTACTATATCATGACAAGTAGAACTATACATACATACATATCTGTCACGCCTGTCTCCCATTAGGGTAGGCAGAAACAATGGAACGCCAAATGCTTCGATTCAAACAAACCTCTTTCGCTTCTTCCACATTCATCAATCTTGTCATACACGCTCGTCGGTTACGGGTACTTTTAATTTGGCCCTTCTTCAGCACGTCGCCTATTTGGTCGACATACGTCCGTCTAGGGCGGCCCCTACCGACATCTCCATTCATTCTTGCTCGATAAATCTCTTTCGTAATTCTTCTTTCATCCATCCTCTCCAAATGACCAAACCAACGCAACATTCCTTTTTCGATTTTTGTCACTACATCGTCTTTCAGTCCACACTTCTCTCTAATCACACTGTTTCTTACTCTATCTTTTAAAGTAATACCACACATACTTCTCAAAGCTCTCATCTGTACAGCATTTAGAACTATACAATTTTCAAATTTTAATTTTTTACAAATTCACAAAATATTAATAATGACATTTTGAAATACCAATAAGATAATTTACAACATGAACAAACTACACAATAAAATACATAATCCTTTCACATACCTTATAAGATAAGATTACCTTTATTACTCAATTTTTATATACTGCTAATAAATAGTACATAATTTTGATAAGGAGTCACTATGGGATATAAATATATTACAGAAAATTTTAAAAAATAATAATAATTAATAAATATAATAATGACAAAATTAAATTATCTCACTATGCTATTCCTAACAAGTTATTTAAAAACTAAAAACATACAATACTAATTCTTCTCAATATGTGCTAGTGGACAGTACATGATCCCATTAAAGACATAAGAGCATTGAGAAGGAGAGACTAGGTAGGACATGCCCACCTGAAAATTGTCTGATATCTACCCCAGTATGTGAGCAGTTTCGCAAAGAAATGTCTGAATTTACCTTTTTTAAGGAGCCTTGAATATATTTTAAATACTCCAATGATTAAGTATGTCAAAAATTGTGTATAGCAAAGAATACATATAGATAGATAGATTATGTATAATTAACTTCATAAATTAATATATCTAAGATTCTACACATAATTAACATCCATTAATATTTTTAACTACTCAATATGCACCATCAATATTATATTTCTCAAGACCAAGTATGTCATTTAGCAATAGGCAAAAATTAGATTTACAAATTAATAGTATACATTTAATTTTCTTTGCCTACATCATAAGAACTAGTTGTGAAGGTAAATATAAAACTATTATATACTATTCTGAAAATCTCTTGTGAGTTATGTTATAGACTTTAAATATAATGTTCTAACACATTGAAGACTTATAAAATAAATATCAACTGTCATAATAGATAACACACACATAACACAATAACAGTTAATTAAAATAAAAAATAAAATTAGACAGTAAATTCAAAATTAGCAAACTTATAACAAGGCCTTTCTTGATTTATTTAAAAAACTTTAATGTAAAAAATATTCCAATGAAACAGTATTTATCAACAAACATTGGCCTTGCATCCAACTGAAACTGAATACATAATAAAAAAGAGATGACTCATTTAATCACAGTTATGAACATAAAAAACAATTTGTGGTCTGTACTTTGGTTTTCTTATCATACAATTATTTATTTATAACTGTAACACAGGATACTCACTTTGAATGACTCCAAAACATCTATCCATTGTTGCTTCTCCTCTGGACTGGTAGCTCTCAGATACCAAACACAATCATTTACAGAGACATCAAATCTACAGTCATCAAATTCATGTGGCTGAAATAATTATTTTTTATGTAAATGTAATTAAATAAGTATACAGATCAAAACTACTCAAGGTCAATTGAGATTATAATTGGTCTAACGCTACTAATATTATTACAAGCCTAGTGACTTCTACGGTACATCTACGGTATTATAATATAAAGGAAACTATTAGTCATTAAGTACAGGGACATTTTTTGCATTTCTTCGTATGTACCACATACCTTAACTTTAGCTTTTTTCAGACATAAGGCACCTCGGCATCCAAGATTACTTTCCAACTCGCTTTTATAATAAGACAATGTAGAATCCTTCAAAACAATAAATCTGTCCTGCCAACCGTGAATGTAATTTGTCCATTTACTCAGATGACCACGGAGTTCTTGAGATCCGCCTTCGTCTGTATCAGAATTATCGCTCACTGTGATATTTTCTTCAGTCATATTTAAAATTAATTCACATTAAATTTTATACAAAAGAAAATAAAATAAAAATAATATGAAATCAAGGCTTTTATAAGTAGTATCGTTATTGCTACGAACAAAATTGTTTTGTTGCTACTTGCTCACTGTCATGTCAAGGATGTCAGTTTATGCAGTCATTCAATCAATCATGCAATCAAAACCAAAGATATTGAACATTTGATTTCAAATTCAAAATAGTTAATAAGTTTGAATCAAGCACATATTTTACTGCACCTTCGTATTCACATTCTACGTCATCAGACAGCCGTCTAACAAGTCCATATTCTTACGCATCCCGCTTACGACCTACATCAATAATTCTATAAATTTTTTTATTACAACGAAATTATTATTCTATAGACTATTCTAAATGAAATTTAAAATATAGAAATATTCATAACTATTTTCAGTTAATCCTTGGTTCATTAAATATCAAATTAGTTTTAATATTAAATACAAATTTGGGGAATAACTTTTTTGAATAGATCCTATAATGTATCCAAACATACTACGGTGACGTTAAATCTCTCTATGACGCATTTCCGGACAAATTGTTTTCTTCAGGCATGTTTTTTTTATTACTCTCTAATTCTATTGGTCAATTTTATCAAACCGCCAAAATTATCTTCAATCGGCCAATAAGACGTCAAAATTTTCTTTAATTAAGCGCAATATCCGTTCAAAATGGCCGACAAAACTATGCCTATTTTTGTTCCATCTGAAAAGCCTGTAAAAGTAGTGAAGTGGAAAATAAAACAAGGTTCATTTGTATCACAAGGTCAAATCTTATTTTTATACAATGATTCTTCGGGCAATATCAATGAAGTAAAGAAATTCAAAGCATTGCGCGCTGGTACTATTTCATCGATCAAGGTGAAGGAGGGAGACATAGCAGAACCTGGGTTAGTGATATTATACTTAAATTTGTTAATTAATCCGTATATTTACATAAAATTATGTTATTAAACTCTAAACATTAAAATAATTTTTCCTTTGTAATGACTGCAATGTGACTTGTCGTTGCCAATCATTACATAATTTGCGCGGCAAAATCAAAATCGATATTTTCCCGCGTTACATTATAAACAATCAACAAATATAAAGTAAACCTACTTTACATAATAACAATTACAATGTTATTGTTTTCAGACTTCCCGTAGCGGAACTGGAAGAATGTCGTCATCCAACAGTTATGAAAGAAATGTGTGCGGAATGCGGTGCCGACTTACGCACGGACGTGGGTTCCAAACGAGAAGTAGCCATCGTGCCCATGGTTCACTCTGTACCTGAACTTAAAGTACGTATCTACTATATTATTAATAACTTTGTATGACTGAATATAGCTCATAGTATTCTGTATATAATGATTATCCTTACTATAGTATTAAATTTCTACTATTATTGTACTTGTCTATTTTATTATCTCAATAACTATCAATTATTAATTCATTGTTACTGCTCTCCTTATCAATTGTATTATAAAGAATTTTAAATATTCTGTTCAACAACTTTATTTCACATTTTACTATCACTTCAAAATTTCAAATTGTTGTCTGCTAAAAATCTGCAATTGAGTACCTAACTAGTTACAAAAACACAAATTTGTTTGATTTTGAGATAATACATACATGTGACAATAATTCTTAGTAATATTATAAATATGAAAATTTGTTTGTTACCTGTGCATTTGTTTAGCATCTGGACTGCTTAACCAATTACGTACACTTAACAATTGTGTATTACTTATAATTTTCAGGTATCAGAGGAACTGGCACAAAAATTAGGTCGTGAAGATGCAGAGCGTCTTTTGAAGGATAGGAAACTGGTGCTGCTTGTTGATTTGGATCAGACGCTCGTGCATACTACCAATGATAACATACCTCCCAATTTGAAGGTTTAGTTTCCAATGCTATATAATTTTAATTCACTGTTTATGTTATGACTTCTTAATGTAGCTTCATTATATTTTATGATATTATTTAAAATACTTGTAGTATCTTATTTCACTATCTTCATTAAAAAATGTTTTCAAATATCCTCAGGCATACTTATAAAAGTATGTCTTAAGACAGTGGGATAAAATACAAATATTTTAAATGCAATATATAACTATATATATATATATATATATATTTATAACTTGTTTACATTATCAAGCTGAGATTGACATTTATAATTTGAAATTTATCCTTTCAACATTACAGTAGAAAAAGATACATAATGCTCCTAATAAAGTAGGACAATTATTTTACCTATTTTTGTTGTGAAGTAATATCTGTTCTTTGTTGTCTAGAGCAATAAATGCAATACTGCATATTGTATTTGTCTTATTTCAGTAGTAATCATTTCCATTAGATATATAAAACTTCATAAAGGTATTTAGTTTTAAAACTTAATGGTTGAACAACATTTACTTAACGAAAATTAACATGATTTAGTGATATTACCCTAATTTATATGGACAAATAATACAGTTAGTTAAAAATAAATATTCATGTTTCAGGGTGTACTACATTTCTTTCTGCGTTGCCCTGGTGGCCCTGGTCGTTGGTGTCACACACGATTTCGTCCTCGTACTAAAGAATTTCTAGAGTCTGCATCCAAAAATTATGAACTTCATGTGTGTACATTTGGCGCCAGACAGTATGCTCATGCAATTGCAGATCTACTAGATCCAGAGAAAAAATATTTTTCACATAGAATATTATCCAGGGATGAATGTTTTGATCCCAGAACAAAATCTGCTAATTTAAAGTAAGTTTTAAGAAATAAATTATTTTTCAACTAAACCTTAGAAAATGTTCAACAGTGTCACTGTCAAACATATCAAGATAATTAAATTTGAATTTGGTCTTTATTATTGTTTGATTCTGTATGCATATTTATACAGACATTGTAAAATACGGTTAGTTAATAAACTAATTTTTAAAAGATGCTCGTGATAACCTACAGCTCTGCGCATGTGAATTAATTAATAAAGTATCCTGTATGCTAAGTTAGGACATAAGCTGCCTATACACCAAATTCCATTCAAATCTATTTATCCATCATTACAAACCTTCATATTTATAACTAACACTGTAGAAATCCCATTACGATACTATTGTTATTACTAAATACAATTTGAATATTAAAGTTAATTTTACACATTTCAGAGCATTGTTTCCATGTGGAGACAACATGGTGTGCATAATAGACGACAGGGAAGATGTATGGAGACATGCCACCAACCTTATTCATGTCAGGCCTTACTCATTTTTCCAGTCAACTGGTGACATTAATGCACCTCCTCCACTGGGTAAATATTGTTCTACGTTCTGTTATCATTCAGAGCCCTAGGTTTAAATAAAGATAATAGCACTGTTTTAGCTCTGAATATAATTTAATATAATTCAATAATCATAGTAACTAATTCCAATCATAAATATACAAGAACTTCATAGGAGATATATATATATATACATAGCGTACTGTAATTGCCTTTATTAATATATATATTACCATTTACTGTCGTCTTTAATGCTCTACTTGTAAAGGTAGAGATGTTTTAGAAAGAACTCTTTTCTCAAGATTCAAAATTGGTATCCCTCCCGATAAAAAATTCATCTATTTAGTCATGAAAGAGCAGACTAAGTTTTGACTGTAAATAATGTAAATTAGCCATTTATTTGAACTGTTTTGTGTCGTTTATTTGAAATGACTGTTCAACATTTATGAACATGCAGAAATAATCAATACCCCATATCTTTGTCTTGGATTGAGATACGAGTTCCATAATATATTATTAAATGGAACTCCACATACAATCCAAAAAAAAAACACTGGCCCTTCTGAAGACTTTCTTTTGTAAAGCTTTGTAAGAAAGACAGATACGAGGACTACATTACATCTCATAACTTATTACATCTATAAGTAAGATGTATTAAAAAAAAAAACGAAATTACGATGAATTAATTTACATATATATATTTATTGTATCAAAATTTTAGTGGATGAAAAATCAAAATTAATTAGTGGTAAAAATGGTGCACAAGTACCAGTAATACATCAAATGCCTACATTAGACCCTGAACCAGAACAAAAAGACAGTGTTGTAGATATAAAAGAACAAAAAGAAACAAATGAAAATGCTATAGATGGTGGTAATGGTAAGATACTTAGTAAAGACAAAAACAAACCCAGTGAAGAAAAAAGTGAGGGAGCTGATGAAGAAGGTGAAAGGCTCGCTGATGGAGCAGAGCCTCGGTGGGTGGAAACTTCAGACGGTCAAATAGAAGTGGAAGATCCGGATGACTATTTAATATATTTAGAAGATATTCTTAAAAGAATACATAAGTGAGTTCACAACTTGTCAATATTGTGCTTAATAATAAGTTAGAAAACATAATTTTGATATAAACGTAAATCCTGTATGGCAAAATATAACTCGTGTTATTTTGTAACTTATAAGGTAATGTGTTAGCCAACACAACTTTTGTATGCTTACCTTAATTCACATTATTTAATACAAGACTGGTCAACATTTATAACATGTGCCATTTATTATAATTTAACAATGATGATGTTAATGATATAACCAAAATGCATTATTTAGACATTCCCTATGAGGCTGACATAGTCACCCAAGTGTACTGAAGCCTAATAAAAAAAAAAAATAAAAAAAAATGCAGCAAGTGCAACATTACATTTTATGTTAATAAAATTTTATATTTCAGACACTTCTATGATTTATATGACAAAACAGAAAACAAGCAAATACCTGATTTAAAAATGGTCATACCTGAAGTAAAAAGCAAAGTTCTATCTGGTGTCAGCTTAGTTTTTAGTGGCCTAGTGCCCACGCACCAGAGATTAGAAACTTCAAGGGCCTATTTGGTAGCAAGAAGTTTAGGGGCAGAAGTTACACAAGATTACACTGAACATACTACACATTTAGTAGCAGTGAGAGCAGGTAAATATTATGTACATTACTAATTGTCATAGTATCATATTTCATTATCTGCATTCACAATACTAAAGAAGAAATAAATTTTAATTTTTAATGTTTATAATTAAACAAAATCCCTCAACATTGTGAGTGGCATTTACTATGCAGTCTATAAATCATGTAAAAAACAACATTCTTTTTGCTTTTCGATATGTGTGAAAGTTTTGTGACGAGAAAATTATCTAGTATTCCTCATCCATGAGTCATACAGTTGAAGTGCGTGTACAAAATTTATAAATTCAGGTAATGCCCATTTGCAGCCAGCATTACCATGTAAATTATATTTATATAGCTAAGTCAGTATGTCTATCTATTCAGTCCACTTAAAGCCACTTCTGGGCATAGGCCTCCTTTTTGTAACGCCACTTGTTGTTTATAACTTTGTCTTTATATAGTATAACTTTATAAATCTGGATTATTACAGGAACAGCAAAAGTAAATGCTAGTAGACGTTTAGGGGAAGGGAAAGCTAGTAAGTTGCATGTAGTGACGCCAGAATGGTTGTGGACGTGCGCCGAGCGATGGGAGAGGGTTGATGAAAGATTATACCCTTTACAAAGAGGTGGACAGGTATAGTGACCATTCTACTTATTTTGTTATAGTAGCGACTATTTATAGTTGAAGTTAGATATTTCGGAAGTAATTTTTTGCCAGAACTTTTTATTACACAACACAAGAATTGTGTTAAGAAACCCAGACAAATAGATATTAACTATTTAATATTCTTTTAACAAACTATTTGATATTATTTTTTTGCTTTTAGTAAATTAAAAAAAAAAATATTGTCTTATGCTTCATATTGAGAATTGAAATTAAAACTATTATGCTTCAACAACTTAATGAATTTGAATGAAATTTAATCCTAACTTACCTCATAGATGCTATTTATTTAAACCCACGGGGTTACTGCTAGTGAAAGAAAAAACTACGCGTTTTTGTTATTGTATTCTGATGGTATAACTGAAGCTGACTATGTCCACAGAGTAGCTCGCGGCGACCGCCGGCGCACTGTAGCAGCCCTCCGCCTGCGCCCGCGGCGCCTGCCCCCGCCGCTGCCCTACGCAAACGCACCCCCTCAGGACGCTTCATGGACACCCTGAATCCGCTGCTGTCCTTCTCGAGCGATGACATCGCTGATATGGACCGTGAGGTACTTCTTATATTTAGATAATAATATTAAGCGTCATACAAGTCACAGTAATTACTTAGTTCTCAAACTAAGTACCCTGTATTATTAGGAAAATTTGTTTCTTAAAATTGGTCTATCCAAGAATCAAAACCTTATGTATATTAGATGACCTTATATATATTAGATGGTTGAAAACAGAATGGTAGCCCTACTAACGCTATTAATTTACACTAACGAAGTACCAGTGAAGGATGATAGATGAAGATATAGTCAGGTAACTTGGTCGCTTGTTGCCGATTCGTCAGAATGTATTTACCACAGTACTTAATATACCATATAATGTATTGTTATAAAAAACCATTCATGTCACAATAAAGAAGGTTTAGTCCTATATTCATATACGGCATCTACCCTATTAGTTGCTATAGGTATTAAATATAAATATAATGAAGAAATCTGTTAAATCTTACTACCTCTCACTTAGTACTATTTTCCTGTGTTTTCTCTTCGTTTTCCTTCGTCATTTTTTTTCTGTTGTATGTGTGCTGTTAAGTATGTTATGTATATATTTAATTGTGTATATATTATATATGTATGTGTATATATGTATGTATGTATCTATATATGTTTGTATATGATAATATTTATATAATAGTGCGCCACCTACTATTTGTCTTTTTCTCAATGTCTTCTACCCAAAGGTTGTCTGGAAGAGATTGCTTAGCGATAAGGCCGCCTTTTGTATCACTTCTCATTAATATTTACTGTATTTGTTATTTCTCTTGTTACTTGGTGCAATAAAGTGTAAATAAATAAATAAATTGCATTAATATTATTGTAAAATTTTATAAAAAAAATTTTTTGCTTAATCATACTATTAAATATAAATATAATGAGGATTGTATTAAACATTATTGTAAAAATTTATAAAAAAAATTCTTTTCTTAATCATACTTAATCAGGCTACTTCCTCGTGATAAATGAAAGTAATTAATTTTGTCTACTTTTCCAGGTAGAAGATATCTTCAATGAGTCGGACGAAAGTTCCTCAGATGAATCGAAACCCATAGGAGATGACTTAGATGATGAAGAGAATCCTCCAGAAGACAGACTTATATCTGTCGAAACAGAAGATAGCTCACAAGATAGGTTAGATACTAAGCAATTATATATAAATTTTATAAATATCTATATGAAAACAATACCCATTTAATTTGTAATATTTTTTTAGGTTACAAGATTTGCAAGATGCAGGTTCCAGTGATTCAGATACAGGTGAAAAAACTATTTCTTTCTATATTTGCACTATAGTAAATTGAATTAAGAATCATTATTATTCTTTACTGTTGTTGCTTTTTAACTTAATATGATGAAATATAATCTTGTATCTCTTTCATTAATTTCAAACATTATTGCGATTGGAGAGTAAAAGCGTTCATAATCTCTACCAATGTGTGGAAAGTTACGCACTCTTAAGGTCTTAAAATCAATTTCCTTACCACTACCCATTATACCAAATTCTTATAAAGTTGTTATGAATAAACCCCACTTTTGGTATCGCCACATTGGATATTAAATAATTGGTATATAATTTTGGAGTTAACTTTGCCATTATAAGGGCCAATATAATGTATTGCTTGTATGTATTATGGGCTTATTCCTTATGAGTCTATGGAAGAGGCCTATGTTCAACAGTAGACAGATAACAACTGACTTGATGTGTTACGCTATATCTTCGCCATTTTAGACCGAAATTATAATAATTCTAAATTGTAATTAATAATTGTAAGATTATTAGTCAATATTGATAGTAATTTTTGTTTTTATCAAAACGAAATCTACATATATTCTAGATGAACCACGGTCTCGGAAAAGACCACGGCGATCCTCTCCTCCCTCGGATGACGAGCCACCAGATGAAACTGATGATGACAGCTCCTGGAACCTCATGGGCGCGGCACTAGAGAGAGAATTCCTGGCACAGGACTGATGGCGTCGACACCACAAACACATATGTCTACGAGAAAATAAAATGCTCTTTGGTGTCATTTGTATTTTATTGCTAGTAAAGAATTGTTTACTGAGAGTAACTTCCAATTTCCAAAAAATGCAGAGAAATAATCATTTGTATTGTAAGCCTGTTGACAGGTTCAAAGTTGGAACACAGTTCACACCCTTAGCCCTTGTAAAAGGAGGGGGTCCTTTTTACTGGCTGATTACTGAAATATCCCTTATCCAGTAATTTCACAGACTTTCCTAAGCATTTAAACTAATACATAAAAATAAAACATTTAAGAAATCCCAAGCCTCGAAAATTGATATGTAACAATTACAAATACAAAAATGAGCGAAGTAAGATAAAGATATGCCTTTAACACTGCTGTACTGAGCCTACGCTATAAGGTTTATAAAACAGAATTAGCCTAGCAAAGCCTAAACTAATTCTGTTTTATAAACAAATTTGAGTTTAGATTCAGATGAATCTAGACACAAATTTAGACTTTGTAAGACATCACATAACAATATCAATTGTTACACAATCAAATTCATATTGTTATATGATGTCTTACAAAGTAAGTCTTCCTACATGGTTAGACTACCATTTTGATAATGATAATCAATATTTAAGATAGAATGAAAATGCTCGAATTTCTTCTTTTATTCTTTAACTACATAAATTACATATTATTTCATTTTACTACATGGCACCCCTCTGCTAACATCCAACATTGCAAATAAAAGATAAAAAAATATATATCTGTTTATATTAACCTTATACAATGTACCAACTAAACTACAACTAATATAAATAAATTATATAGCATAAGGGTCATTTTCATCAAAAACATGAAATTTGGTGTATGTTGGTTTAGAAGTGAAATCTTTTTTGCCATCTTGCCAACCTCTTGGAGGTGCTTTGGTGAAATCAAATGTGGATTTAGTTTTTCCATATAACTCTGCTTCTCTTTCAATATCTTCTCTGTACCTCTCTTTTGCCACTTTTTTACCAGAAACTGGATCAGTAACGTCACCTAATGGGTAAACTACTTCCTTTACCTCGTGTGTTATGAGTTTTGTCAGCTTCTGTGGTAGTGCCTGTATAAGTACAATGTCTCCAGTTTTACATTTTTTATCAGGATCGTGACAGTAATAAAATTCATCCTTTCTGAAGTACTGTAACAAAGATTTAAATTGTTTTAAACAATTTTAAGAAATATAATAAAAAATGAAAAAAATTAAGTACAAACCATTAGTAAATTTTCATCCAATTCTAACCTCTTCACTCTGATTTTAGCAGCATTTTGTTTAACAGTAGGCACACATTGGCCTAACAATAAAAACTTTTTAGCAGCTTCTACTACATTTCGAGCCATATTTTAAATAATTCTTTATCCAATTTATACCAAATTTCTATTAACTATATAATTTCTTTTGTAAATATAAAAAAAATTAGAAAAAATTCAATTGTCTGACTGACACTGACATACTCATAATATGACATTGATAGTTAAACATCTTTTTAAACGATATTTCATGGCTCTAGAAGCCTATAAAATTAGAATTTCCTAATTACCCCATAATTAATTTTTTTCTATAGCTTTATAGTCAGGTAAATTCAAGGATACTGGGAACCAACTATGCATTAAATTTCTAATAAATTGCAATTTTGTATAGCCACCATATAGTGATGAGATTACAACCAATTTACAGATTAAATATCAATATATAAAATAATCTGAAATTTGTTTTCACTTACACCATCTTATTCTTATCCCGATTATTATTTTGGTTGGCTTGATATGTGTTTCACTGCCCTTATTCTCTATTCAGTGATTTCCACATACACTCCCATTCTGGTCATATCATCTTTCACAAAATCCATCCATGTCTTTTGGGTCTTCCTCTGTCCTTATAGCAATCCAAATTCATGTCAAATATCTTTTTTTAAACATGCTTCTCTATCCTACCCACAGTATCCATTTATTTCACATTACAAAAAGAAAAATAAAATATTTACAATATTTATACACAATATATATAACCTCGAATAACCTTCGCCTAAAAACTCCTTCACATACCTCCGTCTATTACACCAAATCCTTTTCCGTTCAGGCTGTGTGCCTATTGAAGTCACCACACTCTATATGGAAAGCCAGTCCTTAGCTTCATTTTAAGGACAAGTCAGATCCTATTTTCTTTCACTGTAGTTACTCTGTTCTTTATCTTATTTCTTTAAACTAGATTTGTCATATTTCCTACTGTGTGCTATGTATATATTTATATGTGTATGTAGTGTATATTATTTGTTATAATAAGTAGTCTAATAAACAATATGTACCTTTTTGATGTGTTTGTGCTTTATACGTAAAAATTATTAATTCGCTCTTGTGCCACCTACCCACTTCTATATGTTCTCCTTTAACCAAAGGTTGTGTATAAGAGATTGCCCTAGCGATAAGACTGCCTTTCGTACCATTATATTTTAATCTGTACTTCATGCTACTGTATTTCAGTTGAATTGTTTATATGCCATTATTTATTTTTATATTTTTGGTGAACTAAAGAGTTAAATAAATATATATAACACAATTTTTTAGGAAAATATTTAATAAACTACAAAACCACATTCCCCTTTATGAAAAACTGGTTTTAATATATAATACATACAATAAATTGTGTTGTATATTTTTTATTTTATGTATATAGATTAAATCCAGTTTCATTAACAATTTTAAGTATATAACAAGTCCAAGCATGTAATTAAACAACTTTAAGCATAATTTAAATGTACCTTAATTAATCCTTCATCCCATATCATAATAGTGAAAAACTAAAAATGACAATATTTGGAAGACAATTAATTAATCAAGCTGGCACTAACTTTGTGATTGGCTTAACAATAGTCAACAGAGCTGCAGCAGATGATACAGCACCTAATGCACCTATAGTGCTGGGGCTTAATTTTGTAAAACCTAAAGCAGTTAAGGGTATGAACAAATCACAAGAGTTCTTTAAGGTATCTATAAATACATCTTTATGACAGTTCATTATTGTGCACACATGCTTTGCACTATCAGTTAAACTGAAATGTTTTATTGTTCCACTAATTTCTGATGGTTTTAATAATACAGACTTATTCGATTCCAAAATATGCAATATTTCATAAAAATCTCTGGCAAGATTTGCAACTATGGATAAAAGCCAAAATTTGTTGGCTGTAGTATTCCAGTTGTCTGAATCTGTTTTTAAGAATCCACTCCTTGATAACCAAACTATGTGATCTGCATACAAGTAAAGTGCATGTGCCAGTTTGCTTGAAGTTAATGTAAATCTTAAAAATGGATCTTCCGTGTGCATAACATTTAAGGCAGCATAACAAGCATCTATGCACCTTCCAAGTCTTAGAACTGAAAAATTTAATAAAAATATTAGTCATAATGGTAGTCATATATGTAGCATAGTTGGGATTAAAAGATATTATTATGTAGATGTGAAATACTCACTTTTTCGGAAACTTCCAAGATTACTTTCCAAGTTTTTTATTCTATCAATAGAATATTTATTGGCGTTCCTTCTTTCCAATTGATGCCATACTAACCGACTTGTATACTGCACCAAACTTAAAAATAATAATATTTAATTGCAAAGCAATGTTTATAAAATATAAAATACAACATTATGAAATATAAGTAATTATATTCTTATTACCGTGCTAACTTATCTCTCCCATTTGATTCGTTATTAACTTTTACTAATATATCCATTCTTGACTGTAGTAACACTAATACGATATCAAAACTTTAAACAGTTATGGCGTTTGAAAAAATAAGTAATCAACAAATGAAATGTTTTAATGTACGAGCTACTACATATTCGACAATACAAAGTTCATTGTACACTTTTATTAGTATTTGTTTATTAATTGATAATGCCACTGATCACTGGAAAAGGGTCTCGTCAGAGATTACAGTCCTTGGGGCCAAAGTTTATTACAGAGTACTTTTTAAAAATAAAACTATTAAGTACTTATCAAAAGTATAAACTATCAAATGAAACAAAACAATAGATAATTTTGTAGTAAGTACAGACATAAATAAAGGGTTGATAAGATGAAACAATCACTGTATAAAGTGTCAGCACTGCTTATACTGGCAAAACGAAAAACTTGTTTATGCAACCATCTAGAAACATCAACGCAATATAAATGAATGTAGTGCAATACAACTACATATTTTTATAATATGCCTTTGTCCAAAATATCGATATTAATAAGTATCATAAAATGTTAGTGTAAAATTTCCAAATTCTATAAATTGATTTCATGCAAACAATTTTTATGTCGAGTGACGCAGGCTTTTAAGTTGGCTCCAAATCTTATACTGACTGACTAACTGTCTGACGGCCTGACGACATAATCAAAGAATGGACAAGTATGTGTCATTCATGAAACATTCATTTACAGTATTTGAGTCATGTCATTCTATTCCAATTTTTTATTTCATTTCATCCATATCTCTGTTTTGCATTTGTTTATATTTGTTATTCTCATAATGTTTTCTAAGTTTATTTAAGTTTATCTTTAAAAACTCAAAATTAATAAATAGGCAAATTGTTTTGTTGTTGCTTTATGCATTCTAGTAGTGTGGTGGAGGTGTTGAGTGGGAATCAAAGGTGATTGAGACCGTAATTACTTGTGGTAAGACTAAAACATTTGTGGGTTTAGGTAAAATAAATCTCAGGAATAAATAGTAAATTTGTGAACATTATTATTATTAAAGTGACGTATAATATTGTGCATTTCAGATAGTGCTTCATCGTACTGAGCTTTCATGATTGGATTATCGCATAGCGATAAAGATAGAGACCGAATAACTGTGAAAATTCGTAACATGAAAAGAAGTTTGTCGAGGGATAGTATGCGTACGCGTAGTAGCATAGGCAGGTGTGACAACAGCTCAGATGAGCGAGTGACTCCGGATCGAGTGCGGCGTAGAGTCCGCTCGCCGAGCCCTAGAGGCAGGTACGTATCACCGCACCGAGATGATTATGTCCGTTCACGTGCAATAAGAGAAAAGGAAGAGTCTCTGCGTTCCTATTACAAGGTTCTCTGTGTCAGTGCTCTTCACCCAAAGGCATCTGATGAAATAATCAAAGATACTTTGTACAGAGAATATAAGAAATTTGGAGATTTCAATATCAAGATTTCACATGAATTAGATGAACGTGTTGCATATGTTTGCTTTCGCAGTGCTGAAGATGCTAGAGATGCTAAACATGCAAAGCCAAGAATTATTTTGTATGATAAAGTAGCAATAGTCGACCCTGTTTATGAACCAGTCAGGTCAGAGTACCGAAGCAGACCACGCAGTATTACTCCTCCAGATTATGATCGCCAATACTCTTATGCTTGGTCTTCAGTCTCAGATAGGCGTCGACCACCTCCAGATGATAGAGTATATGGTATACCTCCAAGTATCCCACCTCATCATAGGGATTTTCGACCTCCAATGCATGAATATCCAATGTCAGGCCATCATGGGCCCCCAATACATCATAGACCACCTGTGCATCATCCTCCATATCCACATTATATGCCACGCCCATACATGCCTCGCCCCCATCATGCACATTTTGAAAAAATGGAGAATAAAAAAGATAAATTCCCAAACTACTTACACCATGTACAGCCAGAGGATGACCCACTAGCTACTCGCACACTTTTTGCTGGAAATTTAGAAATTTACATTTCAGATGAGGAGCTTCGATCTATATTCAGTCGCTATGGTATTGTTGAGGATATTGATATAAAAAGACCACCACTAGGGACAGGCAATGCATTTGCATTTGTACGGTATCAAACATTAGACATGGCTCATCGGGCTAAGGTGGAACTTTCTGGTCAATACATTGGTAAATTTCAATGTAAGATAGGTTATGGGAAGGCTACACCTACTACACGTGTATGGGTGGGTGGCCTTGGGCATTGGACATCAGTGGAACAATTAGAAAGGGAATTTGATAGATTTGGGGCTATTAAAAAAATAGAGTTTACAAAAGGTGAAGCTCATGCATACATTTTGTATGATTCAATAGATGCTGCTCAAGCTGCTGTAAAAGAAATGAGAGGATTTGCCCTTGGTGGACCTGATAGGCGTCTTCGTATTGACTTTGCTGATGCAGGAAATGGTGCACCACATAGACCTAAGCAATATGCACCTGTAGGTGAAAATGGCAAGTCAGTTGAAGGGTATGAGGGTACATGGGAGGATGGGTATAGTTATAGTGCAGGTTACAGGGGTAGGGGTGGTCATAGAGGCCGTGGACGTGGCATGTACAGGGGTATGTATCATGGAACTTCTGATTACCGTGATGAAGAATGGAGAAGGCCTCCAGTTGACAGTGAATATGGGAGTCGTGTACATAGATCTGGATCAAGAGAACCTGGAGTGGATCGGTCTCGGTCGCGATCATCTCGTCGCCGATCACCCGGCAGTGACTCTGATGGCTCACCCAGGAGAAATGGTGGTATGTTGGCTTCTGCCAGAACACTTCCAGAAGTGGTCCGTAAAGCAACAACTGTATGGAATGGAGCCCTAATACTTAAAAATTCTATATTCCCAACTAAATTCCATCTAACAGATGGAGATTCGGAAATTATTGACAGTCTCATGAAAGATGAGAATGGTAAAAATCAATTGAGAATTACACAAAGACTGCGACTTGACCAGCCCAAACTGGATGATGTACAGAAGCGCATAGCCACATCGAGTTCACATGCAATATTCTTAGGAGTGACTGGCTCAACGGCATCCATTACAAACGAGGATACATCCATTCAAACCAGACCCATGAAGAATCTGGTGTCGTATATGAAACAGAAAGAAGCAGCTGGAGTGATATCCCTCTTGAATAAAGAGACGGAGGCCACAGGAGTTTTGTACTCATTCCCTCCATGTGAGTTTTCAACTGAACTATTAAAACGGACATGTCACAATTTGACTGAAGAAAGTCTAAAGGAGGATCATTTGGTTATAGTGGTTGTGCGAGGTGGTTCAGCATAATTTGCTATTTGTTATCAATTATGTAATTAAAATAAATTTCTTTAATTTTTTTTAATTGTCTACAGAATACTTCAGGTAATTATGGTAATTGTGAATGTGTAGTGATGTGAATAAGTGCTGTACTCACATTATAGTAATGTGTGTGCAAGTGCTGTATTTACTCACAGTTTCTAATGATCAACATTAGGAGCATATTGTTATTGAAAATAATACAATTGGTTAGTTTCTGCTAGTATTAATTATTGTTTATTAAAATTGCATAAGTGTGTATTTTTCATTATGATTATAAAAGTGTATGTAGTGATAGGTGATGTGTAGTGAGTGTGTATTTATTAATAGAATATTTCATTTTATGTTGTAGTTTTTTTAAACCTGGTGGATTTGTGCGGTGTATGATGAACAGTGGCTCAAATTTGTGACACCAAAGAAGTGTATTACTTGTTTGGAAGTGATACAATTGCCTAATTTCCAAGTCAGTTCTTGTTTTATGACTTCAGTTGTTGCCAGTGCTTGATATGTGACTTCAATACATGCCTAAACAGTATTTAGTGTGTGCTTGTGTTATACATCATAGTGTGGTAACAGTGTTATTAGTACAAATCTTGGTGAATTAAAGTATTTATTTTCAAAATTGTAGGTATTACATTAATAGTAATAGATAGATACTCTTTATCGTTTCCTCCAAAAGATTACATTAGTAAACTTATAATCAAATAATTATAAACTTATTATTATTATTTATAAACTTATTATAAATACAAATAATTACAAGAAAAGATTACACTGAGAAAACAATTGGCGGTCTTATCGCTAAGAGCGATCTTTCCAGGCAACCTCTGGATATTTGGATAGAGAAGAGGAATTATAAACAGTTTTATCAGAGGCACGAAACTTTAAACTTACTAATACATACTTAAATGAATCTATAAATATATATATACACATATACATACAAACTAATACACATATAAATACGCATACATAATATTAATAAGACATAAATTACAAATATGACAAATTGCTCAGATAGAAATCCTCAACTTTTGTTTTGAAACTAGGTAGATATTATACTTCGTATAGACGTTGATACACTATTCCTTAGTCGAACAGCTTGCACAGTAAATTTGTAATAGTATGTAGTAGATTTGTTGTAAAAACTCTTAAAACGTACTGGTTTCTTCAGCTGGAGGCTCCCAGACGACCTTAGATTAAGAGAATTAAAGGTATGGAGGAAGTGAAGCCGCTCATTTAGGTAGCAAGAAGAAAAATGTGTGCGCCAAGAAACATGTGACATCGAGACTGGCTGTATCAGTAGTGGCCTTTGTATCGTTACCATCAAAAAATTGTCCAGGGTCATCAGGTAAGCTAAGGTCGGTCCCGTGTTTTGAAAATATGGACCTGATCAGAACTAGCTACCTACCTTTGTAAGTAAGTATTAATCGATTACCTAATATCCATCCACGGTCTAATAAATGTGGTTAAATTTTAACCAATCGTTACGAGTAAATTTAATAAAAATCATTAAAATCGGTTCATAAGAATAACTTACGAGGTAATAATTACGAGAATTAAAATCCCCCTTTTTTAAATTGATTAAATTTACTTATTTTACTACTTACTAGGTTTTACCCGCGACTTCGTCTACTGAACCAGAATATTTCAATTGACCAGGATAAACAGTATATATATGGAGGATTCCATACCATATAGTATGTTTATATCGAATTTCATAACGATTGGTTGAGCCAAGGATACTTAAATATCTATAGCTAAGAATGTATTTAAATACAGGGTACAGGAAAATATAAAATACAACTATTATATCTAAAATGAAGATTTATCATTTTATAACAAGTAGGCATTCCTTCCATGACGAAACTGAGTAATTACTCTGCCTGTAGATAATATATAATAGATGACTGATTATCCAATTCTGTCGGAGGTTTATATATAAATAGATAAGTAGTTAAATATATACAGAAATAAGGCAGGTCGACCTAAAAGAACAAAATTCCTAGCGATAAGGGCACTAGTTTCCGAGACTAATAAAAATCCACTTAGGGTCGAGTGCGTTTTCGGATTTTTAAGAAATGAAAATGGAATGGTAACTTCCTCTGCGATATTAATTTATGCGAATGGCGTACCACTGAGTGTTGGTACTTTAGGATGAAGTTATACCGGTCAGCTCATTGTGATAAATAGGTACATCACATTCACGATAGCTTTCAGGTGAGATTGCCAAGTGGTCGACCTATATGATAGCAGTGGGACCGCAAATTCGATTTGCCCCCAGCTTGCACAGAATTGACTAATTCAAGCTGTTCAGGACCTTTTTTTACGGCGAAACATAAGCGACACCTACATGCACAAGATGAATAAAGATGTAAAATTATTGTAATATGTAAGTATGTACAATTACATAGTATATATCATTCGCCTCACATAGTCTGTTTTAGAAGTAGATATTTGTGCAGTTTTGTATTTTCAGTCGGGAAAATGTCTAATTCTTGTAGAGGCTTCCATGAGTAACATCCCATTTTTTGGTTTCAACAGTTTTGAAATATTTATTGCTACATTTTATTTATTTATTGCATGTCACATAGGTAACATAAAACCCAGTTCGGGCATTGCAATTAATGGTAGCTACATAAAATTTTATACAATTACAAACATTCAATCAGTAATTTCTTTCTATAGTCATATAGAAGTATCAATTGTTTTCTTTACTATTATCCTGATTGTTAAATTACTAGATAGTTCCAAGTAACTAGTTTATAGGTTATACGTAACGAATCTGATATCTGTGATAACTATTACTGGCCATGTAATTTCTACTTAATCAATAAAGTACATATTTATTTATTCAAATTGTTTTTAATGATTTTCCTTATTCTATATTAATCGTATATTTTATACTTTTCAAATTATTATTTAAATAAGTACGTTAGATATATAGAAAATAAAACACTACACAATCATCTATTTGTTCTGTTACTTTCTAATGTGGATAAATTTCTTTTTTCCGAGGGAGACTTTGTACAAAAGTCAATTGCTTGGGTACCTCTGTCCCATTCGTGTTTCAACCGTGAAGCAGTTGAATTTGCATGGCTGTGTTTCGGCTTGAATAGTGGCATATGGCGTGAATTTACTGGGTACAGAGGAATAACACCTGAGTTCTCAGGAATGGCAACGCATGGGGGGTGTCATGGGCGAAACAGTATACTCTGTTATGTCCATGGTACTGCTCATGTCTATAGGCGACGGTTACCACTTTCCATCAGGTGGATCGTCAGCTTGTTTGCCATTCTAAGTTGTATAAAAAAAAAATCTAGCATAGGGTGGCAAACAATGGAATAATGGTAACCACTGTCTATAGACTTGAATAACACAGTATAGCCTGTACCCCTATCCTTATGTATACATAATGTATGAAATATGTTCCATACGTTAATTTACAAGCTTCGCGACCGTAACTTGTGTAAATGTACTGCTAAGGAGCTTTACTTTGTGACCGTATTTCTATGAAGAGGACAGTTAAATTACAAAATACAAAGGCATAACTTCTTACTGTGTGTTGATTTCATCGACGAATTCGCTTGCCGCTTGTCTAGAGAACCAGAAGTGGTAGCGCGTGGGGTGGCATAATTGCAAGGTGCTGTTCATATTTATAGACAAATAGCTATATCACTCGGCTCCGCCAGCGTGAATCAGTACATATTGTATCCTATCATAGGATCATCCTATCGTAACTCAGCACATAGGATTCCTATGTGCTGAGTTACGATATAACCTACCCGTGTACCAAATTTCATTCGAATCGGTTCAGTAGATTTTGCGTGAAAGAATAATAAACATTCATCAACTCGTGCATCATTACAAGCTTTTTCGTTTATTGTATTAATAGAATTAAAAAAAAATCTTGAAATCACAGGATACGATGGAATAACATCTTAGTTCTTAGAAATGACAATATATGGAGGACACCATGAGTATAATAGTAATTTTTAAAATATCCATGGTGTTGTTCAGGTCTACAGGTGATGGATATTATTTTTCATCAGATAGGCCGTAAGGTATTTGCCAAAATACAAGCATACCTAAATATCAAAAAAGTTGACTACTTATGCTAAAAGTTTGATGACATATATAAAAAAAATACCTATCTACCTCTTTCTATGTTTGGCATTTATAGAATGATTTACTAGTTCTTGACAAAAATTACTAAAATCTAAATCAGGCTACGATATAGTTGGATCAAATTTTTGACTAATCGACTTTAAATTTAACTACTACATCGTAGAAAGTAAATGTTATATATAACTTTAAAACAATGGCTAATAATAAAGTGAAACCTGAAGGAAAGATGAAGAGTAGTTCCTTACATCTTGGTAAGTTCCATCTCCATTCTAATTACATCAGCATTTAACTGTTCACTACTAAATATAGGCCTCCCCATAAGGGGCTTTTGCCAGTAGTTACTTGGCAGGCGGGTTGACAACCGCAATTAGGTTTTAGTGATGTTTTAAAACAGGCGCTGTTGCCCATCCCTCGACCATTAAATTCCCTTAGGCACCTCTTACGACACCCACGGGAAAGGAAGGGGTGGCCCAATCTGTTATAAACGTTTTGCTACTCTTCTACATGTATGTTTTTATGACGTGCATTGTCATTGTATTATTAAAGAATTACCTATCTAATGTCTAATGGTTTTAATTTATAAAATGTGGCGACGAGAGTAGAAAAAAATGAAACCTAATGAGACCAATAAAAACCTAAACAATAATTTTTTGAAATTGTGTCTATATGTTTGTTTGTTTGTTCTGGCATCTCACAACTACTACGCCAAATTGGGTGCGGTTTTTACAGTTGTGTTAGTGTTCCAGAAGATCTAACTTCATATATGGTATCGGTTTCATTTTGATACAACATCTAAAATAAGACTATTTCATTGGTTTTCTGACTTTTGAAATCCACGCATACTAAGTAGCGGGTAACAAGTTAGTCTATAATAAAATTGTAATAAAAACTTATCTATACACATATCACATTATTTATAAAGATATTTAATGGATTTTTGAATAAATAAATATTCAAATAATATTCGTACCTACCTAATATCGACACACAAGACTACTGGTACTTTTTTTTTAAAACAAAAGAAACATACTCATGTCCATAATGGTACGGCTGATGTTTATAATAAAATAAGGGTGTAAAAAATACGAGATTTTTATTATATTATTTCTCATTTGTGTCTTGACGGCTAAATGAGCTATGGCTCAATGTTGATTAAATAGAATGAAGTTATTGACCTTAGTAATGAAGGTAATTCAGAGGTTATATCGCTTTAATTCATTTGACATTCAGTACTTGAATAAATAATTACACCTATTTACTTCATTTTCCTTGTAACGGATTACGGATAGTCTCAATTGTCTTAAAAATGATGTGTGATATTTAAAACCAGTTGAGTTGTTTTATTCATTACAAACATTATGATGATAATGATGAAATCGAAAATAATAATTCACATAAAACCTTTTTTTTTTATTTTAGCTATTTTATAATGCATTTATAATTAATTCTTACTTATTTGGATAAAAAAATTAAGCTAAGATTTTTTTTGGCAAATACGGTCAAGAATCGAACCCGAGTACTTATTAACGCAACGCATCATGTTTTAAACTTCCACCAGAGTAAAACTGCCAATCATAACAATCATCTTACATAAATTCTCTTTATTTCTAATAAAATATAAAAAAAAACTTTCGTAGCATTGGAAAGGTGCATTGAATCCAAAGTTCGAATACTATTGGACTGAACACGTTGAACCTGAGAATCTTATTGATTACAAGGAGTTCGATATGGAAAAAGGGAATATCATACCATATACGTTTCCTTTGCCGAGGAACCTCGAAAAATAAATATTTACTCAAGAATATTATGTTGAGTATGTTGAACATTTTGAATTAATTGTCGTAATAATTTAATACTATTTCTGTTACATTATGTGGTATTTTTTCAACCGATATAAAAATAAGGAAATTATTAATTCGGTTATTTTTTTATATTAAGTTACAACTGTATTCCGTAATTTTTTAGTTGATATTATAATTTGTTTAATTATAGGTACCTATATAGTGTTTTACGAGTAGTTATTATATTATTAAGTTGTTGAAACAATAATTTCAGTTATAAATAGAGATATTGTTTAAAAAAAATACAACATTAATAGGCAAAATAAATTTATTCGACATAAATAAAGATCTATTCATACACAAAATCGAGTAAACTAGTCACTTGCTGCAGTTTAACGGTGTCTTAAAGTAATTGGATTAAATGTTGTGCAATAATTGTTTAATTTATTAATTATAAATATGTACATCGTCATCTACTAATACCACATCATCATTAAATGTCTGGTTTACATTCAAACCCAATTTCAAGTAGATTTAGCTGCATTTAATAGAAAAATCGCTTTGACCTGACAAATTGAGTCGTTGGCTATCTAGGTCATATATGAGATCAGAAAAACTGTTTAATACAATAAAAGCATTTGAGAAACATGTCAGTCCCCTTAATCACACACTTGAGTAAGATACGGGACCTTGCTATCTCGTTCTATCACATGCGTACGGCGATATCAACAGATTGATGATGAATTTTAATACAGATTTGAAAAGATAACTGTTGAGTATCTTGTAGAATATACTACACAACAAAACTACAAAAGAATCTTTCCAAAACTATAGTAGAAGCCTACTCAATTAAACTTAGTTGTATGTTACTTGCCTAGAAAAGTGGACTCATCATAACAAATCTATGAACGTTTTGGAAAAGGAGTTACGAACATAATTAACATGATTCGAGTTATACCTTTATCGAGAAACCCCTTCATTTTCAACAATCTTACACAAATAATAGTCATATAATTAAGAAATAATAGAGAAATATTTACACAAGAGTTATGTTGCAGTCATCCGAATTGATTAAAACTAAGACCTAATCTGTCAATGAACAATGCCTTTTAATAAACTGTCAAATGGAACGTTTTGTTAGTTTGAAATAAATATTTTTGAGGATGAATAATTTTAATGATTAAGTAATAAGCTGGACGTATTTTACATTATTACAAACGATGACAGATAAAAAGATTTCACACCTTGGAACCTAAATGGTCGCTGTCAGGCTATGGAATAAATGTCTCTAGAAATATAGTGTTTTTTTTTAATAGATGAAAATGGAATGGTAACCCCGCCCGTGCTATCGGCATACACCGACGAGGCACCAGTGGAAGATGATAGGTGAGAATTAATGCAGGTCAGTTGGCCCACCATGATGAATTCGACAAGATTTAAACATGATGGTTTCCAGGGGGAACCGCGTGGAGGTCGACCTGAGAGGGTCAATTGCTAGCAACGGGGCTATTAGACCTCATTACTAACAATCCCTTTCCTCCCTAGAAATATGGTGTTAAACACTAGTTTTTTTCTTTTTTATTTTTCAAATCAAGGAACATTCTCCAAATTTAAAATTTTGGTGCTGTACTGGTTTATGTGACCAGCAATTTCTGCCACTTAGCCTTATAAATGAACCATTGTGCGTAGGATTTGGATTCGAGACGTGCTAATTTAGATTTGCAACTAATTCGACGGCAGTGAAACAATGACAAATTAAATAAAAAATTGCAACAGTAGAATGCTACTAGTTACAAAAAAACAATTGTTTTTACGAGCTGTCATATCACGTAAAGAATTTCAAGTGTGCCGTTAATTGAATTGCACTATTCTGTGAGTTTGTGTCAAAAAAAAAAACTCTTTTGTGATTTTATCATCAGTTGGATGGATCACGCCTTTTTTTTACGAAGAGTCCGAAATGTGATACCTCGGACGTTCTAATATTATTAAAGCTCTTATCAATTAAATAGTTCATAATAAAAACTACAGTGTTTTCAACACTGAAAAAGTTCATTATACATTTTTTTTATACTTGGCATAGGTAGTAAACAATCTTGGCATTTATTTTTATTGTAGTAATTCAAAACAAGATAGATAAAACTAATAACATACATAAACAATTAAAATAACAACCCTACTCTATTATTTAAAAAAAATGGCAAGACTCTTTACTAGATACATCAAGTATAGAAAATAGATTCTGGTGCCTAATTAATTACTGTTAATATATATTGTTTCTAACATAGTCTGGTACCCTGCATCTTATCGTATTTATAGTGACCATTATTACGAAAATTTAGTAAATTGTAAATATTCAGATCTTAATAAATTAATTGAAATGAACAGTGAATTACAAATACATTTTTTATGTGGTTTATATAGTTGGAATTATCAGTAACAGAATAGGGAAGAGGAATTATCAATACTACCACAGTGTAAAGAAGTCTATTCTACTAGTTGTTCAACAGACATGTTGAAGACAGAATAATGTATACTGTATTATATAACATCTAAATATCATATACCTACTGGTTGTTCCTTACACTGTGATATTACTGTGACATACCTATAAAACTGTCATCTTGGTAGTATGTCTCGCATGAAAATAATGGATTATAGCTCAGCCTATAATAATATTCCAAGTTCTACATTCAAATTCCATTTCATTACTTTCAAATATGGCTTTTGTAAATAACAAGTAATTAAAAACATCTTACACTAAACAGTTATATATATACATTATTATACTTCCAGTGCACAAAGACAACAACCCACAAAATACTTTTTAGACAATGAATGTGACAAACCAACAATTTGTATATGTTAATGGTAAGCATGTCACAGTAGAGACTTGCTGTACCTAGGATGCATATGTCTTTAACATTAATAAAAACAGTACTAATAATAATTGATATAAAAAAATATAAATGCATTGAGTAACATAACATGCACAGAAAATCAATTATATTTTTCATTTTTGTAATAAGATACAAAAAGTGAAATACATCTTATATAATACATATAAGTATAATAAAAAATACAATTAAATAATTCGTAATAACAGAACACTACTACTTCAGATAGTCTTAATTTTATTTGGCAACTAGAAGCACCAATTTTCCAATAATAAAAAAAAAATGGTCACAAAATAATTTTATACACATACAGTACATTTTTTATCGAATTTACAATAGCTTTATAAGCTTTATCCAATACTTAATATAATATTTAAAAGCTAAATTATAATTTTAGTGACAAAGGAATTACTTATGCAAAGTTAAATTACCTATGCCTGTAGAAATATGATAAAATAGTCAACACTGAAATTCATTCTGTATTTCATTGTAATTAATAAATATATGGACCTACTGCCTATAGCCAATAATAACAAACATTCTGCCTTATTTTTCATTTCGGTGTAGTAACTGGTATATTTAGACAATTATATATTTATTCTTCTGTGCTGAAAACACTTCCTTTTTTAAATGCATACTATATGTAAATAGTTATAGTTCAAATGAAAAGTAATGTAAATAACACATTAACATTATTACAATATGATAAAAATCATTATTGGATTTAATTCATACAAAGTTCATTCCTATCTGTAATGACACTGAAGCACTCTCTATAATGTCATTAGCATTAAAAGAGATCCTTGTGAAATTGCTCGCAACTCTTGGTTTATGATAACAAAAAGTCTTTTAAACACTTGGGCAATGGCAATAACTTCACTGAACCATTGTTCACATATTGGAGTATTGCATCACGGCACACATTTTGTAGTGTTTTTACTGAAATTAAAAGAAATTATAAGAATATTGCTGTGTGGTCCCGACATAGGATAAGCCATCTCTTCTTTTCCCATGGTTGTCGTAAGAGGCAAATAAGGGAGGGAGAGGGATGGGTAGCAGCATCCTTCTTAAAACATCTTCAAAGCCTAACAGCAGTTGCCAATCTGCCTACCAAGCGTGGCAACTACTGGCAAAACTCGCCTTATGGAGAAGGGTTATGTCCAATAGCGGACAGTTAAAGGTTGATGATGATAAGAATATTATATAATAATAGCATTCCACATATAGGCTTTCTATCAATTACTTTTTTACAGTCTAAACTGTTGAGGTTTTCCCTACAGGCTAAAGGATAGAGTTCTTCAAACAGGGTGTATTAAAGTTTCTTAAGAATCGGCAACATATGTATGATGTCTCTGGTGTTGCAGGCGTCCATAGGCTGCACAGTAACTCCATTTACCATCAGATGAGCCATATACTTGTTTACCACCATAGTAGTATAAAAAAAAAACAATTCTTAGGTATGAAATGTGAAAAAAATCAAAATAAACAGCATCATCAAAAATATTAAAGTAGTAGATTAGTAAGTAATCAAGCAGTACTTATGTACTGGTACACATATACATACAGTCATCAAAAACACTGAGTTAAATGATCTCAGTTAATATCACAAACATACAAAAAATACAATAAAAATATGTTTTAGGAATTTAATTATTTGACAAGATTTTTGGTTTATTACATATCTATTTGACCTGAACCAATTCATATAGTTAGTTTTGTTAAAAATGTCATGACAGAAGTTCTTGTTGAGATATAGGCATTTAATTTAAATTAAGGGCTATTTAATTTTAATAACATGAATGCACTTACCACCATACAGTTGAACAATTTTGACTTGTTTTGTAGTCCCATACACATCAACAACAGCATGCAATGGTCCTCTTGTATATGGTATAGCCTTTGTGCAAGGTCCTTGGTCTTCACCATTAATAATGAAATGCATTTCAGCTAAATCAGCATCATCTTTGTTTATTTTTGGGCATGGAACAAACATAACACCTATGCGACTACCAGTATCCATAGGCAAAATCCCTTGTGGAGTTCCATTTTGTGCTATTGTCTGCGGTCTCAGAACAGTCTTAGAAATGTACCCTCTTGGTGTCCTGACACTATGACCATCTCCTAACACAGAAACGCGCGGTTCATTCTCTCGACGCCCACTCGTTCCTTGGTTCACTAATTCAATGAGTACATTGTTCTGTGACTTTGAAATAGGAAATATCCAAGACATACCAGTATTCGCTAGATCAGGGAGTGCATATTGCGGTAGGCCTTTCTGACCCAGAGCTGCTGTCTGTGGATCTAGCAGTGTTAATCCGAGACGCATGTGACCACTCCATCCACGCTCCGTTTTTTCAATCTCTACTAGAAAAATTTCCCCTGGCAATAAAGGTTTTTCACTAAATGTTAACCCATGAGCAAAACTTGCTTTTCTGAACGCAACCGTGTTATCTTCGAATAAAATAATATTGGACCCATGATAATGATGGAATCTGGATAACATGTTTGTCACTTCGGATAGAATGACACAAAAAGAAAAAATTTTTGGTTTGAAAACTAATAAAATTTGCTTTTTAGAAATCGCACATTCTACATTTTTGTTGTAAAAGCTCCGGAACAAAATTCAGTATATGCCGAAACACGACTCGATGACCTATTGACTCAAACAATACGCATTACAGATACAATTCGCCGAAATTTGTCCGATTAATAAAGAATTACTGTATCTTAAAGTTTTTCATTTCAAATTTTCGGGTAATGATTATATAAATTAAACAATTAATAGACCAAATTCAAATAGAAAATTACAATTTGCAAGCAAAGCAAAGTTTAGCAAAGAGAGACGGCAAGAGATGGAGTGTTTTTTCTCTAATTTTCTGTCAATGTAATGTCAATGTCAAGGAGTTAGATGTCAAATAAATTTGAATACCTTACTCTTATCAAGTTATACTATGGTTTAACTACGTAAACGATCACTTTTAATTATCTCGCCGTCTATCATAGCTTGTAGGACGGAGACAGAATTACTCCGTCTTATTTGTTTTATAAGCGGCTATATTTAATTGTTTTTTTTCCAAACAAGACATAAACATTTTTACAATATATTAAATATTCTGTATGCATGTGAAGGTCCCGCCCTCAACGTATTTTTAATTTAAATTTCTATTTAATTCTCTACTGATAGAAAACGCCAATAACAAATAAAATTTATCTGAGTAACGTTGACAGATTTCATTCTAACACATCGAAATTTATAATGCTGGACAAATTGAGGGCATGTTGAGCTTTATATTCATATTTTTTTATTCCATGTATTCACTATAACATAACAAACGACTGATTTTTTTTTTAAATTAACACTAATATTTTGTTATTTAAAATTTATATCATTATCTACTTATATTATTTGCTGGACCAGATATTATGCTTATGACTATATCTAACAAGAGGGAGGATAAGATTGATCGTAACGAAAACTAGGAGCCCCATTGCTAGCAATTTGCGCTATTGGGTCAATCTTCAAACGGATCTCGAAACCACCGAAGTAAATTCTGAATGAATCCTCTTTGGCACCCTGCCAGAGAATATTGATGGTGAAGGCGGAGATACTATTACAACTACGCCTACGCTATCGGTATACTTTGGGCACCAGTGATAGATAATAGGTGAGGATGAAGGTAGGTCAGTCGGCCTATCGTGAAGAATTCGACAAGAATTATCCACAATAATTTCCAGAGGGAACCGCGTGGAGGTCGATCTGATAGGGTATATAGCTAGCAATAGGGTTGTTTGAGCTCATTACTAACAAGCTGTGTTCCGTCCTCCCCCCGTCCAACTATATTACTGGATACCCATTGCACCTACTTCCTATATTTTTATGATTCTGAATTTTGAAATGGGCACTAGGATTTGAACCCGCACTTGGAGAAACGCTTTCTATAAACTATATATAACCACAAAAAGACATTCATTGTATTGCAAGATCAACCTTAAAGCTCTACATAATATAAAACAAAGTCGTTTCCCGCTATCTGTACGCTTACATTTTTTAAATTATACATATGCATTATACGCAATAAATTTTAATGCCGTTTTTATCAGTAGATAGAATGATTCAAGAGGAAGGTATATGCGTATAGTTTGATGTTATTTTGTATTAATTTATTCAAATATGATGTCACAAAATGAAGTCCGTTTAAGATATAACAAAACGAAGTATGGTGGGATTGTGTCTCTTTTATAAGTTTTTTTTTGGTGGGGCGGGCTGCTAGTACTAATTCAATTGAGATCAAACTCATAAATCTTCATAAGATATATGTATCGTAAAGGATGACCTTTACAGTTTATAGCTGCAGACTAAGTAGGTATACATTACACACAGCTACATATCTGTAGATACTTCTTTATTACCTGATCTTTGATGAACCGGTCTAAGTGCACTTGGATTCGTAACAAAACAACATCGTTCAGACGAAGTCGCATTTTGATAAAGGACTTACGTATGAGTCGTGTTTAATAAATATACCTTAAACTAAAATATATACAAAATAAATTAATAACTATATTTAAACAGTATTAACTATATTTATACAAATAAATAAAAATATTTATAGTTAAAATAAATAAATTGTAAGTCCTTTTATTTATATCGAGATAATTTTTAATTAATAAATAATAAACAAATTTAGTTATAATTAAATAAAACTTTCACATATCTTCACACCATTATACTTATTTTTCAGTCATCTCTAATACGTGTAATAACTCGTATATTATTATTGTATAAAAACATATAAATTGTTTCCAAAAAAATTTAAGATACCTACTACGTTCTGCCACGCTGAGTGAATTTTCAATAAAGTAGAAATAATGAATGTGAATAAATGTGACTTTCTTACATTGTCATGTTTTTTAACTTTATTATATATTGCGCAAGTAAGAAGTTCTGGGGCCTTGAGTCCTTTGGATCCATCCTCCTTTTCAAAGCCTGGTAAGTGTGGTAAAGACCTTAGTATTATATTATAAAATATGCTCATAACTCAAAGTTTGGATGGCTATAGACAGAGAGCTATTGACGTATTTAATATTATTTCTCAGTGTGGGCTTGGCCCCAAAAAAAGCCTGTGTAATATGTACTCTCAGACATGACTTTGCTCATAGCTGAAAGCTCCGCTCACGTCGTAGGGTGGGTACCAGACAATTCTGGTCCTCATTGCTACCATAATACCCCGTCAGATCAACCTACACGCGGTCTCCACAGAAAACTGAAAAAACTGGTCGTAGTTAATTCTTAGTGAAATCACCACGTCGGGCTAACTGATCCGACTTCATCCTCATTTATGTGCCCCGCCCCTATAGTCTGTGTATGTTGGCAATTACTCGCGCATGTATATACTCGTAGTATATACATGCGCAATATACATAAAAACTTGTGCTATTTTACAATTTCTCGGAGCGCGACTCAGTAATATTTTACCTTTGATTTTGAATATCTTTCTAAATTTACCTGTATAAGCGTTCATTATAAAAGTATATCATGATACAAGTATCATGTATTAAGAATACATTGTACATACATATCTAGGATTCCCATTCATACCAGACTTTCATGATAAATCAAAATATCAATAGGCTAAAAAGGGGAATCTTGTGGATTAGTGTTATCTTCGTTAAGCACTTACTATATACTTGTTATAGATTTGGCTGTTATGAAACATGTGTCACTGGTTTGGAATGTAGATTTCGATAGAAAAGTATTGGATGGGGCAGCTGTTCTTGATTTTGAGATATTGCAAGATACTGGAGAATTGGTAAGTCGTTAAATTATCGACATATTTTGCCCAGAGGCTGCAGTCGGCTAAGGCCGACCCTGTATCTACTGCAGGATAGCATTTGATCCTATGGAGTAGACACTTTGAATTTGGTTATTCAGCTACTAGGATTACATATGTACATATAATATAATAATACTAAGAATAATTCGGGATTTGACAATAGCTTTTCTTTAGAAATTCTTAAAAATGTTCCTAATATTCATTTAAATTTTGGATGGAGTCAATATAGTTACTTTTGGTCCTAACATCCTATGTATCCTCGAGTTAAGATAGGGCCAGCCTGTAATTTATTATCACTATAATTTTATGGAAACTTCGCTCTTGGGACTTGTTTATAAACTTGTTTTATCTCGATAATAATAATCTCGTCTTTTTCCTTTTAGTTTTAGTAGGTATCTACAAATGCAAAATAGAAGGAAAATGGAATCTTAAAGCAAACCTACCTGTGCCTGCGACTAACAGGATTATCTTAACCGGTATCTTTTGTCGCCAAAGATTTTTTTAGTTTATTTCGTGACATAAACAAACATTTTATTTTTTATTGGTATGAATACTTATTATTTAGCCTATTTCGATAGTCGTTTTACTGTCTTCATGTTCGATTTCAGTCATGTTTATTTATAAATTGAATAACCTTTGTACAAAATACATTTACCTAAGTACCTTCCCCAGGCTGTATTTCGGCTTGAAGATTGAAATATGTATATACGTATGAGGAGTACGCATTACAGTATATTTTATGAAGTCCATGGTGTTACTATGTTTATAGATTATAGTTACCGTTTTTGTTAAGGTAGGCCGTCAATATGTTAGCCATTTTAAGGTTCATAATCTATCCAGCGTGATGCTATTCCTTTTTTGAATCGTCATATGAAAGTTATATTTCAAAAAGATGTGTGTGCAATCAAATATTCTTCTCTTGTAATAGTGTATTATAATTTAATTCAGTAATTAAAAAACATAGCAACAAAGCGACAATGGACGAGACCATTTAGTAATAACGAACGAGCAAGAATATTTTACAATACATTTTCAGTAAATATAATAATAATAATATTTTCAGATATTAGATGTGAAAAATTTGACTATAGAGAAGATAGATTTGGAGGATGGTACGCCATTACAGCACAAAATAGATGATGAAGTGCCTAAATTTGGATCTAAGTTAACTATCACTCTACCTAAACCAGTCACTACCGGTGATAAGTAAGCTTTTAATGCTTTTTAAGTATTTTGTCTTTACTAATATAAAAAAGTACATTTTTTTACTATTAACAAATTATTTAAACTAATTAAAATGAGTCGTGGAAATTTTTTTATCTAATGTTAGGTACAAATCTCTCTCCATTAGTTAACCAGCCGACTTGAGATGGTGTTTTATTATATAATAGGTTTTCCATTTCTTATACTGGATTACTGTGCTAAATTACCCTAATCGGATCTTAAAACATCTTGGGGAAAAAAGTTATAAGTATAAATATATTCTCATTTCAATATCAGGAGTTATTTGAGTATTATAATTTCTTAATTTTGTATATGTAGATGTAAAGATGAATGCAAAGGTTGCGTGTGTATATATATAAAATTGATTAACTAAATAAGTATTTTTTTATACCACTGAGGTGACAAACAAGTATACAGCCGACCTGATGGTAAGCGGTTACTATAGCCTATGAATGTCTGCAATATCCAAGGTATTACGCGCGCGTTGCCGACTCTAAAGAAACCTCTTTACCCCCCTTTTGAAGAATCCCATGCTGTAGTCTCTTGGGAAAACCTTGACAGGAAGCTCATTCCATAACCTGAGTGTTCGTGGGAGAAAACATCTCTGAAACCGCGTTGTACGCGACCATTTAGGCTGTAAGATATGAGGGCAAACTCCCTGTCGATGGTGAGCCGTACGATGAGTAATAGTAAAGTATAGGTAATTACTATTTTTTTCCAGATTAAAAATAAAAATTAAATATGTGACATCCCCGTCGGCGTCTGGGCTTCAATGGCTGAAACCAAGCCAAACATCAGGGAAAATTCATCCTTATCTCTACAGCCAGGCTCAGGTGAGATTAACAAAAAAAATTGCACCAATTGAAATAACCAAACGGTAACGTCTTTGAATTTCACAACCACACTCATTCAGTATAATAATCAGTTTTGGTACTCCACAAAAATGATAGCCGATCCACGCCCTATGTTCAGCAATGAACAATAAAGGGCTAAGAGAGATAGAGGACGCTGCGAAAAATAACAGAGAGCAGTTGGTGCGTTACTTGGTACAATGATAAGTGATTATCGCTAAAGCAGTCTCTTATGGTACTATACAGCCGATCCACGCGCGATCAATCCTGCCGTGCCAAGACACCCCAGCGGTGAAGTTCACGTACGATGCGGAGGTGAGAGCGCCCAAAGAGTTCACGGTACTCATGAGCGCGCTCCGAGGTGAGGCCAAAAACAACAAGACCAGTTTCCAGCAGCCCGTTCCGATACCCGCATACTTACTGGCCTTGGCTGTTGGCGTGTTGGAGTATAGGACTGTTGGACCGAGGTAATTTAGAGTTACTTTCACTTACATCCTAACCATAATATATACATAGTGGAAAATAGTTGTTTATTTATATTATTAAAAGCTGTACTTATGTGTGTGTATGCGTGTGCGTGTGCGAGTGCATGTGCGTGTTCGAGTGCGCGTGCCGTGCGCGTGCGTGTGCGTGTGCGTGTGCTTATGTGTGTGTATGTATGTACACATGTTCTCATGTTTTATTTTATTCAGTGGGAATATTAGCAGTAGGACTATTTTAAAATTTCCTAGCTAGACAGCATATGTCTACTACTGTTGATTTCTGGAATTCAATGAAGAATGTTTTATTATTATTACTAAATGTGAAAATGAGTTTGTTTGTTTGTTCATTACGCTTAAACACCTTAACTGTTAAATGCATTATGTTAAATTTGAGTATAATATTGCTTTCAAGGTAACTCGTGCCGACAATACGCTGTTCCTGTGACATAGCGATTTTAATTTCAAATTAAATAAATTATAAGTTCACAGGATTTTTTATGTATTTCAGGAATGTTTAATGTATTTAATTTATAGATCACAAGTATGGTCTGAAAAAGAAGATATCGAACGTAGTGCACAAGAATTCGCAGAAGTAGAGAAATACCTCGAAGCTGCAGAGAAATTATGCGGCAAATATGAGTGGAGCCAGTACGATATGCTAGTGTTGCCGCCCTCTTTCCCTCACACGGGTATGGAAAACGTTCGTCTTACTTTTTTCCCGCACTCTGTTGTGGTAAGTTTATTAATTTAGATATATATCTGTATTGTATAATGTTTAAATCATTTAAACTTATATAACAAATTTTAAAATACAAATTAATGGAAAGGGAAACTTTCGCAAAAATTGTGGGTACCTAATACCAGAAGCTTGGGGGAAAGGGATTGTTACTAATGCGGTTTTATTACTAGCAATATACTCTGTCAGGTCGACCTCCCTGTGGTACTCCCTGGAAACCATTGTACTGAAATCCATGTGTATTCATCACGATAGGCTAACAGACCCGCCTTCCTATTCTGGCGGGTGACCAGTGAGGAATGTTAGGTGATATCATCTCTCACTGGTGCCCCGCCAGCGTATACCGATAACGCAGGCGGAAATACCACTCCATTATCATCCATTAAAAAAAATAATACCAGAAGCTTAGATTATAATGATAGAGCATTGAGCTTCAAAAACAGGTCAACTTTTTGTCAGCTACTTGTCAAATTAGCTGACTCGTTCTTTTTTTTTATTAATGTTCTATGTATTTACGCACACAATGTATCTATGTGTAATTATTTAATAAATAAAATGAGTTGTTGCGCATTAAAAAGGTGCAAAATTTGTAAGACAAGATAAATATAGAAGTTATAAAGGAATCACTCATAACTATTAATCACGCAAAATTGTATAAAAAAGTTGACCCGCTTTTCTCAAAGCATTTGTATGGAGACACTATCACTACTGCCAACCCTCCCCCCCCCCCCCTATTAGGGAGAGTCGTATATGCAGCAGTGGAAAGTTAACGGCTGATATGATTACGATGATGATATAGTCGAAAGCTTTGACTTCGTCTTCGGTGTAAGGTTCCATAACCAAAATAAGTAAAACATTCAAAGTTTACCACGTTATTATAGTTGCTCTTTTAATAATTGAAGCTGACTGATTAGTTAAGAAGTACTTAAATATTCTTTACTTAGCTACAGTAATTAAAATACTTACTCTCTCCCTCAGGCAGGTGACAAGAGCATGTTACACAATATTATTCATGAGATCATGCACAGCTGGACGGGTAATCTCGTAACGAATAAAAACTTCGAGCATTTCTGGCTGAATGAAGGCTTTACCGTATTTCTTGAGAGGAAAGTCAGCGCTTCATTAATAACGGATGCTGAAGAGGCTAAAAGAAGTAGAGATTTCCATAGTCTGTTAGGTTTGCAAGACCTGACTGAAACTGTAAGTTTGCTCAAATATTTAAGAAACCTAACACATTTATATTGGTAATGGTAAAAGATTTCTTAGGATATCTTTGAATAGGTTTTGCTAGATCAGATATATCATTATAATAGCAGACCTTTTTCAACGCAACCTTTTGTTTTCGTCTTTCATCAATTTGGCACTGGGGACAAGTGAAAAAGAAAAGAGATGCCTATAGATTTAGGATAGTACCTTCAAGTATGTGGCTATCTCGTAATATAAATTAGAAACCTTTTACTGCAATATTCATTACCTGTTTTAATAGCCATTTCTATGATATATTTCAAATACATAAAGAAGAAAAATGTATGTTTTTTCCAGATAAAGGATCATCTTGGTGTTACAAATCCCTTAACACGACTCGTACCCGATTTGAATGGCGTACACCCAGACGATTCATTTTCTCAAGTTCCTTATGAGAAAGGCTCACTGTTCCTGCGCTATCTGGAAGACTTACTAGGAAGGCCCGGTGAGTTATAAAATTTGAATAAAAAATAAATCTAATAAAATTAAAAGATATATTGTATATTAGAATAAAATCACAAAATTAAATTGTTTATTGCAGCGTTATTTGATGATTTTCTTCGTTCATATATAAAGAAGTTTCAAAAGCAGTCAATAGACACAAATCAGTTTAAAGCGTATTTGCTCGAATACTTCAAAGATAATGAAAAACTGAAGAGCGTTGATTGGGAAGCATGGCTGTACGGCAGTGGCATGCCACCTGTAATACCTAAGTAAGTGTAATAAATATGTTGGATTCTATTTTCTTATCGCCAGAGCCCGAGCGAAATAGGTATAGTATATCAAACAATATATATTTTTATTTATACTTATATGCCAATCCTTTTACACGAAGATTGTCTCTTGTATACATACATGAAAAGTGTATTACAATACACTTTTCATCTAACCATAAAAACTGATAAATAATGTTCATAACAAGTCAAAACCTCCGATCGGTCCAGGTATCCACTTATATTACTCTGCATAGTCTTCTTTACTTCCTCTAGTAATAAAACTAATAATTAAGTAAGTAATTTAATTACGTGCCATCCGAAATTTCGATTAGCCGTGTAGGCCCCGACATAGAATAGGCCACCCTTTCCTTTCCCGTGGATGTCGTAAGAGGCGAATAAGAGAGCTTATGGTGGAAGGATAGGCAGCAGCGTCCCTCTTAAAATATCACCAAAAATCAAACTGTTGCCAACCCGCCTGCCAAGCGTGGCAACTACTGGCAAAATCCCCTTACGAGGAAGACCATGTTCAGCAGTGGACAGGTAACGGCTGATACAATAATCCGAAACTTGTTATATTACAGTTATGATACTTCTATGACGAAAGAGGTGACAGAACTTCTTTCAACCATCAACGACGCTAACACGACCCTCAACTACAATGACGTGAAGAAATTTACTCCCCACCAGTTCATTTACCTGTTGCAACAATTGATTAGACAATCTCCGCTTCCGGTTGAAAAATTGCGAGTTCTTGGGGAAGAGTATAAAGTCAGTGATAGCAAAAATGCGGAAATAGCTTACAGGTAAAGCTGTAATTTACTTAATTATCTTAACGGGATCTCTAAATTCAAAAATTGAATTTGATATTACAGCAAAATATTTATTACATGAAATTATTTTCTATATGTTTAAAATTATTGTTCATATTGATCTTAATAATAAAGATTCTGCTCAGTTATTAAATTGAAATTTTAATTTTAGAAGTATCTTTAGAGAGCTACGGAATCGGCTCCATTGCCTGCGACGTTACTTCACTGAAATTATAGCCGAGATATATAATATATATATATACTAAATCTTTTAAACTAATTTATTGCCGCAGGTGGTTGAGATTGTGCATCAAAAGCCGAGACATGACGAAATTGAACGATGTGTTCGAATTCATCAATCAAGAAGGTGTAATGAATTATATACGACCTATCTACAGGGACCTATATGCTTGGGAGGATGTAAGAGAACGAGCTATAGAAAACTTCCTGAAAAGTGAACAAGACATGTTCCCCGGTTCTGCATACACCATCAGACAAGATTTACATCTTATTTAATTACTAATTAATAATTTTATTCGTAAATTTGATCAGTTTAATAAGTAATCCGAACCTGTGGATAAATAGGAAACGAATCTATGTTATCTACCACATATACGATACAGAACGAAACAGAAACATTAAGCCACTTGTTCTTTCATTTGCAAAAGGTAGCGTAAATGTATCTACAGATTATATCCCTAGATACATTTACGCTACCTCTTGTTATATAACGGTATTTCGAGGATAAAATTTAAAAATAGTTCATATTAATTATTTTATAAATATGTAGAAGGTTATTTTGTAAGTTTTGGAATAATTAAACTATTTTTAGTATTTTGTGTATAGTTTTCAATTTCCTTATATTGTGTAAGTAGATTGGTTAAAAAAATCATGCGTTATGTAGGTATCTTGGCAATTACAGTACGCTATGTATATATATATATATATATATATATATATACATTATATTAACGAAATGTTAGACGGTATGTCAAATCCCTACATAACTGGGGAGAAAGGGATTGTTAGTAATGGAGGCTGAGAATCCCATTGCTAGCAATATACCCAACCAGGTCGACCTCCTCGCGGTTCTCCCTGGAAACTATCATGGTTAATTCCTGATGAATTCATCATGATGGGCTAACTGGCCTGTTTTCATTCTCATCTATCACCCTTCACTGGTGCTCCGCCAGCGTATCCTGTTAGCGCAGGCGGGGTTACCATACCATTTTCACCCATCAAAAAAAAAAAAAAATCCCTACATAACTATTTCATCATATATTTGCTGTCAATCTTAATTTTGACTTTTTTTGTAATTATATCATACAAACTTTCACTGGGTCTAACTTAAAACACCCAAACCCGAGCTAAGAATAGTTCGTTTCCTATATTGGTGAAAGATTGAACTCGGGACCTAATTTTATTCAAAAAAATGTGCCAATATTGCGCCGAAGGGGGGGGGGGGAAGGGATTGTTAATAATGGGGAGGTTAGTCCCCATTACTATCAATATACCCTACCTGGTCGACCTCCACGCGGTTCCCCCTGGAAACTATTGTGACTAATTTATCGTTGAATTCGTCACGATGGGCCAACTGAAGGTCAGTTTTCTTTTCATTTTCACCTATCACCTCTTACTGTATCACCCCGCCATTGAAAAAAAAAATACTGCGCCGTAGAATACAACCCAACTGCTGCTCTTTTTCCCAAAAATTTTATCAATATGCTCTTAGCAAAGATAGTCAAAATTTGCGCCATTTAAATTTTTGCCACTGGTGCCTGTGATTGTTGCATTTTTGCAATCATCATCATTGGTGCTATCTCTAAAGAGCTATTTAGGAAACAAAATTACTATAATTATGATTGTCACAGATAAGTACATTTAGCCCATTTTGCAATTACGAAGTAATAATACTACATTTTTTTTGACATTTCGCAATATTTTATGAAGTGTTATGTTTAATAATCTATGGATTTCATTACCTGTGTGCAACCAAATTTAAAAGAAAAATAATGTCTTTTTCAGGAAAACTAAAATTTTCCTCGCGGGCTTTTCTTAGTAATTGCCGTCTCTTTGTGAATAAATATCACAAGCCAATTTTTACTCGGGTAATTAGATCAGGTTATCACTGCTGTTCATTTCCATTAAAACAAAATTTCTACGGATTTCCAGTCAAATTTCATAATTTATTTCACAGGTAAGTTTGCCTTTGAATAGTAAAGTGCAATATAAATTTTGAATTAAACATGTTATAAAGCTTTTTGTATTAACTTCACTATTAATTAGACAAGGTTTTTGGGTATCATATTTCACTACTTTTATTCCAAGTGTCAACATTTGATTGAAAAAATAAAACGCGACCGAAGCGATTAGTTTTGTTTGAATTTTGATCAAGTTGTATCTTATCACATTGCAAATATTGCAATCGTCTCTTTATTCAGTTTTAATATACTGTCCAATGTATTTTGTATTATTTTCCCGTAGATAACTACTCAATTTGGTAAATAAGTAGTGTACCTCTTAATAGGTATCTGTTTTGACTATCGAGCCGGTAAGTAATATGTGTAAATATAATTAAGTATTAATTTAAAAATAGAATCGGTTAGTTACAGCTCAAATTACGCAAAAAAGTAAAAAGACTTTTCAAATGATATCAGTGACAATGATTTATTACAAAAACATTATTATCTTATGACCTAACCTCTAATACCTCAATATATTGTTGCTCCACTGCCCAATTGCCTTTCTAATGTATTCAGTGTAGTATATCAATTCAGAATTATTTTATTAGCCAATCATAGTTCATTGAGACCAGTTCTATTGTGATCTCACAATGAATAGGAGCTTAAATTTAGTGTCTTTTATTTCATTTTTACTATATTTTAGCCAAGTGAAAGCTATGGGTGCCTTAAGTTCTCTGGATCCCTCTTCCTTTTCACAGCCTGGTAAGTATAATTATTATTATCATTAAATTATATTATAATTTAATACTTTAATACAAATATTTATTCAATGATATAAAGTTGATATGTAAATAATTTGAAAACAATTTAACTAATGTAATTTTTAATAAAAAAAAAAATACTTAGAAAAAAATATTTTCTAATATTTTTTTTTATTAATTTAATTCACAATACTTCTAGATACATTCATATCAGTTTTTAATAGATATTAAATCTTACATAATTGTAAACTCCTAATGGGAGTGTTACTGCCCTGCAGTGTTGGAAACTTCCATATATCTTTATCATTTACAACGATATAAAATTTTGTATTTAATATCAACTATTACAGACACAGAGACCATTGGAGACAGTTGGAGGAGGCCTTTGCTATTAAGTAAACAGACAATAGCAATTAAATAAATAATAAATTGTTAAAACAAGTTATATTTGAATAAAAGCTTATATTATTGTTATTATAGGCTAGAAGATCTTGATATATTCTTTCTTCCAGGATAGATTGGGAACTTATTAATAAAATAGAAATAGATTGGGAATTTATTCATTAGAGAAATAATTCCATACCTAATTTATTTGATTCATTTGTATGGTATTGCACAAAATTTGAAGCTTGATAAGATTGCATGACACAATTAGTTAAATTTAAAAGTTAATATAATTCATCCCTAGAAAGCATTTTATTTAGTTTTTTTCTTTTAGTATCAGTGTCATTATATATTTTACTATTATTACATTTTTTGTAAAGTATTGTAAAAAATAAATTCCTTAATTATATATATTTTTTTTTTAATTTAAATGTTTATATTGTTACAGACTTGGCTGTTATGAAACATGTATCTTTAGTTTTAAATGTAGATTTCGAAAAAAAAGTATTAGATGGAACCGCTGTTATTAATTTTGAGATATTACAAGACATTGGAGAATTGGTAAGCTATTAAATATAAATATAATTATTTAAAAGTATAATAGGTAATGAAAATAATTTTGTATAGCATCTGTTTTATTTGTGAAGCAGTTGTGTTTGCATGGCTGTGTTTCAGTTTGAAGGGTGGGATATGGCAGTGAATTTACAGGGTACAGAGGAATTCTCAGAAATGGCAATACATGGGGGTATCATGGGCGAAACAGTATACTCTGTTATGTCCATGATTTTCCCTGGAAACTATTATGGTTAATTCCTGATGAATTCATCATGATGGGGTAACTGGCCTGTTTTCATTCTCATCTGTCACCCTTCACTGGTGCTCTGCCAGCATATAGGAAACTATGCAATACCATTTTCACCCATCAAAAAAAAATATCCAATCTCAGGTGGAAAGGGGATTGTTAGTAATGGAGTTTAACTGATTCATTGTTAGCAATACAGGGTGTATTGTTAACATCAGGTTGACCTCTATGCGGCTCCTCCTAGAAATCATCATTGTTAATTCTTCTTAATGGAATTTGTCACGATGTGCTACTAACTGATCTGCTTTTATCGTCATCTATCATCCTTCATTGGTGCCCCGTTAGCGTATATTAATAGTATAAGCGGGGTTACCATATTTTTAATATTTTCAAATTCATATTTGAATAAAAAATTGTTATTACTCTGTCACATTGTATTCAAATACGATGGCATCGAGATTGGCATACCAAGTAAAGACTACCCTTTTAAAAATTATATGAGTGCATTTTAATTCTTGATTTAAAGTTTTTCATGCAACTGGATAATTATACAAAATAATATCTATCAAGTGGAATTCAGCTTACTTTAGAAAAATACCAAAACACTTATAGATAAAGTCAATCACTGATAACATGATGTTATCAATTGTGTGTCACAACCTTATAAATATCTGAAACTATCTAAACTCGAATCAAAGATATTATAATTCATCTCAAATTCGTATTAATGAGTAGATAAAAAAAATATCATACCTATATAACTTTGTATTAACTGGTGTTTTAGATGTGCTTCAATTAAATAATTATTTTTTTTTACTTTGTTGTAAATATTTTTATTACAATAATATTTATAATACAATGAAATAGAGAAATACGCAATGCGCAGCTTTATAATATTATAAATGTGAAAGTGAAATTGTTTATTTGTTACCTCTTAGCGCTTTAACGGCCACAACTCATACTATATAGGATGGGCATGGGCTACTTTTATTTCAGTAAATCAATATATCCCAGATACGCGGAGGAATTCGTGGCTGAGGACTAGTATAAAATATATATGTTTATCAGTAAAAAAATATGATAAGAATCAAATGTAATGTTGTAATGTAGAGAGCTGACACGTTTTGAAATATCTAGTAGATATTAGGCAAAGATTTCGAATAAATTACACAACTTCATCACTCACGAATGGTACAACAAAATGAACTTTATGCAATAATGAGTATAGTTTACTATTAAAACTTATTTATATAAAGCAACAGAGAGAGATGTACAAAAATCGTGTTTCTACCACGAAACAGCATTTAAATGCTTGCATTGTATGGCACTGTTTCAGTCTGGTAAATGAAATATAAAGCAATGAAATTATAAGGTATAGATGTACAACACCTTAGTCCTCAGGAATGGCAGCTTGTAAAGGATACCATGTGCATCACAATATTCTCTGTCATTTCTATGTAGTTCATGCCTAGAGGCGACATTTGCCACTATTTTTTTTTTCTTAAATATGACTGCTCTATAATTTTATATCTTAATCCAATATGTTTCTTATATCCCTACTGTCAACATATTTTGTACTAACGCAAAAATTGGTTATTCTATGGAATACGGATTTTTTATAGAACTTAAAATGGTAAACAAAGTTACGGCTCATCTCGTGTATTTTTACATCACTTAGGTGTCAAACAAGCATACGGCCCACCTGATGGTAAACTGTTACCGTAGCTTATGAACATCTATATTTTAAGACCTGAGGTCATGACAAAAATATTAATCGATATATTTATATTCCATTGTATGTGTTGTACATGTCTATAGACGATGGTAGCTTTCCATTAGGTGGGTCGTTAGCATTGGTGTTGTTTAAGATCATATTTAAGAGATGACTTGGCCTCTTAAAAACTTTTAGACATGTTTTTGCGAAGCTCCACTTGCAACCTGAGATGGGCACTATACAATTCTTGGTTTAGCATGGTTCACGCGGCTTCCCCTAAGATATTGTAAGATCATAAAAATAAAGTATTTAATTCAATAGCAAAATGACTATCGAATAACGGTGTAAATCTCCAGGTGATTGAATAACCCGGTCTACGCAATGTTTTGTGTAAAACGAGTTTTTATTAGTATTCTTATAACACACCAGTTTCATAGAGCTCTTATGCTATAATATTAAGTCGTAATGCAAGTACAATTTCTTCCCCGGCTTATGTAAAATGATATTGTATAAATTAATAGCATATTGGAATTAAAGTAAAACAGAATTTTTTTATTTGTAATGCTTTTTAACGCTTTGTCAATACTAGTTAATATATCTGAAAACAAGTTTGGAATACCTAAACTCGTTTTAAAATATATATTATTCATGACTTTGTCGCGTTAGTTTTATTTTGTGTGTCATATTAATAATATGTCTCATAAAAATTTGCCACTGTATGAGAGAAGAAAGATAAAAAATATTTTTATGTGTTTATTAGTTTATGATATAGTTTTATTTTTATAGATATGACAAAAAATATCGAATCTCGCCTATGTACCTAAAGTAATATACTCATATATACCTTGAACACAAAATATACTGTACCTATAACAGTACTTACTTATTACCACTTTCAAAATCCTGACTTTAGATATTGGCCATTATTTAAAATATTACTTTTTCTCATAAACTTAATCTCAATCCAACATAGAGAATCTATTGTCGTATTCCTAAATTAATCTGTGTATTTTGCGCAAATCATTAACAAACGTTCATTCATATATCTTCACAAATTTTCGCATTTTTTATTAGTAGTAGTACTCATAATAGTAAAGTTTTGGAGATTTTTCTCTCTGGTATCGATTTTTTATGCTTGGTCCACAATAGAATACTGAATTTTTATTTCAAAACATTAAGAGTTAACCACTAATTGTTACTCATTAACATTTCAGATATTAGATGTTAGAAATTTGACTATAGAGAAGATAGAGTTGGAAGATGGTACGCCATTGAAGTACAAAGTAGATGACGAAGTGCCTAATTTTGGATCTAAGTTAACTATCACTCTATCCAAACCAGCTACTACTGGCGACAAGTAAGTAAGGCTTTATCATCCTCCTTTCGGAATGACTCAATCAATGTATCCTTTTTTCAATCCTTGTCACGACATCATATTTAAGCCCTCATTTCTGAGATTAAAATCTCACCATTTCTCATTTTGTCTTTTATTGTCACATTCATCTAATTTTCATAATTCCACTATACCTTCAATTTAGTTTAATCATAGGCGTATTTAAGGAGGCGGGGGAGGGAATGCATTGGTCCACCCATAATTGACTGGTGTTTTGCTCAGGATTTGAGCAAAGCTAAGCGCAAAGCTAAAAGTACATATGCATCTTTTTTAGCCTCTTCCTCCTTCTAGAAAATAATAATAAAAATAAAAACACCAATGAGTTTGATACAATCGTTAGTGTTAGTAGTGTCTGAATTATGACAAGACTACGCGATATCTTTTTGTTTACCTTAATTGCATTGGCGTATTTAAGATTATTTTCCAGGGGGAGGGGAGCTGGCTCCTTAAAAATGCGCATATGTACTCTCAGAAATGTCTGCGAAACTTTGCTTGCAGCATGAGATGGGCACCACGCGATTCTGGGGTGGGCATGGCCCACCTGGCCTTCCATTAAAATACGCTTATGTCTAATTTATTACAAAGCTCAAGGAAGTAAGGAATACTTACTTTCAATATCACGTTCTTACCCTCCATATCTCCTTAGCAATTAAACCAAATACTAAATTTTATGAATGTTCTTCAGTTTTTCGTCTCCTATCATTACTAAAAAATAGATTGCTTTTAAAAGAAACATCGAAGATAGTCCCTCGTGTATAAATGTCGATGAAGCGTGCAGACATATTAAACAACCGTCTGATGATAGAATGCGATGTATCTCACTGCAATTTACCGGATTCGCTTATAAACCAATTGCGAACGATAAATACGAGTACACAGAAAAAATTTCGAGGCATATAAAGACTGGTAGCTCTTCCGAATGCTGCTTTTGTAAGAAAAGCCAAAACACAGATGGTGGTACTAGGTTAGCTATTTCAGTATAAATATCACCAAATATGTAGAATCATGTGAAAAGTATGGTCATATTAAAATGTCAATAGAATTTTAGCGTAATTCATGTTATAAACTTATTACGTTATTCCCTTTCATGCACGGCCATAGCGGGGGGGGGGGGGGGGGGTTGGGGCTCTGCTCTACTTTAAAATGAAAAATAGATAGATTAATTTTTTCGAAGTCGATTCTTCGCCTTCGTCTATCCGATAGTAGTTGCTATACTTATAAAGTGTACTTGTATTGAAATTCTTTTTTTATATACCATTTTACTTAAATGCTTTTTTTATTTTGCTTACAAATACATGTATTTAAAAGTATTTGTAACAAATAAAGTAACAAACAGTGTAGAGTTAGTAATTGATATTTTGTTAATTAAATCTTGGGCTTGGATCCATTTAGAATCTAAATGTTAGTATTTTGTTTAAATTTCTATATGTGTACTTGTAAATTGTTATATTTAAAACTTATGTTTATTTTTTAGCGATGTACATACTAATATATACATACATACACAACGGGAATTTTATGAATTTACTGTTTTTATTTGCGACAATGTTTCAACTTTATCCGGAAATTTTCTTAAGGGGGCGTACGTACTTGTAAATTGTATTAAAAATTAAATCCTTTTAATAACTATGAAAAAATAATTTGTTGCAGATTAAAAATAAGAATAAAATATATTACCGCTCCAACAGCGTCAGCTCTACAATGGCTGGAGCCGAGTCAGACGTCAGGGAAAAAATACCCTTATCTCTTCAGCCAGTGTCAGGTGAGTTCTCGTAATTTGATAGTCAGTTTTTTTCTTACATTGTTCAAAACTGTTTATAGTTAAAATATCACCAAAGCCTAACTATGGTTTCCAACCCACCTACTAAACGTGACAACTTCTGGCAACCCTCTCCCGCTTATCCCTCTTATGGGGATGGCCTATATAACAGTTAATGACTGACATAGATAGAGGACACTGAGAAAAGAGGGTAGGTGGTGCATTAATCGGTATAATGATAAGTGGTTATCACTAAAGCAATCTCTTATGGTGGTACTATACAGCCGATCCACGCGCGATCAATCCTGCCGTGCCAGGACACCCCAGCGGTGAAGTTCACGTACGATGCGGAGGTGACGGCGCCCGAAGAGTTCACGGTGCTCATGAGCGCGCTCCGAGGCGAGGCCAAGAACAATAAGACCAGTTTCCGACAACCCGTGCCAATACCCGCATATCTACTGGCCTTGGCTGTTGGTGTGTTGGAGTATAGGACTCTAGGACCAAGGTAACAGGGTATATATTTCATCCTACTAATATTATAAATTGAAATTTTATTTTTTGAATAATTATGTAAGTAATAATTAAAAATTGTGTCCTGCAAAAGAAACCGACACTTCTCAGTTGTTACAAAACTATTTTGATTTAAAAATTAAACTACTGTATTTGACTAAAATTTCTATGGGACCCATCTGTAAGTATATCCTTTCGGATAAATAAGAATTTTGCAAATGGATAGAACTGACGAAGTTATGACGCAACAAAAAATCCAACTGCTCAATGCTTTAATGCAGAACCTTCATCTTATTAAAGTCTGTTGAAAATAAATAAATAAATTAGGTAATTTTAGTCAAATAATCTACAACTAATTCTGGATTTTTAAACTAAATGAATAGCACATTGAAAATATATGTATGTTTATTTCTAGATCACTGGTGTGGTCAGAAAAGGAAGAAATCGAACGCAGCGCATGGGAATTCGCCGAAACAGAAAAATACCTTCAAGCCGCTGAGAAATTATGCGGCAAATACGAGTGGAGTCAGTATGACTTGCTAGTGTTGCCGCCCTCTTTCCCCTATGGGGGCATGGAGAACCCTTGCCTTACTTTCGTCACCCCAACTCTATTGGTAAATAGTTTTTTTGTCACCCACATTATATATGCATAGGAAGACGGATAAAATGGAAGATTTTACTATTAACAACACTTCACTGAGGAAATACTCAATGTATGTTAATTGATTTGTAAATATACGAGCTTTACACACGCATACACACGCACATTCATATAGTTCTCTATTATGTCCATTAAATGAGGTTTACATATATGCATCTTTGGCATGTATTTTAAACACATGTAGTGTACAGTATTTTTACAATCCGAGAGTAATGGCATTTTCTATTATCTTAATTAGTACTTATTAAGATTAATGGAAATCTGTATTTTTATTGGTTATTGTTTAAGTAGTTACTATTGCGTCAAGTAATGGATTTGTTTTGGTCATTAGCATCTCTTATGATATGGATTTCCGCAAGATAACACATAGTTCAGTAAAACTCTTAAGATGTTGCTTTTATATGGCCTATGGACAATATGATCAGTTTTTTATTGGTTAAAAAAAATAGATATGTTTACTTTATTGCAAGTGTTTAAAAGAAGAACACACCAAATATATATGCATCTGCAAATGTATTACTTTGACTTTGCAAATATAATACTTTAAACACTTGCTTAGAGGTAAAATACGTAACTAATAGAATAATTTATCATTTGCTTAAAGAACTTAAAATCATGCATTTGGCAGACTAACTTGCATTATCCCATATGTATGTTAATCATTCTTTTCTGGGAGGAGAAGGGAGGGATGCTAGCATTTAAAAAAAAAATAGTATGTATTCTCATACATGTGTTCGCGCATAGTTAAAAGCTCTAGCCATATCTTAAGGTTGGCACTGGACAATTCTGCCCCCCCCCCCCTAAATACTCCTATGTCTATATTCCCCTATGTTATATTTAATGAAATATAATTCCCCAATGTGAGATAGATTATCCTGTTTATTAGGCTGGCGATAGGAGCCAAGCAGACGTCATTGTTCACGAGATCATGCACAGCTGGACTGGTAACCTCGTGACGAACAGGAACTTCGAGCATTTCTGGTTAAACGAAGGCTTCACTGTGTTCCTGGAGAGGAAAGTTGCCGCCTCGTTAATAGCTGATACAGAAGAGGCAAGAAGGAGCAGAGACTTCCACAGTCTACTGGGTCTACAGGAATTGAATGAAACTGTAAGTTTAACATCTGACTTGCTGGTTTGAAGACAAAGAATACAATGAAAAATAATGTGGTATGGAGAGGGGTAGGCTTCAGGGGCTGCTTCTTACGGGGTGACTAAGTACAGCAACTAGTTCCTAACTACAGTAATGTTTCAAAGTGCCAAATTAGAATTGAGATATTGGGTTAAAACTTAAGTTTATCTGGATCAAGAGGAAAGGGGTGTATTTAAATTTTATCGGGGTATCCTCATATTACAAAGTTTATCCACTAAATTAAATACCATAACCAGTACTGACCTGTACATCTCCGAATTGATTAGGTCTATTTTTACTATCTCATTTCGTAAATCAGTTTAGAACTCTACTGTATTGTTAATAAGTTCTTTCTTTAACCTGCAAAACTATTGTACTGCACAAATGAACGATTAAGATCATTTAATTATACATTAAATAGCGTAAAATGATAATGTAATTTATATTTTTACGCCCAAGTTTTTAAATGTGAAGAATTATATTTTTTTACAATATTCTATTGAAGATATAATTAAAATTTTTGCAGGTTAAAGATCTTGGCGTTAAAAATGCCCTAACACGGCTTGTGCCCGATTTGAACGGCGTACACCCAGACGATTCGTTCTCCCGCGTTCCTTACGAGAAAGGCTCGCTGTTTCTACGCTATCTGGAAGATTTGGTAGGAGGGCCTGGTGAGTTATCGGTAATCTTATTCTAGGTGAAAGAAGAGTTGGGTGTTACTAACCAGTTAACGAAATTAGTGGTGGATTTGAAGGCGGTGCATCCTGATGATGCATTTTCAACAGTGCCTTATGAGAAAGGATCATTATTTTTGAGATACCTGGAAGATTTAGTCGGAGGGCCAGGTAAGGTTTGAAGTTTTTTATGGATAATAATGGAATGGTAACCATGACCTCGCTATTAATATATACTGGGGTCCAATGAAAGATGATAGGTGAAGAAGAAAGCGATTCAGTTGGCCTATCGTAATGAATTTAAGGAGGTCGAACTGATAGGGTGTATTGCTAGCAATGGGGTTATTAAACCTTATCATTGCAAATTCCTTTTCCTCTCAGGTTTGAAGACAAGTTGTTAAATCAATTGTATAGACTCGATTATTAAAAGGAAACCTACTAGTAATACTAACAATCGTTTTAGGCCAGGCAGTTTGGTATAAAGTTTTCAATCGAGTCTCCCTTGTGATAATCTTTTATATAGTCTATGAGGAAGGCTTTAGTAGTGGACAATAAAATACACACTTGAATGTCGATTTATAAAAGTAACCTGTTATATACTACAGTATGAGTAATAGAACTAAGTGATATATTTACCTAGCTTTAGTAGTCATAATATATTGAAATTTCTTTTTAATATTGATTTATAATTTTTGTTACAGAGGTATTTGATGATTTCCTACGTTCATATTTAAACAACTTCCAAAAGAAGTCACTGGATACTGATCAGTTTAAAGCATATTTGCTTAATTACTTCAAAGACAACGAGATTCTGAAGACGGTTGATTGGAATGCTTGGTTGTACACTAGTGGTATGCCGCCAGTAATACCTAAGTAAGTAAATTAAGCTAGTATCCCTATTTATTATCGATTTACTGTATATTATCAGGATAAGTTCTTTTTGCATGACAAGAACCCTTTAAACTTAATTAATTAATCGGGCCATCTCTTGTCCCGCCGATTGGTAGGGCGGGCAAGGCAGGGCCTCGAGGCGTACCCCATTGCTCTGGCTTCCACTCCAAAGGCTACCTCCGGGTCACTTGATTTTAAGCCAACATACATTGGTGGTCTGTGTATGTCGACGTGGCACTTTTTATACTTACATACATTTTTAGCTCTACTCACTTTAGTCTTATTGCTGAAAAGGCAAAATGTGTTAAGCTCCATTTAATGAATTTTACAAGAAGACAAACCAATTAATTTAAAAAAAAATGTTATTCATATGAGTATAATTCAATGTCGGCCACAGTGGCGCTTAAAACCTTTTGCTTTTCAAACGTCGATGCAGGGTTTTACAGATACTTATGTCAAGTCAAAATAAAATTGTGGGATGAAACTTATTAAAGTTATTATTTATTACAGCTATGATAGGTCTATGACTAAGGCGGTTACAACACTCCTATCAACTATAAATAACGACAGTGTGACTCTCAACTACAATGACGTGAAGTCATTCACACCGCACCAGATCATCAATCTATTACAGGCCCTGATTGATCAATCACCACTGTCAATCGAACGGCTTCGGTCGCTTGGGGAGGAATATAAAATTGATAGTAGTAAAAACACAGAAATTGTGTACAGGTTAGTTGGCAATTTAAATATATCTATATAAGAAAAAAAAAACATTTCTTATTTATTTAAAATATACGTAAGCGCTTTGTATCTTTCCTTTTGTGAAATAGTTTCTTATTCGTTAAATTTAAAATTAAAAAAAAATTATGTATTAATATTTTATCACTCTTAAATCGAGAAATTAGTGTAAAAGAAAAATATACACTTCAGTTGTTACAAATACATTTGAGGTTTTTATGACTATAAGGTTTAATGTGAAAGAGACAGACTATATTAATAATACTTATAGAAGTTATTGATAGATTATAAATATCTAATACTTAAAATAAGCTTATTGGAGATACTAAATACGAATCTTAATAGAAAATAGAGTAGATACCTACGTTATAATATTTTTTGCAGTCTTTCAATTAATAAAAATAAATTATCAACGATGTAAGTCTTATTACATAATGACCCTATAAAAATAAAAAAAGAATATTTCTTTCAGATGGTTGAGACTGTGTATTAGAAGCCGAGACTTAACGAAACTAAATGACGCATTTGACTTTGTCAACCGTCAAGGTCGCATGAAATATGTAAGACCTATCTACAGAGACCTATATGCCTGGGAGGATGTCAGAGAAAGAGCTATAGAAAATTTCTTGAAAAATGAACCATACATGATGCATGTATCTGCATATACCCTCAGAAAAGATTTACATCTCAATGAATGATACCAGTGTTCAATATTTTTATCTAACTAGTATTTTTTATAATAATCAATAAATTGATAATTTTATGCATATATGAATAATGTTATAAGTTGACGAATAATAAAATTATTTTTAATATTGTACATTGTCTAATTATTTAAAATTTCATATAATCGTCCAATTAATTCTAGTCGCCTCATGAATTATAATGAATGGTTCGAGGTCTACCTAGACCTTTACATCTATCTATACCATACATCTCTTAATTTATAGATTTTTATCTTTGGGTTCGTTTATGGTGTGGTAGTATTACTATACATGACGTAAACGTAAGGATAATCATTCATTGTATAATATTGGCGACACTATCATTAAAAAAATTTAGTTAAACAACTTTCAATACATACTCTCTGCGCTAATATCTATTTTCACAATAGGGTAGCCAGAAAAAAAACAAGCTTCCGTCTTTATATCTCGCTAAGTCCACGCTTTTGTCCTATTCTGTCTGTGGTCAGATATCACACGGTTTACCTCTACTACCCAAACATTCTTATCATAATTGACAAATGTTGAGCAGAAATCGCTTTTCAGCTGCATTCAGTGTTTCAGAAAACTCGACTCCACTTTGTTGTGAACAAGTTGCATTATAATTATTTGTTGCACAACCATGGTCTTAAACAACAAATTTTGCACAGCGCTCGCTTTTGAACTATATTTATATACTCATTTATTAGTATACTGTGTAATTCAAAACTGCGAATTTCGGCTTATAACTACCTCCGACTACATCATAATATCACAACATTATCATCATTTATTAGTTATTATTTTCTTGCCCGTTACTCGTTTTGGACACAGAACAAATTATATAAAGATAATTAAAAGATGCATTGCAGGGAGTCAATGGATGCAGGTGGTTTAGGACCGTTCTTTATGGCAGTCTATGAAGGAGGCTTACATCCAGCAGTGGACGGATAATGGCTAAAATGATGATGATGAATTATAAAATGTTCAAATTGATGTCTGAAGTGTCAACGTCAACTGTCAATATTGTCAAATCACTAACATAACCTAAGTTCTTACCTAACCTCGAAACCGAAAATTCCAGCAAAATAATAATAAAACTTAATTAATTTACATTTTTGATACATCTAATACATAATTATAAATGCGTATTTTCATGTACATATAAGTGACAATGTCTGCATTCAAAAGAGTACAGGTATATTAGAGTTTTATTTTCACTCAGAATAAAATTTGTTATTCAATGTTTTATATAAATAAAACCGAACTTAAATTACAGCAATGGGCCACCTTCGCACGTACTTGGCACGTATTCGATTGCAAGTGGCAGGATCCTTACGAATCAGCTTTTATTATAAAAAAATATTTAATGGGTTTACATAAACCTATATACCATCCTATGAACGATTGCGGAGATGTAGTAGTATGTATTAACAGTCGAGATATCGCACTTAGGGGTGATGAGTGGCGAAAACGTGCATACTTCCATCATACTGGGTATCCTGGTGGTGCAACATGGACCCTGGCTTGGGAGCTCCATAACAAAGACCCGACTATGGTATGTATATGAAACAAATATTTAGATAGATTGTTAGTACATTAAGACTAGTATAGTTGGTTTTTTTATTTGGTGTCTTTAACAAATAGTTTCTTACAAAGTCTCAATCTATGTCTGTTTTACCTTCCTCTTGTTACTCACTTCTTTTGACCCACATGCCAGATTTTGATCAGTTTTCACTGACATATATATATATTTTTTATAGAAAGCTTGTATATACAATTTGCATGCAGAGCAGATGCAAATTGTACACACAAATCTTCTAGAAGCTGATATGGTAAATCTGAATGTAAGGAATTCATATGTATGTTCTGTTTGTGTAGATGGTAATTTTCTTGTTTTAATGTTAGGCAATAAATAATTTAGATTAATAATAAAAACTCATATACTAATGCATTATTTTATCCAAATTTTGTAAGAATATTTGTGCATATTTGACTACAAAATAAATTAGTACAATGAATTTAGTTAAATGTACTCTATTTTCAATGTTAATATTTAATTTGTATGTCTCACATTAATTGGTTTAACTTTATATGAAGTATGTGTTACAATGTTCATATTCCAAGTAAGAGTTCCACTAAGTGCCAATAATCTGTACTATTGTGTTAAGAAGTTCCAATTGGGGATTCAAGTGACTTGTGCTATATAAATATGTGAAATTTGCACAGTGTATTACTTTAATTCTAAATGCACATTAATTATAAATAATTACTTTTATCTTATCAATATGTACTTAATTGAATGATGTATATGTGACATAATTTAATCTTTGTATGGAGAAATTACATAGAATGTTCTATATTGTTGTTTAGTATTAATCTAATTAAATTTTTAAGTACAATATTACTTTAGATTTTAAATTATCGAGTAGGCCATAGTGTTATAACTAACTAGCCTCTTTGGTTACTTGGTATATTTAAACAAAAAAAATTGGTTCCAATTATTTTGACAAAGCTTTTAATAAGTATATTGAAAGAAAGAAAAAAAGAAATATTTTTATTCAAGTAAACTTAGATTTAAGCATTTTTGAACAGTTCTTTTTTTATTACCACCCATTTAAAATGCAGCTTCAGAATTTGAATGCTTAGATAAAGATAAACTGTTCTTTATATTTCAGATTATTAGAAAAGCTGTGTACAGAGCAATGAAGGGAAATTTACAAAGGCGTCATACAATGGAACGCTTATTCATTTACCCAGGTGAAGATGTTCCTGATGATATTATGCAGAATGTTACAAATCAGATAAGACAATGGCGTTTAGTACCTACCAGACTTGATCATATACCTGAAGAGGAAGTGAAAAAATTCCCCAAGATCATGGAATATCCAGAAGATTATGTTTTAAAATGAGTTGTTTGTTTTTTTTTCTTCTGTTATGCATTAGCTAAATAAGGTTTAGTTAGTAAATAAAAATATAAAAACAGTGTAATTGGTTGATGTATATCTTTATACCTCTAATAGGCTCCTAGAAAGCTTCTAGTAGAAAGGTAGGTATGCCTATTTATTCATTAATTCTATTAATTGATCAATAATTTGAAGATAGTTTTAAAAAGTAAAACATTATAAATGATTATATCCATATTGTTTTTTACGATTTAGTTCTACTAGTAGAACAGAACAGCCTGAAAATAGTTTGTAGTTCTATTAGTAAGAAAGACGGGAGAAGTATATTAATTTAAATCTGAATTATTCAATGATTTAGTTCCATTATTTTTTTTCTAATGAGGTAACCTCATTGTATTTCAAATATTTATGTGTATATAATTCAATAAAGAAAAAAATATGTTTGATGTAAATATTATTATAGAAAAAAAAATCGAAGGTTTCTTTTACATGAGGGATATAAATATTATACAAATCGTATTTATAAAGATAGCACTATTATTTGGCATTGTAGCAAAAATGATAATAGGTTATTTGACTGGTCAGATGCTTTGAAGATTAAGATGAGCATCTTCAGTATCATAACGTATGTTTAACCAGAAACTAGACAGAGACTTTGTATAGAAGTCGTCTGCATGAATATCTCTGTCCCATTTGTGTTCCTTTTATGAAGCAGTTGTGTTTTCATGGCTGTGTTTCGATTTGCGGGGTGGAATATGGCAGTGAAATTACACGGTACATAGACATAATACCTTAGTCCTTAGGAATGGCTATGCATGAGGGGTGTTATGGGCGACACAGTATACTCCGTTATTCATTTGTTAGTCATGGTATTGTGTAAAATGTCTATAGGCGACGGCTTGCTTGCCAATCTAAGTTGAAACACCACTGTTCTCTCAAACTACTTACGAATATCTTTGTCTTGTTTAACATTCGCGTTTTTTATATAGTTTAAAAAAAAACATTCTATGTATCTAAAAGAAAATAATGTATAGTACATTATTTACATAAAAATTATTCAATGAGTTACGAAAGTGCAGGAATAAGAAATCTATATAGAAAGGCTTTTAGCACTCAGTACTTTCTGCCTACCCCGCAAAGGACTTGGTGTGAAGATAAAAATAGTAGTAACATGTTTTTAAAAATTCCTTATTTTCCTTCACATTATGTGCTTACCTGTTTTTACTCAACATAATATTGAACACAAAATGATTGAATGCAGAGAAAAATTTATAATCTCCAATTTTGAAAAGTTAGTTCCTAAAATCACACAACAATGAAAAACTTACAAAACGGCTCATCAAAAACAAAAGATTATACTTGTATGGATCTTAACATTTATGGCGATATAGTTCTAGTAAAACGTAGGACTTAATTTATTTTCACACTTGTAAAATAGAATTAAAGAAACAAAAAAATAATTATTAGTTCTTTTAGTTCTATTAAAATCATACTGCAAATAGTAGAACTAAAGGGACAAAAAAAGTCCGTTTTGTTCTACTGCCTGTAGTGTAACTAAATAGTAGAACTATACGGATCAAATCTTTTAAATGGTAAGTATTAAATTTTGACCAAATGAGTCTTTAAAAAAAATCTGAATCGTTGACGATCATGTGACATAAAAAATAATCCAATTGAGAAACTTTTAATTTTTAAGGTTAATAAATCAAACAAATTTTATATTTGACTGCGTCATTTATTTACTAAAAAAAAAATAACGAATTATAATAAATTACTATTTGGACCTATTTTCCTTTTTTAATTTATCGCCATGTAGGGTCAGCATATTGCTTGATGGGCGAAAATGGGCTATCAACGAGGGGCTGCTCCGCATTTTGGAATTCCTCATTGATGGGCATAACTTTGACACTTTCGGATAGTTCAGATGTGCGAAGATTTTCAATTACGTTTTTTGCTTCCTCAACAAATCGTACAGCTAACGCAGGAACATCTATCGGGGCTTCTGCGAGCGAATCTTTTACAGAACGCCATGTAGGGTTAGTATATTGTTTGCCGGGAAAACGTGGGTTGTCCCCAAGTGGCTGTATAATATTGAGTGTGTCTTCGATTTCTTCATTAATAGGCAAGTCAGCGACCCTTACGCTTTGTAATTCGGATGGATTTTCAAATACATTTTCAGCTTCCTCAACAAATTGTACAGCATCTACAGGAGTTTCTATCGGAGATTCTACAAATTTCACTTCGTGTACTTCTTCAGCATCGACTGAAGGTGCAAGGGGAAGGCTTAAAGGTGCAGGCACGTTATCTTCTGAAATTTCCGGAACTTCTTCTACGAATTTGACTACATATGCTTCTTCAGCAACCTCCAAGGGGGAATCTACAAATCGCACAGCGTCAACTGAAGGTGCCAGGGAAAGGCTTATAGATGCAGGTAAATCAATATCTTCTGAAGCTATCGGAGTTTCTACAAATTTGACTGCGTATGCTTCTTCAGCAGCTTCCAAGGGGGAGTCTACAAATCTCACAGCATCTACTGAAGGTGCAGAGGGCAGGCTTATGGGTGCAGGTACGTCGTTATCATCTAAAGCACCAACAGCATTAAGTTTTTCCATTATTTCTTTAGGTACAATGAGAGGCCTGAAGTCAATTTCTTCAAAAACTGCTGAAGATGATGGGCGCAGATGCATCGGTTCGGGGAGGGCGGTGGCCACCGCCAGGAAGGCCAATATTATTAATGTCTTCATATTTCTGGAAATGAAATATTTTAATTATTGAACAATAATGGGATGGGTCACCACTTCCTTTATCCCCAGTTTACCGTAAAGATTATGGTAATTAATCATAACACTAATAGTTCAAGTATTTGAAACAAAAACAAACTGTCTGATCAACGTGATCTCATGATCTCAATAGATTGATACTCTATATCAGTGATTCTCAACCACTGTGCCGCGGCACTTATGTGTGCCGCCAAATTTTGCAAATATTTAAAATTTTTGTCATAAACTATTTATGCAGTGTGTTGTAGTAAGTAAATAATTTTTATCTTTTTCTTTGCGTGCCGCCAAATTCTGAAATCGTTAAATATGTGCCGCAACAAAAAAAAGGTTGAGAATCACTGCTCTATATTGTTCCCTCCAAAAGATTACAGTAGTAGTTTAAATATATGTTATGCACCCTTTTTATGGGGAGACCTGAATTATATGCAAATAACAGTTTTTAGTAAAGTTATTATTTATTTAAATTAGTGGATATATAAAGTCATTATTTACATATTAATCCCCAGGAATGACAACGTACATAAAGAGAACCATGGACGTCCCTGTATATTTCGTGATGTCTATTTTTCATGAGGTTAGCAGTCAGCTTGTTTGCTATTTCAAATTGTATAAACAAAGTAACTAGTTGTGCCACTAACTTCATCAGCCTTTTAGTCGAACAAAAATATTTTTTTATAATTTTATCATTGTACCTTATAATATCGTCTATTATTTTTTACACCTATACATTTGGAAAAAATGCTTATAGAATTTCAATGCACTAAACTAACTTGTACATTGTTTTATTTCTAATAAATACACTTAAAACAATGTTCAATAAAAAAAGCAATATTCACCTGTTTTATAAACTGCTAAAGTGCAATACACTAAACATTTTAGTGCTTATCTTCTATATATATCAGTAGATAAAATTACTATCGCCTTGTACCTATAAGCCGATTTCGATAATAGGGTTCTATCTAAAAAGGTATTCGTAAACAGTCATTTAAGACTCCATTGTAATATATCATTGAGTATCTATTTTTTTTTTTATACAACTTAGAATGGCAAACAAGCTGACGGCCCACCTGATGGAAAGTGGTAACCGTCGCCGATAGACATGAGCAGTACCATGGACTTAACAGAGTATACTGTTTCGCCCATGATACCCCCTATGCGTTGCCATTCCTGAGGACTCAGGTGTTATTCTTCTGTACCCAGTAAATTCACGACATATCCCACCCCTCAAACCGAAACACAGCCATGCAAACACAACTGCTTCACGGTAGAAACACGAATGGGACAGAGGTACCCAAGCAATCGACTTTTGTACAAAGTCTCCTTCTGGTAGGACACTTTCCCTCATCTAGAACACTTTGTAAAAGTACTCTGCAACTACTTATGATATTAAGATGATTAACATGCTTATTCGGGTTGAGGGTACAATATGGTATTAAAATCATTGGATTTTTTTATTTCACAATTTCTTAATTTATTATCACAAAGTTCGTTCGGTAATGACGGATGAGTGACGAATTCGCTAAGAATCACTGAACACGAAACTACGCGAAGGTCGATCTGACTACCTATATTGTATGTATTGGGTGATATAAGGTATTGCTAGTAATGCCGCCATTAATACCCATTATTGGCAATAATTAAAGCTTATGTTCGTCTCAATTCCAAATAGAAATCCGTGTAAATTAAATTACATAATAAGCCGTTAAGGCGTCGAAGGATAAAAAAAAACACATATTTACATTTATAATATCAGTAAGAATCTACTAGTTACTTATATTTTAGAAATTCTAAAAGAAAAATTCTAAATTCTACTCTTAGGTGTTTTAGTAAATTTAAGAAATGAAATGTTGAATGAAATGTCACTGCTCGGCAAAATATCGAGTATTAATAATAATAATAAAGTCATTTATTCAGCTACAAGTATAGCAATAGTTGAGCAAGGCATATTAATGACAACTTTATTCTATACCGAAATATTAAAATAATGTTTGCATGCTGAGATAGCATTTGTGTTACTTTCGCCACAACAGCGATAGCCGGACATTTATATCTCTGATTACCCCATTGAGGATTATAGTTGTGAGTATATTTTAAGGAATACCATGGCGATCACAGAGTATTTCGCGGTATTTATGGTGTTGTTCATATTTGTAACCGACGGTTACTATTTCCCAGCAGGTGGACCGTTAACTTGTTTGTTATTCTTTTTTTTTTATTTATTTTTTTGCAACTTAGAATGGCAAACAAGCTGACGGCCCACCTGATGGAAAGTGGTAACCATCGCCTATAGACATGAATAGTACCATGGACATAATAGAGTATACTGTTTCGCTATTCTAAGTTGCATATAAAAAAAATATTAATTTTTGAGAAACAAAAATGATAAATATCATCAGAAATGATGTAATTTTAGCAGCCTATTTCATCGGATTTTATTTAAACGGAACCCAACTGTTAAGACACAATTTAATACTACTTAATTAGGTAGCTACTAATCATAATAATCTCTTGGAATTTATTTGTCCACGTGTACTTTACCTGTAGGTATATCTCGAATGCTCTGATTTGTTCCATAGTTGATTCAGATTGTTATTAATCAGATGTAATAAAAATAAATGTTTTGTAATCATATTATAAACCTGTGCATAATTAATAGTTATATTGTCTTCCACAAAAAAAATCTACTTAAATTGTGACTAAAATAGTTATTTGGATGGCATGACGGGTATCATGGGCGAAACAGTAAACTCTGTTATGTCCATGGTACTGCTCATGTCTATAGGCGACGGTTACCACTTTCCGTCAGGTGGGCCGTCAGCTTGTATGTCTAAGTTGCATAAAAAAAAAAACTAAATTATTGAACCGATTTTGATAAAAATTTTATGGCATCAATCTGTATGTCCTTTAAGATTAAAAAAAGAATTTTCTAAATCGGTGTAGGTACAACATGAAGTTATGAGGTAACAAACATAAAAACAATACTACCTAATTGAGAACTACCTTCTTTTGTCTGTTAAAAATTACAATGGATGCTCAAATCGCAAGTCAAAACTGGCAAGACCGTCGAAATTTGATTGTTAGATACTATTATGTATGTAGAAAATTTTTTTTAATGAGTGATAATGGAATAGTAACCCTGCCGGCCTTATCAGTATACGCTGGCGGGGCACCAGTGAGGGATAATAAATGACGATGAATGCAAGCTCACCATGATGAATTCGATAAGAATTAACCATGATGGTTTCCAGGGGGAACCGCGTGGTGGTCGACCTGAGAGGGTATATTGCTAGCAATGGTGCTATTAGACCTCATAACTAACAATCCCTTTCTCCCTATTTAGATAATTAGGTAGGTATATTTGTCCGGATATTTGATGGACCATGTTTACTAAACGCCTTGATGAATTTTCAGAAATAGGGCGTTTGGAGTGGTGGTCGTAAACTTAAAAAATGTTAAACTATCATAATGTATACAAACAATAATGATCTATCTATAGACACATGATAAGTAAGTATGTTATCTATAATGATAATAGGTATTGATTGGGTTTCCCAAGGTGTTAGATTTTAACTAAGTACTTATTGTAATTATGCAGAATCTATACTAAGTTTTGTATTTGGCTCCTGGATCCATTATTGTTTATGTCAGACAATAATATTATAGGAGTCAAAATATAGTGCGTCTTAATGTAGATATCAATTAGGTATAGAGTACGGGAATCAACGAGAAATTGTTTCGACCATTCGAAGTTACGTTGGTACATTGTCCGTGCCTAATCTATGATTGTTTTTAAAGATTGAAACAAATAATGAAACTCATCAATCACTGACAACCAGTTTCAGACATTTAATACCTAAATATCTTATCATAAATTATATTTATTTCAATTCGTTTGGACAATAACATTGTGTTCTAGCGTTTCCGGAAAATTCTGTAAATATTTATTTAGTACTTAATTAGCTCTTGAAAACTACTCAGTTTTAAGGTTAAACGATTTTTAATCTATAAGAACCCACTGACTATTGCAATAATTCACAAGGACCGTGTTCAATTCATCCAATTCATAGAAGAATACATACAAGCGCGAATTTATTAAAAAAAAAAACAAAGTGAGATCCGTAGATTTACAGAGGCCGTTGTCCTTGCTTACATCGCTAAAACGTAGCGAGAAGGTCGTATGATAAGAATATTTACAAATATATTTTGGCCACTAAGGGAACTTTTGGGATTTTCTTGACGAAGGTTATCAAAAACATAGTAGGCGCATAGACATGTCTGAGAGTACATTAAATCTGCCTCCGAGGAGCGTACGCTGACCAAAGCGATTCTAGACCTAAATAAATCCGTTTGCAGCATGTCTACAGAAGCTGACCCATTAAAAACACCTTACGATTTACCGGATTAGGGAACTTAGAAAATTGCAAATAAGTTGGTATAGGTTCTACAATCGTACTTTTTATTCATGAGCGTACGGGTATTCGTTATATTTAGAATTCATTTGTATATTAATATATTTTAATCATGTCTACTAACGGTATGACGAATCATTATCGAGTTATCGTTATCGGTTTTTATCCTCACCAATGACCAACTCGTTTGTTCATAATCCGGAAAATCGTGAGTAATCTTATTGAAATTTAAAACACTACGTCATTATAAGCTTATTGATAGCGATTTTATTTTCAGAAAATTGACTATGCATATGATAAGTGGCTGACAAATACAAAAACCTTTTTCGATTATCTCGTTGCGGTATTTTATGGTTTCCTATCAAAATGGTAATAAGAAACCTTTATAGAGCATATATTATCCACTACGGATTTCATTGTCTGTTAGACTGTTATATAATAGTATGGATAATTGTTTTTATCAGAAACTGTATAATTATTTATAAATACTATAAACTTGGGAATAGAGTTTTAAATCTCATTTATTTCTTTTATGGAAAATTTGAATGTACGAGAATATGCACCTTTGTAGAAATCAACAAATTTAATGTTTTGTAATGAATTGCATCCGTACGAAGCCAAAACAGGTCGTTAGAGTATTATACCTATATATAGCTGAGTAATAATTAGGTTGCTATAAACAAAAGGAAATAAAATCACAAATGTTTGAATTCGAAATCAACATTATTTTATTTATATTTATCTCTTCCGTTACACCAAATTACCTCTAAATATATTTGGCAATATAAAAAATAAGGAATACATTAGACTCGAGATTTTTTCAATCACTCTACCTAATAATTATCTAATAAGGTAAATATTTTGTTACAGACGAAGTCACTAATTATATATTCTACGCATTTCCAATAAAACATAATGTCGAATACTTAACATGTATGCACACATAACATTTCGCACTGTTGTTGTACGACTTTAGTATTATAAATGTAAACATTTTTAAAAATATTGGGTTGGTGCATATGAAATTGCAGATTGCGTAACAATGTAAAACAGTGGGCGCGTATTAACGAACACGTTTTGATTTGTTAATTTTTGTTATTGTAAACAAAGCGTAGCATGTACTTGATTGATATTTTAAACAACAACAGAGGATTCAGACGTTAGACGTGACTTAAGTTTTTCTTTGTTACCATGGATTCGAAAAAAAAATAGAGGTATCATGTTTTATGAGTTCAAAGGTGGATTAAGTTCACGTGAAACAGCAAAAAAAAAAAAAAGAGAAATTAGGGGAGAATACAGTTTCTAAAAGGACAGTGAGAAATTGGTTCCAAAAATTTCGTTGTGGAGTAGAGAATTTTGAAAATGAGCCTCGCGGTCGACCTTCGCGCGTACTGGAAGAGCAAATTTTACAACAATTAGTGGAGTCCAATGTGCATATAAATACACAAGAACTTGCACAAGAACTCGCTGTCTATCATGCAACTGTTGTTTGAGGTCTTAGAAGAATTGGTAAAGCAAGGAAGCTTGATCAGTGGGTACCAAACTCTTAGAGCAAAATAAGAAAAAATCGTTTTATCATTTCTTTACCATCGACAAATAACTGAACCTTTTCTTGACCGTATAGTAACATGCGATGAAAAGTGAGTGCTTTATGATAATACACGAAGGTCTAGTTACATAAGAGTGAACGTCCATGTTTGGCCCCAAATCAAAACTTCACCCTCGAGAAGTTATGCTTACTATATGGTAGTCACAAACAGGCGTTATCCATTATAACTTTTTGCCACAGTGAGACAATGAATACCCAAAAGTATTGTGTCGAACTGCATAAGATGCATGAAAAATTAAAAGAGAAACAGCAAAAATTGGTTAGCAGAATTGATGTAATCCTGCTTCATGACAACGTTAGACCACATGTCGCGTAAATCGTTAATAAAAAAATACATGAGCTAGAATATGAAGTTTTACCGCACCCACCATACTCGCCTGATCTTTCTTCAACACATTACTCCATATGTTCAGAAATTAGGACAATTTTTTGAAAAATAAGAAACTTAAATCTTATCAAGATATTGTATATGTTGCCTTTCGTGAATTTATTGATTAAAAAAAAAAGATAATTTCTTTTTATAATAGCATAAATTCTTTGGTGGATTGTTGGTTGTTATGTGTTGAAGCCAATAAGTAATTATTATATCACAAATAAATAATTTTTAAATGAATTATTTTTTGTTTTTGATCCTCTGTTTAAATCGGCAATTTCATATGCACCAACCCAATATGTTATTTGAACAATAAAAACAATAACGCCTTAAAACATTATTCACGTAACCAAAATAAAGTATTAACAAAGTCAAAATCGATCACGTATGCTTGATCAAGAAAATATTATTACCATAAAATATGTGGATGATACATTTTTAACAACAATCTGAGCAAAATACACCATGTTAATATAATGTGCAAAATTTACGTTTTAGAATTATTGAGAATGTCCAAATTATGACTTTGTCTGCAACACACACGTAATCATTCTTTTGGAATACAATTTCTAATATACGATATCTAGTATTCTTATAGTTAAAATAAAAACAATGACTATAAAAATATACATACAAGTAATAATGACATTATAACTGCTGGATGACGAGTCTAAGATGTCCCTCCAAATTATACCTCCGTTCCAATTAAAAACCATAATAATTCATTTAAATGTGAAAAAAATAAAATAAAAATTACACTGCATTCCTGAAAATTATATTTTATTTTTAGAAAATCCTTTTTTCTTTATTCTCTTTAGTTTGGTAGAAATTCTTCATAGGAATAAGTTCGTGAAGTAATACTGTTCCATATTTAGACATTTCCCTTTGTTGTTTCCGTGTACAATAAAAATTTTATAAGAAAAAAAAAAAAAGTAAACAATTAGCATAATTTGTACATTTACCTATCACACAGAATATCATTATAATAACAGCTCTGTTAGACAATGAATAACACAAATTAAATGGATTTTCTCTCTTTCTCCCTCTTTTATCTAGAACTTCTTGAATGTTACACCGACGCCCCCTAGTTATAATGTCATAGTAATAACTAGTAACAAAACATGAAGTGCCTTACACACTAGTATAATGAGTTGAACATTATACAATGAAAACTATCTAGGATCAATGTAAGACTGCATCGTACACTGACCGATTTATACATTATATTACATTTAACATTATGGTCTAGTGACTTGAATGCAGTTTTGAGGCTTTGAGTTCCTTGGTTTGATTCTATTCTCGAATTGATAATTATTCTTGATAAATACGTAATGATTGTTCATTGGACAATAGGTAAGTAAGTCTAGAGCCTCGTTTATATACATTTTTCTTGACAAATATAGTGTTTTTATCTATTTATATTTAATAGGATCAGTGCAGACCGACGCCATAACGGCGAAGACTAACTCGTTACTGAAATATGCATTGTTTAAATATCAATATCATATCCCAATAATTATTGTTTGAAAAAAATCCATGACCACTTGAAATTTGACTTTAGTATTTAGAACATATGATTGAAATTGGTACAACAAAATAGATAGCGCCTGACAAGACCTGCGTTATGTTTCATTGCGAGTCTGCACTGATCTTTATATATATATATATATATATATTATATAAGATCAACTATTTTTATAGAAGTAAAATCCACACGACTAATAAACCCAGATGGAGTATTCATAGGCATTCTGTCGATTATTGATTTTATAGTATACGTAGCACTCGATTTGTACACAATATTCGAATGCAATATGGAGAGGGATAACAGTTTATACAGAAGTAGTCACGTAATCATAAATTTGTATTTAGTTAAATTTGTAAAAAAAATTTAATTAAAAGGTTATTACTGAACTTTAGGTAGGATGGATTTTAAATTTAGATAATTTTATTAAGGAATAATTCTCGAGGTACGAATGCATGATTAAATGATATTTTTCGTGAATAAAAGTTATTCGTCTGCAGACGCCCTAAATGTCAAATTAGTTACTGATTACAGAATAGCTAAATATAATAATTAATAAATAAAAATGTATACGAAATAATACACTTTCCTTATTGCGAAATTTCTCAATTGTAAATACAAAATCTTAGTTTTCCTAAAGAGAAATATAAGTGTAGAATTAGCATTTAAATTGTCTTCATAAAGACATTATGAAATATTACAAATCAAGGCTAAACTTTGATTGTAGCCAAAGCGATATGCAAAGAAACATACTATGCTACACGTATAAAAGTATAAAATAACAGAGATTATGTGGTCCCGAATTGAGGGAATGAATTCAACAATACAATAAAAAAAAACATAATTGTGTTCAATAAATAATTCAATATAAAAAAATGTAAGCAGTTCGCTTGCGCGTAAATACTTAAGCAAGTATTTATCCTTATGTTTTGGGCTCTGCGTGGTCACCATAGCTTGGTAACCACGAAAATTAAAAACTATAGGGACTATTAAATAAAAATCTAATTGCACCCATAAACACATACCTCCATATTTACAAAAACGTTAAACCTTTTATAAACCTAGTTTAGCAATTGAACTGTTTTCTCTTTAGATTTTAATTCCCAATTTGAAAGAAAGTGTCAAAACAGTGAAAACTGACTCTTTCAAATCAGATTCGTTAAAATAGATTTGTAGAAAGTTTTAGTTTTTATGAATAAGTGGGCTACTTACAATATTTTTAGGTTTGTCTTTGACTCTTTATTTTTTTAAACAATAGATTTTTTTTTAAATAAAGCGTACAAGTGTGTTTATTAAAAATAAAACACATTCACAATGTCGTAGTTAATCATGAAAGGTTTGTAATAAAAATATTTTTTTTTTTATTTCTAGATATTAGATTACGAATATACACATTGTTACATTTTACCTATCTAATTAATAATCAATACAAACAGATGGTTGTACAGCGTGGGGCAGATTTTTATACTTTTTTCATTACTCACCCATCAGAACATACTTTCATATTTTAAATTGTTATGGGTACTTTATGTAAGCCCTATAAGATTCAATTAGTAATCTGCGAATGGAAAATATTTATATATCTGATAGATATGTTATTTGCATTACTTAAAACACACAAATAATAATATAAACATACACATAATACAGACATAAACAGTAAAAAGAGATAAAAAGAATGAAAAACAAAAAACGCTACAAAATACAAAAAAAAAAAATTATTAAACTACAATTATAATTAATGTATATACATAAATAAATAAGATAATCAATACTTCTATGACGTTACCAGCTGTATTCGCAACCTCGTCTGTGTTACCGAGATAGTCTATGTACATCCATATATCAAATACTAAGTGCAGAGGCGGCTTTACCTATGGTGCAGAGCGCGTAATGCAATACGGGCGCAGGGTCTTAGCAAGCGTCGAGTCATTCATGATTCTTTCAAAGAGCAGGAGTCATTTGAGTGCATCGTTAGTTTTTGCTAATGCAAAAACACGACAAGTCATGTATTTTTTTTTTAATATATTTCCATTGTATCACGAGCGTCTTGTATTGTAGTCAAAAATATGTGCTTGTTTTATCCTTGTAATCGTTTTTTCCCTAAAAAATACTTTTTACTCGTATACTTATTGCTTGCTAACATCATTTAAAATTACCCGCATTTCTGTTCATTGGTAAAAATATACCTGTAAATATATCATTTTGACCGCGTGCCTACTCCTCTAGTAGGATATTACTTGCATGCACTTGCACTAGGATATTGATTGCATGGGCTAGAGCCGCCTCTGACTATGTGTATACTAAATGTGACGTTTGGCTGAGCCGTGAAGGCGCTATGGGGTAAGGAACTTGCTTTCATATTCATAATACTACTAAGGATTATGGTATCTTCAAATTTATTTCTCTTTATTGCACCAGTTAAAGATTAACACAAAAAATATCCAATGTAATCCTATTATTATCACAAATGTGAAAGTTAACGAATATGTAGTGCATCACACTTAAGATTTGTAAGTTTGCTATTCTCAGTAAACAGTTTCGATTAAAAATAATGATCAAAACCGTGTCACAAGTTAGCGAATATAACCGGGAACATATCTAAACCATACAATTGAATTCCTCCTTTTAGAAGACGGTAGAAATATTTTTAAGAGCAATCAATCACTATTTCCTATGTTCAAAGTAGATATAGTAAAGGTAAATCGTCATAGTCGTAGAATACTGACGGATCTGACAAAGATTACATATATAGATCCGTCAGTATTCTACGACTATGACGATATATTTGACTTTTAGATAAAAGATAAATATTAAATTTTAGCTATTTTTATTAAATATTTTCCATTCGCAATTAATAATTATATACATTTTGGCAATTTGAGATCGCTTATAGAAGTTATTAGTGATCTATATTTTAATTCGTGATTAGGCAAACTTCTTTCCTTTTTTAGAGTTTATTTTACAAGCGAATCGTTTTGATAAACCTTTATCCGACAATAGGAATTATATTATAATAAAATACGGAAAAACTCATTGAACACGGTATTGCTCGAACACTGACTACATTTAACATATTTCATCCTTATGTATATTAATATAAGGTAGACAATTAAGGTCGGTAAGTATGAATATGCTCACGTTCAAGTGGATGGATCAATGGATAATAAACCTTATGGTTAGGGTGTTAAGAGCGATGTGGGTGCGGGTGTCGGTTGATGGCGGGTGCGGTTAAGGCGAAGCGCGCCGCCGTCATTCCCCGACTCATTTAATCGCCCGCGCCTCTGGCAGGAACGCGTCCCAGTAGCGAATTGCCTGCAAATAAAAGAGAAATAAAAATACACAACCCTAATGTGAAAAAGCGCGGGAAACGTTTAAAAAAGCGGGAGTGTTTTTTGATCTTCTTTAAATTAATTTTATTTTTAATTATATAAGGATTAGTTTTATTTATATATTGTGTATTAGATTGTATATATAATTGTATATTTTGTAGTAATAGTGTTTGTTGCTGTAAATATTGGTAAGTAAATTACCTATATTAATTAGACATTATGGATCCACCTATAGACCCTGGGGGGACAACCCCCCAGGTGTCTGCAAATATAACTATCCCATTTAATAATAGTTTTGATATATTGGGTGAATCTAGTATGGACACAGATGGTTCTAGCGTTGCAAGTTCTAAACGTAAGCGAGTACGTGGCGAACGTCGCATTTGCAAACATTGCAATAAAAAACGAAGGAGGCACACCAAAGGTCTCGAATCTAAAATTAAAGATAGTGATTGTCAATGTATTGAGGATGAGAATCAAACTCTAGTATCAATACCAGTTGTAAATAATACCGAGTCTGTTAAACCTGCTTCTCCACCCAGTACTTTAAGCAGAACTTTGTACAATGCCGAGGATGTAGCTCCTTATGTCGTTCATGTACAAAAAAATGAAACACATCCTAATGATAACACTACATTACATCCTATTGCATTTGGTCGCTTTTTACACACTAATAAGATAAATAATATAGTGAATGGTAGCCTCAAAAGAATAGGAAGAAACCGTTTATCGCTTTCTTTCTCAAATTTTGAAAATGCAAATGCATTTTTAAATAATAGTCACTTAGAAACACATAATTTTAAGGCATTTATACCTTCTTTCCATGTAACCCGTATGGGAATTGTGAGGGGTATTCCTAAAGATTGGACAGAAGAGGAAGTAATCCAAAATATATCAGTACCTATAGGTTGTGGGAGAATTCTAAAAACCAGAAGAATTAAGAAAAAGACCATTAATGAAGGACAACCAAGTTTTATTAATACTGAAACCATTGTTATTACTTTTGATGGACAAATATTACCAAAAAGAGTATTTATGTTTTACACATCATTAACTGTAGATTTGTACATTTACCCCACTATCCAATGCTATAACTGCTGTAGGTTCGGACATGTCAAGATGCAGTGTCGTTCAAATCCTCGGTGTTATAAATGCAGGCAAAATCATACAGGTGATAAATGTGAAGTAGATGAGGAAAATGTTTCTTGTATCTTGTGTAATGGTTCTCATTCAGCAATTAGTAAGAAATGTCCTGAATATGCACGTCAGAAAGCCATTAAAGAAACAATGGCCCACAGTTGTGTTTCTTATGCTGAAGCATCAAAATTTCATCCTCCCACTTCTAAACTATATTCAGATGTATTAACATCATCATCTCCGTCCAATAAATCTCATTTTCAATCTTCTTTCCTCAAAGAGAAATCATCATTACCACATATTCAATCATCACATAAAAAAACAGTTACACTTAAACCACGCTCTCCTCAAAAAGCACAACAAGGATATGATCGTTCTGCCCATGAAGCCATAGTTAAGGAATATAATATTCCTGCTCCCTCTAATGGTTGTGCATTATCATCAAATAATATTGACAATAATCAATCCATCTTTGATATTATTCTCATGCTTATTAAAGTGTTATCGCAATCGAAAATGATACAAACAACTTTACCACCGTCCAACGATGCCATTTACAATGTATTTTCTCAATTATTAACTTCTCACAATGGATTACAAAGTCCTAATAATTCAGTGGAACTGTCGTAGCATAACAAACAAGAAATCAGACTTATTTTATTTGATTAATAAATATAATCCTTTTATAATAGCTCTCCAAGAGACTTGGTTAAAGCCAGGATATCCTTTTAGGATTTCAGGCTTTACAAGTCTCCGTGATGATAGAGCTGACGGATATGGCGGTGTTGCCATATTGGTCAAAAACTCCCTTCCTTTTTCTTCTTTTTCGCTTCCTGTATATAGCGGCATTAATGCAGCTGCTATAATTATAAATGGTATCTGTTTTGTTACTTTATATATTCCTGATCCTACATGCCAAATATATTCACAACTAGAACAATTATTTTCAATTTTACCTAAACCTTTTCTCGTAATGGGCGATTTTAATGCTCAACACCAATCGTGGGGCAGTTCTACTTCTAATTTTTATGGTGGAAAACTCCTGACGATAATTGACACTTACAACTTATGTATTATTAACTCAGATGTACCAACACGTAGAACTGCACCGAATGAAGGGTTTAGTGCTCCTGACATTTCAATATGTTCTTCTGATTTAGCTTCTTCACTGTCGTGGTATCCTCATTCCTCTACTTTCGGAAGCGATCACTTTCCCCTCATTCTTTCTTTTCCAATTTCCATTCCCTCAAGTCGAAAGAGTGGTCCTCGGCTTAAATATAATTTATCAAATGTAGACTGGAATATTTACAAACAATATTTAGATAATAAAATATCGGAGTTACCTATTGTTTACCATGGAAATGAACATCAATGTTGTAATGACTTGATGATAAATATGAAGGAGGTTGCTGATTTATTATTTCCTGTTAAAAATAGTGCTTCAGGGAAAATTCCCTCGCCACCTTGGTGGGACAAAGATTGTACGGAAGCAATTAAAAATCGTAAAGAGGCTGAAAAAAATTATAATAATTACATGACACCAGAAAATTTTGAAATTTACACCGCAGTTTCACGTTCTACTCGAAAACTACTGAAAAAAAAGAAATTAGAAGGCTGGAGAAGATTTTGTTCTTCTATCTGTCCAGAAGTTAATTCATCAGTCGTTTGGAATAATATTAAAAGATTCAGATCTGCCTTTAGTGATCATACATCACGTTCTGCACTCGATTTAACTTTAGCGAATAAATTTTTAGATCGTCTTGCTCCTAGTTATGTGCCGGAATGCCTTTACAATATTTCTCTATCCGTCTCTGACGAATTATTCGAACTTGACTCTCCTTTTACTCTAGTAGAACTTAAAGGTGTTCTAGCTTCTATTAAAGACTCTGCACCGGGAGAAGACGGTATACCGTATTCCTTTTTTAAAAATGCTAGCGATGCGACATTAATTTACTTTTTAAATATAATTAATTCCATAATTATTTCGGGAAATATACCTACTTCATGGAAGTCTCAGATTATTATACCATTTCTAAAGCCTCATAAACCACCTTCTGAACCATCTTCATACCGTCCTGTTGCACTTTCCTCTGTCTTACTAAAGCTAGCTGAACATTTAGTGAAAAACCGTCTAGAATGGTTTTTAGAAAGTAATAACTTACTATCCCCGAACCAGTTTGGTTTTAGGAAAGGTAAGAGCACCTTAGATAATGTGAGCATTCTTATTTCAGATATTCATATAGCTTTCTCACAAAATTTGTCAATCCTCTCAGCCTTTTTAGATATAAATTCTGCCTATGATAATGTAATAATTTCTATTTTAAAAACTAAATTACAAGCTCTAAATGTACCGGTAATGCTTTCTAATTTCATTATTAATATTTTATCAGAAAGAACAATATATATGAATTTAGATGAAGATACCAAATTATCTAGAACAGTATGGAAAGGCCTTCCACAAGGATCTGTTCTCAGTCCAATCTTATTTAACATATACACATACGATCTAGAATTATTCCTTGATAAATCCGTCAAAATTTTACAATATGCTGATGATCTTTTATTATATTTTATTGCGAAGTCCATAGAATCTGCTTCTGCCAAATTATCTGATTCATTAGATTTGTTAAAAACGTGGTTAGATGCAAATGGTCTTAATCTTTCTGTAACCAAGAGTAGTGTAGTTTTGTTTTCAAGAATGAGATCACCGCAACAAATTAAGGTGCTTTATGATAACTCATACATTCCTATAAAGACTGAAATTAAATTTTTAGGTATCGTGCTAGATAATAAATTAACAGGTCTGTCCCACTGTAATTATATTTCTACGAAATGTGAGCGTAACCTCAACATTCTTAGGTGCCTTGCTGGAGTTTGGTGGGGAGCACATCCCGTTTCACTAAAACTTGCTTATAATGGTCTTATAAGGAGTGTCATTGATTATGGAACTTTTTTGTTAGCTCCAGGAAGTTCATTTGCTTTTAAGAAATTGGATTTAATTCAATCAAAGGCCTTGAGGATTATCTCTGGAGCAATGAAATCAAGTCCAATCAATGCTTTACAGCTCGAAGTCGGTGATCCACCTTTGGTTTTAAGAAGACAATATCTATCTGATCGCTTCTTTTTTCATTGTTTACAATTATCTGATCATCCGCTTATTCAAAAGTTATCTCAACTACATATCTTTATTTCGTCTTCATCTTATTGGAAACATAAAAAACCTCCATGTTTAATACAAAGTTATGAAAAATATAAATCCATAGAATCTCCCACTTTTACATCGTCCTGTTTTCCCATTTATAAATGCTCATATCAATCTTTAGTTTTATCTCCTAATATTAAATATGATTTTGGGTTATTAAAAAATGATTCAGAATTGAATGCCAAATTTATGTTTATAACTGACATTGAATGGAATGAATGGCACTACATCTTTACTGATGCATCAAAACCAGACAATAGCGGTTGTGTAGGTGTGGGTGTGTTTCATTCACAATTTAATATCGTTCAAAAAATTAAACTTCCACCGGAGTCTTCAGTTTTTACCGGGGAATGTTATGGTATTTTAAAAGCTGTAGAATATATACTTTTAATGAAATTACATAAGGCAATAGTTTTCACTGACTCTATGAGCTCTTTGCAAGCTCTAGCCAAATATCCGTTTAAATCAAAACCAGTTTATCCCATTATTTGTGACATAAGACAAAGTCTTTATCTTTGCATGTTGAGAGGTTATTCCGTTTCTTTTGCCTGGTTACCAGGACACAGTGGTATTAGCGGCAATGACAAAGCTGACCTTATTGCAAGAGAGGCTGTAACTTGTGGTGATATGTATCCGTATCATAATTACTGTAGTGACCTAGCTTGTCTCCCAAAAATATATTTAAGGTATGCCTGGAAGGAATATTGGGAAAAAACAAGTACAATAAAAGGAAGATTTTATCGCCTTATACAACCCGATATTCCTTTCAAACCATGGTTTTGTAAATTAAAGCTTGGAAAGACCGCAACAACTATTATAACTCGTATGCGTCTAGGTCACGTATGCACACCTTCTCATTTATACAAGCTTGGTATTGTACAAAGTTCGTCGTGTAATTGCGGTGCTGAAGTGGCGGACTTGAATCATATATTCTTCTCATGTTCTAAATTTGACCACACCTCCCTTTTTAATCATCTCCGATCCATCCGTGTTCCATTCCCAACTTCTATTCTTACTCTACTTTCTTCCAATGATCCTATTATCTATAAAATACTATCTTCATATATATATGATAACAATATTAAGATTTAGTTATATTACATGAATACATTTATAGTTGCATCAATTGCTTTTCCTATATATTTATAAGTATATTCTCATATGTACAAGTATATGTTTCATATCCTATAAATATCCTAGACCTAATCCTTATCCTTTCTAAATTCGTTTGTGTTAGGTATTTTTATTACTATTATCGTTTCCCCGTTTTGTTCTTGGCAAAATACCCTAATATCGGGGTGAACGCCACAAAAAAAGAAAAAAAAAAAAAAACCCTAATGTCAAGACATTTGTCTCAAAGATCGGAGGATCGTAATTAGTTTTTCATAATTCATCTCATTTAAAAATTTAGTAAGAATAAGGTAGTCTGGAAGAGATTGTCCTTTGTACTTTGTAAGTGTAATGTATTTTTATATTACTCTTTAAGTAATGTAATAAAGAGTAAATAAATATCTAAAATAATTATTAAAGTGGGTAGATTTAGGTACTTTTGTGAATTCAATAATGCCTACAAAATGCACCCTTCCACCCTGAAGACTCTGCATAGGTTTGGAGGATTATCACAAATTAATTCGATGTTTATTATATATTTTTCTCAAACATGCTTGGAAATGTGAGCATTATTTTGACAATCTTCTTCGAGATAAATCAAAATTGCCGTACTAGCCAGATACATGCGGGCAGCGGCCAGCAAAAGTTGTATGAAAATCCATATCTGTCGTGTTTTGCGGCCAGATAAATTACTATGTAAACTCATATCTGTCCTGTAATTTAAAAATGGAATGACCTTTTACTTCGAAACATGGCTACCAAGGAGGTAACTAATAAAAGGTTTTATTTAAATTTCGAACTGGCTTGCAAATAGAAACCTGTTTATTGAAAAAAAAAAAAAAAAAAAAAAAAAACAAAGGAACATTATGGCGCATGAAAAATTATTATTGTTCGTTATTCGTTATTGAACTTAAAAAGTAAAATTGTGTTTTTGATTTCCGCGCATTGTTTGAAAAAAGTACTATACAAGCCTTGGCCACTAGGCATTGATGGACTCGTGTATGTGTGCCTCGGCAACGCCTCGGCCCACATTTGCACGTTCGTCCATCAATGCCTCAGTTGCTGGCCGCTGCAGTAATATACTATATATTATTTAACAAACAACTTTAAGATATGACACGACTCACGCGACACGTGCGAGTTAGTGAAACGTATCATCTCAGTTGCTTGTGAGCCTTAATTTATCGGGACTGCAATTGGACACGAGCTGTCAGTTCGCCAATGTAATTATTATCGAATTCACAGGAACATCAATTCTACCTTTACATATATATTAAAAAAAAAAAGATTATGATTAGCTGTACGAACCTGTGCCTGATGCTTCATATGCTCCTCCAGGTAGCGCAGGATGGTGGCTCTCAGCTCCGACAGCCGGACTTCGTCCCATCGTTCCAACTCTTTCTTGATTACGCGGGATATTGTGTCGAATTCCTGTTGTCCACGTTCCACTTTCGCTTCCCACTGTGTATAGTTAGACTTCATATTAATGTTTAATTTTATTATTGTGGAGGAAAGGGATTGTTAGCCGCAACACTAGTAATATACTATCAGGTTTGTTTGGGTACAGTTGTTTGTGCATGGCTATGTTTCGGTTTTAAGACAGCGAATTTACAGTGAACAGAGGTGTAACACCCTACTCTTTAGGAATGGCAAAGTATAAAGGGTATCATGGGCGAAACATTATACTCTGTTATGTTCATGTCTATAGGCGACGGTTACCACTTTCCATCAGGTGGGCAGTCAGCTTGTTTGTCATTCTAAGTTGCATAAAAAATCTCTGCAATATATACCTATCGGAAATGGGTATAAAATGATATATAATCCGACATTGAGGTTGATTTTGAGGTGCCATTTCCCTAACTGAGTTATAAATTTATAAGTTGATATCCTAGCGAAATCTTCATGCTAAGGACTAAAATGAACTGAATTTCTAAGTATAAGTTAGTAATTCTGGAAAACTATAACATTACATTATTCGGTTAAGAAAAATGGCGTCATTATCAGTAATATATATAAAAAAGAAATGCATACCTCAATAATTTCATTGGATGCCTGTTCAATCTTTTCAGGTCGGTTGGCTAATTCGGCCTTCGCTTTGTTTTCTCTTCGCTTCGTAAGTTGCATTTGAGCATGTTGCCAGTTTTGGAACACCTGTAAGATAATAAAAATAATTGTCAAAACTTTACTGGTATCACAGATCATAATTGGTAATTTAAATAGAGAAGCTCCTCCACTTTTGAAGTTGGTTAAAGATAAGTGTTCATCACATATTGTTATTAATAGTTTTCAACTATTAAATATGTAATTTAATTATTCTTTATTGCATAACAAAAAATTGTACAAGTGGCGAGTTTAATAACATGATTTTGATATATATAAAAATTTTCATTTGCGAGCTAAAGAAAAAAATTGAAGAATTTAAAAAAAGATTGACTAAACTTCATAATTTTGATGTTAATAACCTTACCTTGACTCTTTCGTGGAAGACATCCTTGATGGCACCAATAAGGCCGAGGTAGTCTTTAATGTGTTCACTCAGTACATAGAAGTCAGTGTTGGATTGTTCAATTCTCAATTGTTCGATCTAGAAATGAAAGAAATTCATTAAAGTCGTTACAAGTAATTCGTAAACTAATATTAAGGCTCTATAAATCTAGCAAATGACCAAAAAGTTTTATCGTAAAGTAATATTTGCGATTCAAGTAGTAGGTTATGACTATTGTACTGTACCTCGATTGATTCTCGACTACACCACGAACTGCGTTGATATGTCGCGTATGTTGACGAACATATATAGAGAATATATATAGAGAGAGTTACCAAAAAATATACAAAGACATGTACTATACTCGGGTTTATATTGGACACATATAGCACAAGCTTTCGTATAGGATCGTATACAGCGCGGCGGCGGCGCGGGCGGCGTCGTGCGCGCGCGCGGCCAGCTCGCGGCGCTCGGCGGCGTGTGGCGGCGTGTGGCGGCGTGTGGCGGCGTGTGGCGGCGGGCGTACCTTCTCGTGCAGGTCGGCGGTGTGCGAGAGGGCGCGCGAGAGCGGCGCGTGCGGGTCGGCGCCGGAGAGCGCGGCGGCGGCGCGGGCGGCGTCGTGCGCGCGCGCGGCCAGCTCGCGGCGCTCGGCGGCGTGTGGCGGCGTGTGGCGGCGTGTGGCGGCGTGTGGCGGCGGGCGTACCTTCTCGTGCAGGTCGGCGGTGTGCGAGAGGGCGCGCGAGAGCGGCGCGTGCGGGTCGGCGCCGGAGAGCGCGGCGGCGGCGCGGGCGGCGTCGTGCGCGCGCGCGGCCAGCTCGCGGCGCTCGGCGGCCAGCGCGTCGCCGGCGCCGTGCAGTCGCCGCAGGCACGCCTCCAGCGCCTCCACGCGGCCGCACCGCTCCTCGAACCACTGCCGCCCATACACATTGCACTCTAAAGAGCTCGGTCACACTAATCATTGGCACTAGTGTGAAAAACCCTTAATATATTGCTGTTAATCTTACTGTTTCATAGTATAAATTATAACAATATTAATTAAGAATCTTTGTTTTCATCAGTACAATTATGTACGTATAGTTATGCAATATTAATATATAAATGTAAAAGTTCAAATCATATTTAAACAGCTATATAAACTTGAGTAAAATTTAATATACAGATGATAATCCACATCTTTTTTTAATCTTATTCGTGCTAGTAGTATAATAAACTAAATGAGATCTTACCGGATCTGACTCGTCCATTCTGTAGGTAATCTTGTTAACGGTTTCACCCACTTTGTTAAAAAGACGCAGCACCCCAGCACCACTTAGAGCCGACGTACTCGTCGCTTTCGGCAATTCAGTATCTAAGCAAGATGAAACAAGATATTAAGAAAGCATTCACACTTTCCAGACACGAAGGTAAATACAATGTAACATATTGCTATGTTATGATAGAAAAAAAGAGGGTGAATATGATAAAGTCACAACAAATTGAATATATATACAATAAATAATAATATTAACAATATTCTAAAAAAGATCTCTTCTTGTCAACCCAGTGTAGTGAAAGAGAAAATAATTAACGGGTGGTAATCTAGTGTAGGAAAGGTACAAGAAAAAAAGTGTAAATACAAGGTAAATAGAATACAAATAAAATATATAACATACATATAAATATAGATATAATACTATGTATCAAAATATATTAATTCACCAGATTCTAAAAACTCCCTGAAGTCAGGATCGATGCACAGAACGGGATGTTGTGCGACGCGATTGAGAAACCGTTCCAGAGCTGCCCGACGCCGCTCCACGAATTGGGACTGTACACTAGCTGCCGAGTTGCTTCCATTTGCACTCTCAGTAGATGGTGTGGAAGTCATTTTTAATTTGGTTGTTCCTGATAGAAAGAGCAAATATAGTAGTAACAGCAGTTACAGCTGTAGCATTATGTTAATTGCATAATGTCACATCTAGATACTATATAAAGAATTACGTGATCATATGTATTTTATCATTTAGCATTAATAATGTATTTCACTCTTATGGTGTTACTAAAATCTTTAACTTTATAATGTGTAACAGCCAGGAAATGTTAAATTCGTCAGAACACGCGTGTTCACTCACCTGACATAAAACCACACTAGATATTTCTAAGTACCCTCAAGCACAATATATGACCAGGTCATATATTGTGCTTGAGGGTACTTTTTCCTTTTTTTTTTTTTTGCTTCTAAACAAAATTAAAACTTTGAACTGTAGTTTTTCCAGCAGCCATTTCTACATCAAATTCACTAAATTTTATTACCATTTTTATTATTCAATTAAGGCATCTGTAATTGTTATTTAATGTTTGCACTTTTTTTACTAGTTTTCTCGTCGCCACTAATGTGTAACGGGCAGGGAATGTTAAATTCGTCAGAACACGCGTGTTCACTCACTTGACATAAAACCAGACTGGATATTTCTAAGTACCCTCAAGCACAAAATATAACAACTTACCAACTATACTCTTCTCAGGTGCCGGCGGTATAATTCTCCCGGAACGTAAATATTTCTCGGTGAGCTTCTCGTGCAGACCCAGGAAATCACTGAAACGTCTGAGCACAGCAAATTCGTGTTTGCTGAATATGGGCATGTTGGTTTTAGTAAGCACACGATACGCAACATATGAGCTCATGCCCTCTCCGATTTTTTGTGGTTCCGTAACTGTTATTATAATGTTGTTTGCTCGTTCTGTAGCTATCTGTAATATATAAATAAAATACCTATTACCTACTCGTATTTTATTACATTTTTAAGACTGCTAGATATTTACAATTTAAGACAAAAAAGCATTACCTACCTAAATACACACTTTTTTTTTATACAACTTAGAATGGCAAACACGCTGACAGCCCACCTGATGGAAAGTGGTCTCCGTCGCCTATTGACATCAGCAGTACCACGGACAAAACAGAGTATACTGTTTCGCCCATGATACCCCCCACATGTTACCATTCCTGAGGACTCAGGTGTTATTCCTTTGTACCCTGTAAATTTACGCCATATCCCACCCTTCAAGCCAAAACACAGCCATGCAAACACAACTGCTTTATTATACAATAAATGTAAAATTGTACAAATAATTAAGCATAGTTGTTTTTCCTGATGTAACATGATTTGCAGAATTTAGTAATTATTTATTAGACAACTGATTATACGAATCTGACTAGAAGCATGAAATTCTAAGGTTTAATTGAAGGTTATCACATTTAATTTAACAATTTCCACAATTACTTATAAGAACATAATATATTAAAAAATTATGATATAAATTATTTTAAAATTGATTCTTTTGAAGAGTACAATTTATTTATAATAATACTTCAAACAGTAGGAAACCTGTGGACTAGAATCGCTTAACGAAAAGAAAGATTACAAGTTATACAAATAACTTAAGATTTTTCTCTGCAATTATAATAGCAAATTCAAATTGTGGCAATACTAATATGGGATATAATAAAGTTAATATCCCACATATTTGTGGTGCTTAAAAAGTGCTCTTAATCCTAGTAATCCAATGAATAGATATAATTTGTTTAATCAAAAATAGTATTAATTTATCAGAACATGGCCCTTCTATTTACTATAATCACATAACAATGTGTTTGTACCACTATAATGCGTGTTTACAATCAACAGAATAATAGATAACAATAGAATATCAATACACTATGCACAGAATAAGGACCATATTTGATGATTTAAAAGAGCTTGTAAACAAGTTTATTTAAATAAAGATTATTTCTATTCTATTCTAATCTATGCAACTGATGATCTTCATTTATGTATCCTTACTTAATATGAAAATGACATATAATGTGAAAGGAAGATGGTTTTTTTTTAATGGGTGATAATGATATGGTAACCCAGCCTGTGCTATCGATATACACAGGCGGGACACCAGTGATAGATGACCGATGAGAAAGAAAGCATGTCAGTTAGCCCATTGTGACAAATTCAACTAGAATTAGTCACGATGGTTTCCAGGGAGAACCACATGGAGGTCGACCTGACAGGGTATATTGCTAGTAATGGGGCTATTTGACCCCATTACTAACAATCCCTTTCCCTCAAGGGAGATGGTTTATTACCTCTCAGTGCTACAGCTCAACCAATTATGATAATATTTTGTATACACATACCATAAGGGATAAAAAAAAACATAGGCTAATATTTTCCTGGAAGAAAGGGATTGTTAGTGATGGATTCTAAATGTCACATTGCTTGCAACATACCCTTTCAGTGACCTCCATGCCATTCCTTTAGAAACCACCACAGTATATTTATAGTTATGTCATGATAGGCCAACTGACCTGCTTTGATTGTTTCAACCTCATCTATCACTCTCATTGGTATCCTGCTAGTGTATACCGAATGTGCAGGTGGGGTTACTATTTTATTTTCAGTCATTAAAATAACTATTTATTACTTTTATTATTTCATTATATAATAAATGTGTTATTAAAGAATCAAAGATGCAATAATCTTAATTATGATTTAAAAAAACAATATATAAACTCTTTAATATTACCTCTTCCATGATAGGGCTGCTGAGAGTAGTTGTTATTGATGGAGGTTCACCTATGGTTGCCTTTTCCAAGCCCTCCCGAGCTCCATTAACTTCAGGGTCCAGGCTGACTTCCTGCACAATGAAGTTGGCAAATTCAAAGCTAATTTTACTGTGCTTAGTATATTTGTCAATATAGCAATACAGAATTTAATACTGTGTTTATAAAAATATATCATTATAATTATCAGTATATGGTAAATAAAAATACTAAGATATAAACATGTCATTGTACCTATAGGACAAACAAATAATAAAATATTTATATAGATATCTAGGTAGGTATTTGATTGATGAAAGGCATAGGTTAATTCTATGATTGAGCTATGTCTTACATTAATCAAAGCATCATTCTATATGCCTTATGTGTAATAAACAGGATGTCAGAATGATCTGGTGCCCACCATAAGATATGAGAAGAACAGGCTTCCCTTGAAACCAATCTTAAATATGTCAATGTGCAATCTGATAATAATGTGCCTTAAATCAATTAATTCCATTATTTACTAGAAAATATTTGTTAAATTTTAATTGATCTATCTATCATCCATCACCATCTATTAATCATGATCATTATCTATTAATTCATTTTTTTTTTAATTATGGAGTATCCTTTTATGCAAGTCAGAATGTCGAAAAATCTGATGATTTAACAAAAAAAAATATATATATATATATAATTTTAAAATTTGTAAAATTTTTAGACTACCAAAGTTTACAAACATTCCAATAAATAGTAGGGGATAAAAACATGAATATTCCTGTGCATAGGGAAGTACCATTAATATGATTAATATATTAGGTAGTATTTTTCTATTATTGGTACGGTTAACTTTTATTACAGCAATTTAGATGACACCTTAACATCCTACTATAACTACCTTCAATTAAAATTCATGATAAAAATGCAGTTTTACATCAAGGCCACTGTGTGTGTACAACACAAGTTATAAGTATGTTAATGACAATATCGCACGTAAATGGTAATAATTGAATCACCAAATCGGCAATTTTATGCAGCCAACAATACAGTTTAAGACAGTAATTATTCAATATCAGATGACGATAATAGATGAAAAAGGGGCGTTACCCCCTTTCGATGTATTTTCGGGGGCGTACTTGTGTGCAACAATGTAGTAAAACGGGATTCCAATAAGATACCTGGACCGCAGATGCAAATAGGTCTTCATCTTCTATATTCTCGCTATTGATGTCTACAGTACTAAAGGGCGGTGTATCTGGCCCATCCGACATGTTTTGGCTATCACAAATTCCACTGTCGTATGCAATAAATATAATATAATCAAAGTTTTATTGTATTCTTGGTGAAAACAATGAAACAAATCCAAAGATGAGATATTGGATTTGATTTGACAAACTAGCCGAAGTTGACCGAACGAACGAAAGAACGACGGACGACGACCCGACAGATTTTTATGACGTATTCAGTTGTGTTTATAAAGAACGCTTATTTTATACCGCGATATTATGGAAACGTAGTATTTGATTGAATAAATATAATAATTAATAGATAAATAAAATCTACATTTTTATAATTATAATAAATAATACATGAAAATAAATTTGTAACCAAATCAACATGAAATTAGATCAACATGAATTAGTCATTGGAGGATTTTCTACTGGTTGGTTTAGAACTTAGGTTGTCTTGGATTACAGGTTTAGTATAGGTACCAATGTGTTTATTACGAGTTTACTAAGTAGGCTCTAATTTGATTTGCTAAAATGTATGTAATATAAGTATAACAAATCTATAACAGGCCTGCTAAAAGACTGTTATGCTATTATTATTAAATCTTTCACTTTTTTTGTATGAACAAACATTTTTTTCGCATTTCTCATGTCAAACTTAAAATAGTTGCAAATAAATGTAAAAGGCAGCAGGTACTGTCTTAAAATCTATGCAAATAAAACAAAGTTAAAATAGTTAATTCAAGAGTAGTAAGTAGTTTTTAAACATTTTGTTAGAATTCATAGTGGTTTTACCTACAAGGATTTCGGCTTGTGTAAAGCAAAAACTGAAAAATTTTAAGAGACGCTTTACTTTGCGTATTAGATTAGAATTTATATATATAATTATTACGAGCCATTTTACAGTTTATATTTTACCATATAAATACTAAAAAGAAATGTAAATGTTAAAAACTTAAAATTGTGAAGTGTACATGTGAAAGTATTTCTATTTTAATTACATACAATGTTTGAATTACAAACTTAGATTACAAGTTAAGTATCATTTTTTGTAGATGTGCGACGAGTATGAAATATTCGAATATTTGGAGAGTGAGTACCGAATGTATAGAAGAAATAAACGTCATCGGCGAGGGTAAAATTTATAATTTAATATAGACTTTATTGTTTTCTTAATTTTTACTATAATAATCCTATTTGTCTCTAGAATACAACGACAATTTAAGTTAATAATACATACTAAGCATATTAACTTATTGTAAAATTATTACTATTTTACAGGAACTCGTAAGCGTTCAATTAACATTTAGTCAATTGACATACAATAACATCAGTGGCCTTTGTAATAATTATAATTTAATTGGGCGGAATAAACACTGGGTCGAAGATTATTAATTTTTTTTATATAAATAATATATATTATTATTAATTGTGATGAGATATATAAAATGGTGTGGAAACGGTAAAATGGTAACTGCAGCTATTGGGGGAAAAGGGATAGTTAATAATGGTGTTTAAAGTCCCATCAGTAGCAATATACAATTAATATCAGGTTTACTTCTATGTGGTTCTTTCTAGTAACCATTGTAGTTAATTCTTGTTGAGTTAGTCACGATGGGCCAACTACCCTTCTTTCATTGTCATCTATCATCTCTCACTGGTGTCCTAGTGGCGTATACCTACCGATAGCGCAGGTGGAGTTACTTACGTACCATTCATGATTCGAGATGGAGAGGGAAAGGGTTTATTAGTAAAGGGGTATAAAAATTCCATTGCTAGTAATACACCCTATCAGGTTGACCTTTACGCTGTTCCCCCTGGAAACTATCATGATTAATTCTTAATAATAATGATATCCTACCCTGTTACCCTATTAGTATATACCGATAGCGCAGAAAGGGTAAACATCTTCACTTTATTAAAAAACTATGCATTTCGAGGAAAGGGATTGTTTATTTATCATGCGATCTAAAAGATATATCCTAATGACGACGACCTCCAGGCGGAGCTACCTGGAAACAATGGTGGTTATTTCCTGGTAAATTCGTCACGATGGGCTAACTGATTTGACTTCAGCCTTATCTATTGTTACTTACCGGTGTCCCACTAGCATATACAGATGACAAAGGTGGAGTTACTATTACATATAAAAACCGTTCCATTTCATCCTTAAAAAAAAGTTTGTAGTTACTATAAACGTCAATGTCAATATTTCTTTACGGTGTCAGACAGATGTAGGTTCTCTGTGCAGGTTACTAAACTGTTGTAAACAGTCTGTTTTGATCTTATTCTATATTTGTTTTTGTTTTCTTAGGTACTTATTTATGATAAACCATAAAAACATTAGTTTAAAAACAAAATTTCTTGTATTTTTAAATAGCCTATAATACTTATTTCAATCACGAGTAATAATAAATGAATAATAATAATTATATTATTATCGTGATATTTCTTGTAGCGCATCATCAAAGCGTGAAAAGATGAGTGGATCAGACAAACCTAAAATTCCAGAAGCACCAACGCCAGCTTTGAATACTGGGAACTTGCTTTCTAGTGTTGCGCCACCATCCCAGCTTCCGAATTTCGTCACAGCCCCTGATATCGTATGTTTGTTTTGTTGTTCTTTAAATCATAACGTGGAGCTAGTTTAATAAGGAATAATATAAATATATGTATATTTAATTTGTCTTCTATTTACCTTGTTTTTACACTTTTTATTGTACCTATCAACTCTTTTTTTAGTTTAAATTTACCTGTTTTTCTTACAAAAAAATATATCTACAACATTGCTAGTGTATGTAGTTAAGTAGTGAAAGAAAGATCTTTAAGAGTATTCTGCTTTTTTGTTTTGCTGTAAATGTGTCAAACCCATGTGCATTACATTGGTTTGATATTTTTGTATTCATTACATGATACTGTTCATGTGTATAGACGGCCACTTTTTACTGTGAGCATACTAGGTATAGGTTTTTTTTGCATAACTAGCTCCAATTGGCAAAATAAATTTAAGTGTACTGACATAGTTCATAATTATGTCAATACACTTAAATTAACATAGACAAGTTTCATAATTTAGTTAAGAAAAAAAAAACCTGATGAAAAATGGTAACTGTTGAATTTCTACAATTTAACAATTCATAATTAACTTTTAATGTTAATTAATATTAATGATTTTAATTTGTAATTTGGTAGTGTTATATTTACAGAATTGTTAATCTGACTGTACAGATACACAGAGGTGAAAGGCATAAATAATTATCTTTCACCTGAAAGCAATGTAAACTTTAAAATGAAAGTCACTGTCTATTTCTTTGTTTACCTTTTCTAAACTATTAAATGGATTTTAGTTTTACTATTTTCTACATATTTTTTGTGGAAGGTTTGTATGAATATCCTAATTAAATTTTTGTATAATTGAATTATTGCACCCATGCATTCACCTGTAATATTTTGCCACTATATTTTAGGTATCAAATACAGCACCAGTACAACCAGTCATACTTCAACAGAGAGTGGAACCACAATCTGAAGCTACAGAAACTTTTAGGTATTGATAATGTTCATTCTAATGCTATAAGTCTTACCCACAGTATAGTAATATTTTTCAGGCAACTTTTGGATTGAGAGGAATGATTAAACTTGCATCTGGTTAAGGAATTAAATTGGATATTTTGTATATTTGCCTTTGGTACATTAGATATTAACTGTATGTTGGCAAATCAGTGTTTATGTCTATAGGTGGCATTTATCATGTTCATGTTGTGGAGATCCAGTTTGCTTCCAATATATATATATTACAATTTACGGCGTGAATTTACTGGGTACAGAGGAATAACACCTGAGTCCTCAGGAATGGCAACGCATGGGGGGTATCATGGGCAAAACAGTATACTCTGTTATGTCCATGGTACTGTTCATGTCTATAGGCGACGGTTACCACTTTTCATCAGGTGGGCCATCAGCTTGTTTGCCATTCTAAGTTGTATAAAAAAAAAAAAGACAGGCCCCATTTAGTTGCTGCATTCTAATTTGAAGAGTAAATGACTTGCTAAATACTTTGAGTCTTAAATAACACCTTGGTTCTTATGAATAGCATAAAAGTACTGCAGAATCAGATTTAGACAATATTATAAAATTAGTTCTTATGTAGATATTATTCTTGTAATGAAATATGATCATTTAAATATGAAACAATTTGCTCACTACAGCCCTGCTATACCACTGAGCAAAGGTGAGCCGACAGTCTCTATTAGATCTCCAGAGGATTCACAGACCACACAGTCACCTGAATCTCTACCAGCATCTACTCCTGAACTGGAATCTATTGGTAATGTTGAATTCTTAATTACAATATATACAGAAGTTGGGGCATGATATTTCACAGATAGTGGTGGGGTGGGTCTTATTATAAATTTGTATGAAATAAGTCATATCCAATCTGTGGTGATCTCAAGATATAAATTTGATATATCTTGTTATTTATGTTTTTTATATATTACTCATATTTTGTTATAGGTGATGTAATGCCTGGCAGTGGCTTGTTGACATGGATGAAAGGTGCTGTTTCCACTGGCGGCATACTTCACAGGGTGGCGGAGAAGGCAAAGAGCTCAGTTGATTCAATGATCACGACATTAGATCCACAAATGAAGGAATATCTCAGTAAGTTGTAGATATAATACATTAATTGTTACTGTAATAATACATTAATCTTAAAGTAATGAGTGATGGACTCTTATGAGAAAATAATTATTTTCCTTAAATATATAAATAGATGGAAATTTATGAAAACTTGTGTGTGCTGACATCGCCAAAAACAGCCATGTGGTCATGATATAGAATGGGCCACCCTTTCCTTTCCCATGGGTGTCTTAAGAAGTGATTAAGGAAACTAAACGGTTGAGGGATGGGTAGCAGCGTCCCACTTAAAACATCACCAAAGCCTAACTGCGGTTGCTAACCTGCCTGCCAAATGTGGCAACTATTGGTAATATCCGACTATAGCGAAGCCTATGTTCAGCAGTGGACAGTTAACGGCTGATATGATGATTGAAAACTTGGTTATGGTTTTGTTTTTAATGGTTTTGATTTAGTTCTGAAAAATTTATATTTATAAACGATTTTGATATTCCGAGCATTCATTACGAAGTATAGCAACGCCGCAATTATCTGTCAATTTAAAAAAAACAATTGAATATTTTTCAAATGTCTGTTTGATTATTTAAAAAATACTTTGCCTACGAACTAAAACGTTAGTCATAGAACACATTGCATATAAATGTACCACTCAAAACTTTACACCTACTTCCTATTTTGCTTTGGATTTTTTCAAATACCTTTTTGCTACTGAAATCGAAATTTTCTCTGTCAGCTTAATAAATATATATTGCTTGATTAATGTTTTAGTTCGTAGGTATTTTTTTTATGCAGCTTAGAATACCAAACAAGCTGACGGCCTATCTGATGGGAAGTGGTAACCGTCGTCTATAGATATGAGTAATACCATGGACGTAATAAAGTATACTGTTTCGCCCATGATACCCTTCATGCGTTGTCATTCCTGAGGACTCAGGTGTTATTCCCTTGTACCCTGTAAGTTCACTGCCATCCCACCCTTCAAACCGAAACACAGCCATGCAAACATAACTGCTTCATGGTAGAAAAACGAATGGGACAGAGATGCCAAAGCAAACGATTTTGTGCAGTCTCCTTCTGGTGCAACACTTTAAATAATCCATCAGAAATGTTGAAAATTCTTATATAGGTATAATTTATTGTAGGTAAGACTGATTTCGGAACTATATTACGTGAGCTATTGTTACAGTTCTCTCATGAATACTGTTGGTTCAGAAATTTGTTTTCTTTTACAGGAAGTGGTGGAGACTTATACATAGTTGTTGCGTCAGACAAGGACGTCAAAATCTCGTCAATTCGGGAGGCCTTTCAAGCAGTTTTTGGGAAAGCTACCGTTGTGTATGATTATTTTATTTTTTAGTTTCAATAAGCTATACCTATTTCATTTCGAGGAGTGTTTGGTCAACGCTCGAGGACGGACGTAACAAGCCAATTTACGACATTTAAGTACCAAGTATTAAAAGTACCCGTAACCGGCGAGCGTGTATGAAAAGATTAATGAATGTGGAAGAAGCGAAAGAGGTTTGTTTGAATCGAAGCATTTGGCGTTTCATTGTTTCTGCCTACGTTATGTCTGCTATGTTAAGAACCACTGTATGTTTGTTTTCGAGGCATCCGTTTTTTTGTCGAACCCTAACGTTACATAGTGGCTAGCCAATAATTTTATTCTTTTGTTCAGTTGCTAGTCGTGCGAAACTCTCTTACTTCTTTATACTCGTAGAATCGCAACTATCGCGGAATAATTGTTCCAAATAGTGCAAATGTCAGAGCATACAACAATTTGGCACGACACGGAGCGACCCAACAGCAAACCTCGGTGAGATCTTTCCTATCTGTTGAATTTCATATGCACAACCCAATAAAGGAGTAGTACTAAAATAATTATATTTATATACATGTAACACCATTATACGTTCATTAAATAGAAGTTTTGGAAGTAATTGCCGCAAATCTGTTGTCACGGAATTAATTTAAATTAAATGTAATGAAATATCACAACGTTTTTATTTCTTTATTCGAATAGTTTTGTCAGCAGTTTCAATCTTAACTCTTTCTACAGGCAACTCTAGAGTTTTGTACAAAGCACATGGAAACGGATCAATTAATAATGAAATCATTAACTCTTAATTAAAAGAAAGCAATTATAAGAAATTATATTACTCTACTCGCCTGCTGGTTTATTAAAAAAAAGTAAAAATTCCACCAATCAGCGCATACAAGTGCATATGTGCATCACATGAGTCGAAGAGGGTCGTACGCAATTGTAACTACAAGTGAAACAAAAAACCCACTTAGGAATAGGGTCTGTTATAAATGGTCAGCGTATCTTAGAGAGTCTGCATATTGTAGACAGTAATTATAACCGTATTTCCAAGAAGCAATCTCAAACAAACTTTGGGTATCTTACGCAATGGGTGGTTGACTTGAAAAAGGGAAAGTATTGTTTAAAATCAACAAAAACAAGTTGGTCATATATAAACAGCCATAACAACTTCTCGGTGACATCTTAATATCTCTGTGTCCAATATACACAAAGATTCAGAGCCCATGACATCTGGGAACTGAACAATATCGCTTGGTACCATAACGTTGCGTTGTTCGTTTTGGAAAGGGAAAAAAGGATGAATAAAGGCCATAAATTAAGACTAAAGGACATGGAACCGCCCAACTGTACCATAAAAATTGGTAACAAAAGGCTGTAGAATAAAACATTATCGTTCATTGCACAATATTATTACAGAAATATAAGAGTAAATCACTATTTAATAAGTAAAATAACATGAAACGGCGGAAACTGCCTGTATAGAGCGATAACGTTATTCGAGCCGCCGGAAACGGACAGTGAATTCGAAAGTGTCTCATTGACAAAATTGGAAACTGGAACATGTCGAAGTTATAAATGAATCAACTTTAATTCAGAAACATTATATCACAACGCCCATAGCAAGACTGCCTACCAACAACTAATCTGATCATCAACGCTCATTTCCGGTTGACTGACCCCTATATCTATCTATACCTAATATCCTATATGAGGGGGAAAGGGATTGTTAGTAATGGAGACTGAGAATCCCATTGCTAGCAATATATACCCAACCAGGTCGACCTCCTCGCGGTTCCCCCTGGAGTTTCCAGGTCATGGTTAATTTCTGATGAATTCGTCATGATGGGCTAACTGGCCTGTTTTCATTCTCATCTATCACCCTTCACTGGTACCTCGCCAGCGTATCCCGTTAGCGCAGGCGGGGCTACCATACCATCTTCACCCATAAAAAAAAAAAATCCTATATATGCTTAAGGTTAAACGGTCGGTAGTGGTCTGCCGGTTGCGGCTGGTGTGTACATGTATGTCACTATTTGTTGTATAATTTAAAATGTGAATATATTTGCCCCTTAGATTATATAGATAGAGCATCGAGCCTCAAAAACGGCTCAACTTTTTGTCAGCTAATTGTCAAATTAGCTGACTCATGTTTTTTATCAGTGTTCTATATAACATACGCATAAAATGTATTTTCATAGCTTTCAAATGTATTATTTAAAAAATAAAATGAGTGATAAAATGAATGAAATGAGATATAGAAGGTATAAATGAATCACGCAAAATTCTATGAAAAAGTTGATTCGTTTTTCTCGAAGCATTTCTATGCGGAGATTCTATTTATATAATCTAAGATTTGTCCATGTAGGGGCAGCGAGGCACCTAGTTCGGCGACAGCGGCGCAGCCCGTGGGCAGCGCGGCCGCGTACGCCGCCGCCAAGCAGCGCCTCGCGCATGTTCGCTCCACACACGCCAACCTCACCAACAACGTGCCCGTCGTAGCCATCGAGGGCTTCCTGCAGGAGACACAACCTGACAGGTACGTGCGCGCAGTACGGTCAGCGCCAAAATCTAAAACATTTTATTTTGCTCGCTATATTCATAGCTGTTTTATTTTTGTGCAATAAGAAAAATTACTGTAGCTTGTCATTTGTTGAGAAATTACAGGAGATATACTATCAGGAAAGAATATTCGTTCCGTGGTTTAATTGGGAACACACTTAGTTCCGATAACAGAGAGAATGTGAGTTCCAATCCAATTGTAAAGAGTTGTCTGTCGGATTCATACATTATCCCATTGTATATGTTCAACTAATTTAAATATTATATGATTATTTTTTTTATACTACTCGTGCTTAAAATGGCAAATAAGCTGACGGCTCACTTGATGGAAAGTGGTAACCGTCCCCTATAGACATGAGCAGTACCATGGACATAACAGAGTATACTGTTTCGCCCATAATACCCCCCATGCGTTGCCATTCCTGAGGACTCAGGTGTTATTCCTCTGTACCCAGTAAATTCATGCCATATCCCACCCTCTAAACCGAAACACAGCCATGCAAACACAACTGTTTAACGGTTGAAACACGAATGGGACAGAGGTACCCAAGCAATCGACTCCTCGAAAGTCTCCCTCTGATGAAATTGGTATCAGTTTGCAATAGTTTACATTGGTAAAATGCACTAATATGCATCCATCAGAACAGTATAAAACTATTATGTCACTAGTATTGCAATTTGAGAGTGTGAAACATTACAATTCCAATATCGATCTATTGGGATTTATTTCAAGAACGACCCCACAGTTATTAGAGAAGAATAATAACCACAATGGTTTCCAGAGGGATCACGCGTCGGTCGACCTGAGAGGATAGATTGATAGTCACGTGTTTGTTAGACCTCATTATACTAACAAACTTTATTTAATTTTAGTTAGTGAGTTGCTTCGTCTTTTTATTTTGCGCTAAATTATTAATTTTAAAGAAAGTTTTCTTGTTGAAAATAGGTAAAATGTGTTTGTGACAGGTCTTAAGTTTTATTTATAAGAGGGTTTACTAGCCATATTATAACATGACAATGGCTTATATTTGTAGATGGTATGAGCTATCGTTGCTGGTGCTGTCGCAGCCTTCACTGGGTATCGAGTTGCAGTTGCAGTCGCAGGGCACGCCCGTGCCGGCGGCGGCGCTCGCGGCGCTGGCGGCTGCCACGCCCGCGGACTATGCGCACGCGCAGACCGGCTACAGCGTTACTATAGGCTCTGTTATGGCTGCTAGTTTACAGGTAATAGTAGTCAATAGCTGAAATGTCAAATATTTATTTGGATTTTTTTTAATGGGTGGTAATAAATTGGCAGTAACCCGCTTAGGGATAAGGATTGTTACTGCGCTATAGGGATACGCTGGCAGAATTTTAGTGAGGCATGATAGGTTAGGATGAATTCAAATTAGTAAAGCCAAATTTGGCGTATTGTGACTATTTTATTTTTAATAGTGATAATATATTGATAACTCCGTATTCACTATCTATATACACTGGCGGATCACTAGTGACGAATGATAGGTGGGGATTAAAAACCGATCAGGTAGTCCATCGTGCCGAATTCTATCAGAATTAAACATGATGGTTTCCACTTAAAACTGCTTGGAAGTCGATCTGATTGGGGTATATTGCCGGTTATAGGGCTGTTAGATTCCTATTACGATCAACCCTTTTTCCCTTTTATTATATTATCACCTATTTTATCACCAGGAACTAACCAGGAGTTGCTAGCGGAGCTTGCATTGAGGTGGACCTGACCATTGCTAGTAAATATACCCTATATTTGCTAGTAATGGGTGGTTAAATCCTCTTTACTAATAATCCTCTCTTAATGAATGTAATAATAAATATAAATATATCAATTCTAGATTAACGAGTTTACTAGTTTATTATTTCAATTAACACGAGCAAAGTCGCTGTTTATAGTTAGTGTGAAACTTAACCGTGTTACCTTTTGTTAGCGTTTTTTTTTTTATTAATGATATAGGAGAATCTTGTAACATTTATTGTGATATTGATTGATAACACAGTTATTTTTAAGCTTTTCAGTTTAGTATACTTTATCAGATATATCGAATCACAAATTCACAATCAATCATTCAATCTTATCACAAATTGTTTAGATAGATAGTAACTAGTAAACATAAGTATTTATGTACCTCACTCGACGTTTAAACTACGTTGCGATAGTCGTGGTTGCGAGTGGACTGAAGGATACATATTTGCTTATTTGTAACAGGAAAACCAATGCTTATTTACGTATAACGGCAAGATAACAACAATGAAGTCACTTATAGATTTTCACGCATAGATACAATATACATAATTTGATAGATAGACTGAGTAAAATTAGGCAAATAATTAAAGATTGTGTCCCATAAAGAAAAAAAATAATAATTGTAATAAAACCAGTTAATTCGATTAAAAAAAAAAAATTAAACTACTGAATCGATTTAAAAAAAAAATCTATGTGACCAATCTGTAAGTATAACCTTTCAGATAAAAAAGAATTTTCCAAGTCGGTTTAGCACTGATGAAGTTATGATGTAACAAATATAAAAAAATACAACCGAATTGAAAATCGCCTTTTTGAAGTCGGTTGAAAAGTCGCCTATTTTGAATACCTCTATCCCACTCGTGTTTCTCCAACTATGCTTGTATGGAGGGAAAGGGATTGTTCTTGACTGACTGAGAATCCCATTGCTAGCAATATACCCAACCAGGTCGACCTCCTCGCAGTTCTCCCTGGAAACTATCATGATTAATTCCTGATGAATTCATCATGATGGGCTAACTGACCTATTTTCATTCTCATCCCTTCACTGGTGCTCCGATTGCGTATTCCGTTAGCGCAGGCGGGGTTACCATACCATTTTCACCCAACAAAAAAAATGATGCTTGTATGACTGTTTCGGTTTGAAGAGTGGAATATGGCAGTGAATGAAGTATGGCATAATACCATACACTTAAGAAATGACAATGCATGAGAGCGTCAGAGTAGTCATGTCTACATAGGCATAGGTTACCATTTTCAATCAGGTGGGTCGTAAGATTTTTGCTAAGTTATATAAATAATAATAATAAAATTTACCAGGTACCACACACGCAATGGCAAGAGGCGGCGACGGGAGTATCTCGTAGGGAACTGCTAGTGCTCGCCGCCCGTTCGCTCGCCGGCTCCTACAAGAAAATGCTGGCCGTGTCTGCTGCGGAGACTTAACTTGTCCACACATTGACTGATGGATCATGATCTTGGCTTTTACTTTGTAAGTTTTTAAACTGAAACTTGTTTAGTTTTTTTTTAATGGGTGAAAATGATATGATAACCTAGCCTGTGCTATCGGTATTCTCTGGCGGGGCACCAGAGAATGATGATGGGTGAGAATGAATGAAAGTCAGTTGGCCCATCATATAAAATTCGACAAAAATTAACCACGATGGTTTTCAGAGGGAACCGCGTGGAGATAAATTTTGCTAACAATGGGACTATTAGACCCCATTATTAATAATATCTTTCCCCTTTTTTTCTATGTATTAAAAATGGAATGGTAACCCTTTGTCCTCGCTGTTGATATTGTTTATTATATGGCGGAGTATAATAGGTGAAAATAAAGTCAGATAAATAACTCATCGTATGATGAGTTATCATGACTTGACCGCAATGGTTTCCAGAGAAAAACTTGAGGGTGTCACCCTGATATTGCTAATGATAGGGCTGTTATCCCCAATTTGTAATAATCTCTTCTGCCGTCGGTTCTTTTTTAATGGGTCAGATTAAAATGCTAAAACTGCCTGTGCTATCGGTATTCGCTGGCCCCCACCAGTGAGAGATGATAGGTGAGGAAGGAAGCAGGTTAGTTAACCTATTGTGACGAATTCTACAAGGATTAACCACGATAATTTTCAGGAGGAACCGAGTGGAGGTCGTCCTGATAACCCTGTCGGGACGACCTCCATGCGGTCCCCTCTATATTGCCAGCAATGCAGCTGTTATATTTAATTATTAACAATTCATTTCCTTTCTCTCCCGTTAGCACTCATAATCACACGGCTAAAGACGATACCGTCTTTTTTAGGTTGTCATATAAAGACTTCAATAGAGTTACATTGTAATACAACTAATACTAAAAATTTGAAAGTTTTTAAAGTTGTTTTCATATTTGTTACGAGCAGGTTTTGTATCAAAACATATAATACTGATCCATACGGGCAAATCCGCGAGAAACGGCTAGTGTTATATATTTAGAAATTTGACATATGTTTAAGCCACCTCATCACTGCAACTGGGATTACTATTGTGATCATTTTGTTTACTGTCCGTTATCTATTGCTTCGTAGGGCAGAAATTTATCTTTGATGTTTATACAAAGCCTAATACCCTCGAGATAAATATATACGTATTTATTATATTAATTTATATTATTAGATTATTATAATCAATTTATATCTTGCATTAGTACCATTCCACAAGTTTTTTGTTTATTAAATACGTATGTTAGATATACTCAAAAAGCTCACAACCGCCTTTGAATACAATACAACAACGCATTCAGGGTACTTCTGAGGTTGCCTCGATTCTGTAGTGCATCAGGGATATTTGCGCACGCGCAAGTGGATTGCTTCTATTCAATAATGCGCTAGAGGTGCGTACCCTTGATGCAGAGGCTGCGGGGCAGTACTATCGTCATCCTGAGCATGATTAGGAGAAGGCTGGACTGTTTATAATAATTAAATTATTACTTGACGATTGTCCCATTGTTATTTTCAATAGTATATATTTTTTCATTAATCTACAAAATATTTTTACATCATTAACATTATTTGTTTATTTTTTTACAGAAACATTTCGGCGAGGACGTCGCGAGAATATATGAATTTATTTAATATAAGTGTATATACTAATACTAATATAAAAATATAGAAAGATAAGTAATAAACTATATTGGGGGCCAAATTGTTTTTATTCATACTTTTTAATTTCCGATTTCCGTTTCGAAATTCGAATTTTCTTTCTGAAAAAAAGTTACGTGATTGTTTGTGGTATATTTTTATTGTGCGATAATTATCTATTATTAGCTTTAGATTAAGGATAATATATTCTTTAATCTAAGTTGTAAGCTACTGTAGGTTATTTAGGTAATTCCAGTCCGTTACGTAAATAGCAAAGGTTGTCACCTGTTCATCGCTTATTTAATGTTTAATCTTTTTATTGTAGGTGTTAGGTATGTAAATACTAAAAAAAACTTTGGCCATATTTACCTAATATGAGTAAAATAATAATATAATATTGTTATTGCCAACGGAGTTTTCAGTGTTGGTTTTTCTTATGTTTCCCATAGGAATAGTAGTGTTGTAGGCTTGTAGGCCGCAATTGGGACTTCGTCCGTGGCATATGTATAAACTGAGATAAATGTACCTTATGGCCATAAGAATATCCCAAGATGATTTTCAGCAAGTGAGATTTATGTCTAATTTATTTATTTACTTTTTATTATTCCACTTAAAGTATAATGTAATGGTAAATATATATTACACTTATGGAGTACAAAAGGCGGTCTTATCGCTAAAGCAATCTTTTCCAGACAACTTTTGGGTAGAGATGAAAGAAAAAAGACGGTAGCTATTTGGTGCGAGAAGTGTAACTAATAAAAAAAAGAAAAACGCTAATGTTAATGAAACATACGCAAATAATCATATGCACACCTTACAACTAAGTACTTATAATAATATTTGCTACAAAAACGAATTGTAGAAAGCTTTTTTGGTTTTGAGTCTACAAAAAAATTGTCTACAAAAGGTATTATTAAAAGATTTCGTCTATATTTCGGGGATTTCAGATTTTCTAAGGATACAAAGTTAAAAGCTCCATTGAAATTGCAGAGGGATCGCATTTGCTGAACACGATCTCTGAGTATTCCTTATTCTTTCGATTTCTCCTTTCACATGCCAAATATTACATATATCCATGCTAAATTTAATGTTGACGAAATGTGTTAAGAGGAATATTCTTTAACAAAACACCTTTGTTTCATTAATTTTTATTTTCACAGATTTAGAGTCTATTGTAGGGCGATCATTACTATCATTATACAACTTCGGTAAATCGGCGGGACACCAGAGGGAGACTTTGTACAAAAGTCGATTGCTTGGGTACCTCTGTCCCATTCGTGTTTCCGTGAAGCTGTGTTTGCATGGCTATGTTTCGGTTTGAAGGGTCGGATATGGCGTGAATTTACAGCGTACAGAGGAATAACACCTGAGTCCTCAGGAATGGCAACGCATGGGGGGGTATCATGGGCGAAACAGTATACTCTGTTATGTCCATAGTAATGCTCATGTCTATAGGCGACGATTACCACTTTCCATCAGCTTGTTTGCCATTCTAAATTGTATAAAAAAAAATCTTTTATCGTAAAGTTTAAATTCAAATTATTTTTTTCGAACCAACTTATATGCAAGCACTTAAATCATTATTTCTTATAAATCTACTATAGGTTCGAAATGCTGTTATCTGCTGAGAAGAACCCGCAAGAAACGACAGTTACTTTTTTAAATCTCTGTTAACATTATGTATATTTATTTATATGTACTGTGTCTGCATGACATGATCATTAAAAAGCCCGTTCGTGATCTATTTTAATGGATGAAAATGGAATGGTAATCCTGTCTGAGCTATCGGTATTCACTTGCGGGGCACCAGTGGGGGCTGAGAGATGAAAAGTAGGTCGGTTGGCCCATCGTAATGAATTTATCTAAAATTAACTACGACGGTTTCCAGGGCGAACCGTGTGGAGATCGACCTGTTAGAGTATATTGTTAGTGATGAATCTGTTAGATCTCATTACTAACAATCCCTTCCTCGCGCCCGTGCATCATCGATTAACACCATGCATTTATTCGAGTAATCGCTTAGTGTGTAAAAGGTTTTATTCAATAAGTGTACTCGTATGTTCATAACAGTTTTAAATTTATTAAAACGTAGATCCATAACATCCTTCGGTATCTTATAATATTTAATGCGAATTCCCATAAAGTACTTATTAGCTTTTTCTAATCGATACTTCCAAAAGAGATCTTCGTTGAGTAGGCACACACACACACAGGTATACATAAAGGTACATATAAACAAGTGTACCTTCACATATAATGAATAATCATGTTTACAAGCTTATCATGGTTGACGTTATCTTGTGATCATTTAAATCATAAAACAATAGAACACTTGCAGAGAAAATGCATTTCTCACGATATTTTAAGCTTTCTTCAGATTTTATTCTTCAAATATTCATATTTCTTCACATTTTGGAACATAATTTTTTTGCCTGAAATCTAAAAAAATAATAAGGCCTTTATTTTTAATAAGGAATCTATAAATAATAAATTTGTTAATATGAGACACCATCTGCTGTAATTGTATATACTGAGGGGTTACCATTGTAGGCGTATGTAAAAGGGGCCAGTTGGGCCATGCTCAACTCAGAATATGAGCCGAGCTTTTAATCATGCGCAAGGGTTTGTCTAAGAGTATATAGATAGATAGATACTCTTTATTGTTTCCTTCAAAAGATTACAATAGTAAACTTATTATAGATACAAACAATTACAAGAAATATTCACAGTGAATACACAATGGACGACCTTATTGTTAAAAGGGTAAAAAGGAGTAATTATAAACTTTTTGATTGGAAGCACGATGAAAATTCTGTTATTTTTAAATACATAAAATATAGAGTTGTATTAAATGCAATAATGTAAATATATTTGTCTACATAAATAGGTATATAAATATAAACTCGCCTATATTATACTGTAAATACGTAAAACACAAAGTTATAAAATTGTTAGAGTGTAAAGAAATAATTATGTTAACCAGACAAGCAAATTACGATGATGACAATTTACTCAAATAAAGGTCCTTTACTTTTGTTTTAAAACTTGGCTGGACATTATATATTTCGTATAGAAATAATCCAATCCATGGCGGAATAACTTGCACAGTAAACGATTTGTCGTAAAAACTAGAGAAATGTCCTGGTGTTCTGTAGTAGCTGGAGGGTCTTGAGGCGAAAAGAAATAGGAAGTCATTTGAGCTTAGTGCGAAACTGGGAAATGTGATCATATTTTCTAAGACCGAAAATAAACCTAATAAAAACGTTTTGAAAATGCTGTTTGGTCTTCCGTAAGAATAATACATAACGTGCTTTTATTATGGAGCCAGGCCTCCCTTGGAAACAGGGTTACCAAATACGATTTTTAATTTTTACCCAAATGTTATATATAATATTTTTACTCCAAATCGATCCAATTTCCTTTACTTTTACTTAATCACAAATCTGTATTGATTTTCATTACGTTTTGATACGAATTACAAAACGAATGATGTAAAAATGTATATTTTCTGTATATATTGTTCATTCATATGTTTTAAAAACTAACAAATGATTTATCCAATTTCATTTCTCTAGAATTTCGCATACAGAAAAAAATTATTTATAAAAAATATACAATCAGGCATCGCTGCTTGGAAAATAGTCTTAAATACGCCAATAGATACTACTGAGTGTTAATGGGTCGATAGATTTATGTAACCACGATGGTTTCTGGTAATGTTTGCATACTTCCACAGGGTGCTGCATGTTATGTTACCCGTTTATGTAACACCTTATTTTACTGTGTGGCAAGGAAATAAATATGATTTGATTTAGGTAAATTGCGGTGAGGTGAGATTAGCAATCCCTCTATTCGACATTGAAGCTGCACTGCGTTTGCCCATAAGGGGTCGCCGCTTATGACCTTTTTTCTCCATCGGTTGTCGGTTCTTCGAGCTATGTAGTTAGCCCATTGCCACTAAAACATGCTTATCCTTCTGGCTAGGGATAAACAAGTTTTAGTGGAGGGGGGGGGGATATGGTTTTTTAGTACTTCCTATAATATCCCACTTGGACCAGTAAGTTAGTATGTAAAACTATTCCAAATTTTAAATAATTAGTAGTTGTTGATATGTAGTCCTGTGACGAATGGACGGATTAACGATTTGTAATCTTGATACTTTTTTGTATCGAATCTTAAAAAATTATGTTTGTGTCTGAACACCACTATTTGTGTGATCAGTATAAGTACTCAAAATTGGGAGGGGATGGAAGAATGTGGAGAGTCATATATGCTTGCATTATGACAGTGCTCCTCTGCAATTAGCGATCACATTGGGTAAGTAAGTACCTAATTTTATTTTTGGCTTTCAAAACGTTACTGTCACAAAATTTGGGCCTTACACCGCTGTAATTTAAAAAAATTAAAGATTCCATAATAAAGATTTTCTATATCTTTTTAGTGAAGTTAGCTAGCGAGTCTCATGTCATGTGAATCGACATCTCATTCCAACTCATGGACTCGCATTCGATAATGATTCCATGGATGGATTCGCTTGCCACTTGTCTAGAGGATCTGAATGGATTTTGATAATTTTTTAATCGACGGTTTACTTCCGAATTGTTAACATAGTTTCTAAAGTTGCAATTATTTTTTCCAAACTGAATACTCCTTAAGTTTTAGTGTGCCCCACGTAGGTAGCTATAATAATAAACAAATCACCTTATTGGAATTAATTTTATTGGGCATTATAAAAATATATTTCATGTTTTCGATATGATGCATCCAATTTACAAGTCATAAATTTCTGAAGATTGTAATTATTATCATTTACTTTGCAGGGTATATATATTGGCTTCATTGTGAATATTGTTATATTATATCAATATATTATATCAACAGCAGGTAAGTGCAAATACATATATTAGCATATAATTAGATGTCCTCTGTGGCGCAGTAGTGGGTACGTTGTTTTGTGTAAATGAATTAGGTTCAAATCCGAAATGAATCTTCCTGAATTAACTCGTATCTGAATATTCTGGGTTGTACCCCCAAATATTCGTTGTCTAGTTTCTGATGGGATTGTGTAAAAAAATTAGTCCAATTATAATTCAAATAAGTCGTGAAGTTTTGAACTTAAGAAGCAAAAAGACGATGGTTACAGAGTGAGTTAATAATTAAATTGTATTTCTGTTGAGCAGTAAATTTGAACCATGAAATTCCTGGCTGTATTCGTTGCCGTGCTCGCCGTAGCCGCAGGCGCACGCCACAGGTGGACTCTGGGCGAACTGTCCGAGGCCCTCCAGAATCCTACCACCAACCCCTCGCTGCTGCCCGCCCTCACTCAGGGACTTAACGCTTACATGGAAGCCATCTTCTCTGGTCTCGACTATGTAAGTAAATTTATGGTTTTATATTTATTACACCACATGCAGAGAGAAGTGTGGACTGAAAGACGATCTGGTGACAAAAATTGAAAAAGGAATGTTGCGTTGGTTTGGCCATTTGGAGAGGATGGATGAAAAAAGAATTATGAAAGAAATTTATCGAGCAAGAATGAATGGATATGTCGGTAGGGGCCGCCCTAGACGGACGTATGTTGACCAAATAGGCGACGTGCTGAAGAAGGGCTAAATTAAAAGTTCCCATAACTGGCGTGCGTGTATGAAAAGGTATTTACAGGACTAGAAAACAAACATTAGGTTCGATAGAAACTACACCACGGACTTTGAAAAGAACCTATAACAATGCTCAGAACATGCAATACCTTTTTTGAGAATTAAGGTGATCTATAGGCGTAAGTAGCACAACTATATTATAAGGCAAAACATAAACGAATTCCTGATCCATGCAAACATTTGTAAGATAGTTTAGAAATAAAATCAACTGCTTTCCTGAAGTTTTGGCATGTGTTAGTAAATAGTATATTCTTATTACCATTCTCTAGATGAGGTGTAATGTCATAATGTTCAAGTATCACTAAAGCATAGGATGTTAATTAATATGAGTACATAAACAATTGTTATTATAGGAATACATCTACATCGGTACTGCCGCCATTGATCTATCCAGTTGGTCTCTGCAAGAGCTTTCTACCGCTATAGAGAACCCCGAGACCAACCCTGCTCTCGTGCCTTACCTTAAGGATGCCTTGAACGCCTTGATGGAGGGTCTTTATTCCGGATCTGCTCAGGTATATATATATTTATAATATAAATTTTTAAAATTGATATGTATTTCTTATATAAAGTCTCAAATCATGAAACAAAATTAATGTAAATGAAGTTCTGTTATAAATAGAGTACTTTATATTTTATTCCAGCCTACCTATGCCGTTGTCATCCCCGCCAGAGACCTCTCTTACTGGAGACTGAACGAGCTCTCCAATGCTTTGTTGAGCCCTGAGCTCAGCCATGACGTGGCTCCCTACTTGATTGAAGGTCTCAACACTCTCATGGCAGCTAACTTTGCTGGCATTGATGCGGTACGTCGTTTAAAATATTTATACAGATAAACTTCAGACTAGTTATTACTTTTAATTTCAATATAACGTGGACATTAATTTGTTTATTTTTACACAGACATCGATTGTTCTGGCTATTCCCTTGGACGCCCTGCCCACTGAAGCCTCTGCTTCCCTCCCCGAGGCTGTCGTAGAGCTCACACCTGTCAAAGCCCTCGCTGCCAAGGTATGATACTGTATATTTATAATATAAATATTTGTTGAAAATTCTTTGTTACCATTGCCAAGTTAAAATATACTTTTTGGGTAACAGCTATTGATCAGCTATTGATCATCAGCCTTAATCTACGGCCTTAAGTAAATATAACACTTTTATCTAAATATTATACAGCTCTGACAAATATTATGCCAGCCCTCTGTGCGTTTAATTAATTCATTATTTGTTTATTTTTTCAGGCGGCTGCTTAAGTCTGCGATCTCTCATCAACCCGTCCACACCACCTGCAAACTTGTCTATTGAAATAAATAATATGTTATATAAATTTTACATAAAGCTTTTCATTTACACAATTTATCCTTACAAGTTTTGTACAACATTGTTTAGTTACGGTTACACCTGCTTTTTTTTTAAATGCTAATAAGGAAATGGTAGCCCACCCTACGGTATACGCTGTCGGTATACACTAGCGGGGCATTAATGATAAATGATAGGTGAGGGTCAAATCAAGTCACTTAGTCTGTCTAGATGAAATCAAGAATCAACACAGGGTGTATTGCTAACAATAGAACTTCCTAACTCCATTACTATAAATCCCTTTTTCCCAATTACCCCTGCTTGATGAAATACGAACCCCGCTCGCGCTCTCAGTATCTGTAATACACTGAATATTATCGAGGGTAGGTGAGGACGAAGTCAACTCACCTGGAATTAAACACGGTGGTTTCCAGGAGGGACTATTCGACAGTCAATCTAACGGGGTATCGATCTTTATAAAAGTAGCGTCACAACAGTTCCTTCTATTATTAAATAAAGCACGCAAGAATAGGTACCTACTACGGTTTACCCCATTATTTTAATGTACCACTTCTTTTAAAAACCAACTATTTAATTAATCTTCTCTTGTTGATTCTTTAATTATGTGGGTATCTATTCAGCAGTTAAAGAACTCTAGAGCTTATAGACATGGAGAGAGAAAGAGAGAGAAAATGAAAAAGATGTTAGCTATTTGGCACAAGATATATCTACATCTATATTAATATTATAAAGTGGAAAGATTTGTATTTTTGTGTGTATGTATGTTTGTAATGAGTAATCTCAAAAACTGCCGATTACAAAAAATCTTTTACCACTAGATAGCTACATTCACCCTGAGTAACATAGGCTATATTTATTGCTTGAAAAGATTAGGGATTCTTACTAAAACTTTAGTAACGTAACTCAAGGTGTAAAAAAATGCTATAAAATATCTTTCGTCGCGTGCACTGCGGAAACTATTGGTGATAGAACAAAAGTATGTTCTACAATATTGAAGAAAATATCAATTACTACAAAAAACTTTCGCGATACTGTATGTCCAACTATTATCGTTATGTCACAATAATCACTTTTTAAAATGTTGTAAAAATGTATGGCCGCTAGTAAATAATAAAGAAGAAAAACTCATAATAATAAAACTTTTTTTACAAATATATAAAATACATAACATACATTTTGTAAAATTATAACTATATATATATATATATATATATATATATATATATATATATATATATAAAAATAAATAATAATCATATTTACAATTATTCCACTCACAATAACGAGACGAGACGAGTAGGTAAGGTAGACCAGAGGGAGACTTTGTACAAAAGTCAATTGCTTGGGTACCTCTGTCCCATTCGTGTTTCAACCGTAAAGCAGTTATGTTTGCATGGCTGTGTTTCGGTTTGAAGGGTGGGATATGGCGTCTAAATCAGAATATTGTGAATTCATCACAATATTCAGATTTAGATATACGAGTATATTTAGCATGGAAATTAAGTTGGCTGCCCACCTGATAGAATGTCGTAATCATCGTATAGAAATGAATCTCAAAATACACTGTAGCCAACTCACCTCTTACACGAAGTATATAATAATACTCCTCGAGTATATAATAATGAATTTAGTGACGTGGATTTATTCTTTCAATCTAAATTGACATTTAAGAAGCTTGTTGTAAAAACTATGAGTGACGATTATAATCAATAAGTTAATTAGGTACTTGAGTAATATCTTAGGGTCGGTGTGATTGTATTTGCATGGTGTGAGTGGATGTGTGTGCTTTAATGTGTTATAATGGTAACAGGAGGTAGTGTATTCATGCAAACTCTGTTGTATTTATAAATGTATAAAATAAATATAGCAGTACTGAATATACTGTAACATACATGCATTGGTAAACATTTGTATTTGAGTGTCTTGTGATTGAATGTCTGTATTATACTTTTCCTTTTTTTGCTTTACTATATACTTTTTCTTTTGGTTGCCACTACATTAATGCATTTAAAAAAAAATGTTGATAGAGACAACCATCACATAGGAGTTGGAAAGGGATTTTATTTTTTTATTAGATGCTAATGGAATGGCAACCACACCCGCGCTATCGGTATACACTGGCGGAGCACCAGTGAAAGATGATAGGTGAGGATGAAGCAGGCCAGTTAGCCCCTCGTGACGAATTCAACAAGAATTGTTCACGATGGTTTCCAGGGGGAACCACGTGGAGGTCGATCTAATAGGGCACATTGCTAGCAAATGGGGCTGTCAAACTTCATTGCTAACAATTCCTGTCCCCCCTGGGAAAGGGATTGGTCTACCTGACTTGCTTTTTCATTCCCACTTATTATCTTTCACTGGTGCCCCGCCAGCGTATACCATTAGCACGGCTTGGGTCTGTAATTAATTTGTCATCCATTAAAAAAAAATTATGCCTACCTGAACCGGAAATGGTAATCTTTTTCTTTTTAAATTTAAATTCAATTGTAACCTATGTAGCTGCAATATTGTTATGTTGTTATTTTGTAAGAAAAATGAATATATACTTACTTACATTTTTAAATTAAAAAGAACAAAATTAAATAAATTATGAACACGTCTTTGTTTGTAAATATTATTGTTGTACATAATAATATTAGCTACTGTATTGTATACGTATGAGATAATGATAAGAGCTACTGGAATTAATACAATCGCGGCATTGTAATTTACTGAATAGCTATCTCATTGTTTTGGAGTAACCTTTAGTACACATGGTAAGCTTATTTAATCTTTTTATTGGGGCCGTTAGTGTAAAAACCTAAGATAACAATAATATGGGTAAAGTCACATAAGATCAGCTTCTCGTTGATGTTTTTTGTTACATTATGACATTTTATTCTGGAGGATTATAATAAACTTAATTTTAATTGTCTAAGAAACATATAGATTTTGTTCCGTAAAAAAAAAAAAACAGTTTTTTTTATTTAATAACCAAACAACTGAACCGACTGTGATGAAATTTACGGGATAAATGTGAAAGTATATCCTTTCCGATAAAAAAAAGTATTCTACAAATCGCTTAACAAATAACGGTGCTCTGAGACGATAAAGACAAAAAATTACAACTGAATTAAAAACAGCCTCCTCCTTTTTTTAAGTCGGTTAAGAATCGTTACATTCTTAAGAACATTATTTTTCTTTTTCTTCTTTGTATCTAAGGAAATCTTAATTTTAGAGATTACCTTACATTTTAATTTGCTTACTGGACGATGGTGGAATGGTAAGAACTTACAATCGTCTATGTTCATAATGTACAATGGTGGGTCTCCAATGGTGGATAAAATATTATGGATGAGTAAAGCCAGATGGCTTATTACTGTTACAACGAATTAACTAGGAATTATCAACGAAGGTATCCAGGAAGGGTAACGTAGTGGTTGACAATAAGCAACATCTTTAAATGAATAATAATGAAGTGGTCACCATGCTTGTGTTATTGGTATACGTTGGCGAGGCACCAGTGAGGTATGACAGGTGAGGATTAGAATAACACCAAGAATTAACCACTATGATTTACAAGCGGAACCACGTGGAGGTCGACCAGACATGCTATATTGCTAGCAAAGGGACCGCCAGTCCTTATTACTAAAAATCTCCTCACATAGACCCATAAGAGATTTTCAAATGGGTGATAATGGTATAATAATTTGGACCGCATTAACTTTATACGCTTTCTGGGGGATAGGATTGTTAGTAATGAGGCCTAACTGCCCCATTACACTAGCAGGTTGACCTCCACCAGATTCCCCCTGGAAACCATTTTGATTAATAATTGTTGAATTCGTCACGATGGGTCAATTGATCTGCTTCATTCTTACCTATTATCCCTCATTGATGCCTGGTCGGTGTATAGCGATAGGGGAGGTGGAGTTGTTATTTTCAGTTATTAAAAAAACGGTATACGTTGCCGGAGTACCAATTATGTAAGGTGAGGATGAAAAGGCATTTCGGTTAGCCTATAGCGATGAATTCACTGGGATTACCCACGGTGGTATTCAGGAGGAATCGCGTGGAGATCAACGTGATGGGGTATTTTGCTAGCAATGCTAGCAATTAGGGCTGTTAGACTCTATTATTAACGATTTCTTTTTCCTCCCATAAGAAATAGCGTACTGTAGACCACTGTTATGTTTTACTATTGCAAATTTTAGGAAGGATCGAAAAGATTTAATGTTGCCATTCTGGATAATATGAATCAATGGCGGTGTCATGAGCTAGGTCGTTGAGTCCCCTAAAATATGTTTGAGTACAATGATGGTTAATTCATCCATCATACTCGTGAATGGGTGCTGCTTGTCTGCTCGTTTGCTTTTTTATTTTCCATTTAATAATACATATAAATAGAACATAATTCTAATTATAGTCACAGTACCCATAACAATGTAAAATTATCTTGTACATAATAATTTAAAAATAGTATCTGTTAAGTTTCTTGCAGTTTCTTTTCGGCAGATAACATCCCGAATCCAGCAGAATTATTTCTATTATATTCTAATATAATTTTTACTTATAAACACATGTATAATTTAACATTGTCCTGAAATACAATGAGAATGCATTTTAACATAATTATCACTTAGCGTCGAATGTTAAAAAGAAAAATGCATAGTATGCACCTATTAACTTAGGAACCGTTTATTTTTGAAATTTTTTATGTGCCAAAATTTATATATGCCCCACACTTACGAAATATTACACAAATCATGAAATTTTAAGTCTTTTATTATTTTATTGGGCATTATGACATGTGATGTGTCTATTCAATCTTACAAGTCATAAATTTCTAAAGATACTGTAAATATTATCATTTATTTTGTGGGGTATATATATAGGATTTCTTGAAAATGTTGTTATATTATCGATCCACGAGGTAAGTACATATATTAGATCTAATAATAAATTAAATAAGTCACAGGGAGTCGAAAATAGGCAATTGCAGTTGTGTGAATCAATAGAATAGTTGATACTACAAAAGAAAATATTTATAATAAAATAACATTTATAATTAATAATTAAATAATTATATTTCTATTGAACAGTAAAGCTGAAACCATGAAATTCCTGGCTGTATTCGTTGCCGTGCTCGCCGTAGCCGCAGGCGCACGCCACAGGTGGACTCTGGGCGAGCTGTCCGAGGCCCTCCAGAATCCTACCACCAACCCCTCGCTGCTGCCTGCCCTCACCCAGGGGCTTAACGCTTACATGGAAGCCATCTTCTCTGGTCTCGACTATGTAAGTAAATTTATGGTTTTATATTTATTACACCACATGCAGAGAGAAGTGTAGACTGAAAGACGATGTAGTGACAAAAATCGAAAAAGGAATGTTGCATTGGAGAGGATGGATGAAAGAAGAATTAAGAAAGAAATTTATCGAGCAAGAATGAATGGAGATGTCGGTAGGGATCGCCCTAGACGGACGTATGTCGACCAAATAGGCGACGTGCTGAAGAAGGGTCAAATTAAAAGTACCCGTAACCGGCGAACGTGTATGAAAAGATTGATGAATGTGGAAGAAGTCAAAGAGATTTATTTGAATCGAAGCATTTGGCGTTCCATTGTTTCTGCCTACCCTAATAGGAGACAGGCGTGACAGATATGTATGTATGTATGTTCACCACATGCCATGAAATATAAGTTGACGATAGAGATGGGTTTCTTTATGAGACGAAAATGAAGTGGTAACCCCGCTTGCCAATTTAGACGTTGGCGGAGTACCAGTGAGCGATGATAAACGAGGATGAATTGAAATCAGTAGTGAAATAACGTAAAGTTGTAGTGACCAGCAGATTGTTTCCATGGAGGATTGCATGAAGGTCGACCAGACTGAGTATATTAGGGGCGTTAGATCTCGTTACTAATCATCTGCACCCCTGGATAATATGAAATGTGAGAATGCGTAAGTATTTACTACGAATACGTAAGAAACAAATTTATACGAGTACATAAGTAATTACTGTTACAGGAATACATCTACATCGGTACTGCCGCAATTGATCTGTCCAGCTGGTCTCTGCAAGAGCTTTCCACCGCTATAGAGAACCCCGAGACCGACCCTGCTCTCGTGCCTTACCTCAAGGATGCCTTGAACGCCTTGATGGAGGGTCTTTACACCGGATCTCCTCAGGTATATATGTATATGTATTTGCTTAAAATGGGTGTGTATTTCTTCTATGAAATATCAAACTATCAAAGAAAATTAATGTAAATAAAGTTCTATTATGAACAGGGTACTTATATATTTTATTCCAGCCTGCCTACTCCGTCGTCATCCCCGCCAGAGACCTCTCCTACTGGAGACTGAATGAGCTGTCCAATGCTTTGTCGAGCCCTGAGCTCAGCCACGATGTGGCTCCCTATCTGATTGAAGGACTCAACACTCTCATGGCAGCTAACTTCGCTGGTATTGACGCGGTATGTTATTTATATTATTCTTTTTGTTATAAAAAATTTTTGATAAGTGAGACAATAAATTTTTTCTTAACCAGGCTAGAAACTGATTAGTTATTTTCAAGTAACATCAAGATTAATTTGTTTTTTTTTTTTACACAGACATCTATAGTTTTGGCTATTCCCTTGGATACTCTGCCCACTGAAGCCTCCGTTTCACTCCCCGAGGCTGTTGTAGAGCTTGCACCTGTCAAGGCTAAGGTAAAATGCTGCACTTTTTATGACAAAGACATTTAGTAGTGCTTTTCAATACCATGAACGGTCCTCGCATCTCAGGATTCTAATTGTTTCGAGTGACATAAAAATAAAAGTTGTATTTACTATAAAATAAATTGATTATTCCTATTATAATATGTTTTAAATATGTATTGGTCCTAATTAAGTGTATAATTAATTCAACATTTCTTTTTTTCCGCAGTTGGCTGCTAGTCTGAAATCACTCTCGACCCCGTCCTCGACATCTAAAGTCTTACTTAATGAAATAAATAATTGAATATTTAATATATATTTTTATTTACATAAACTATTTTCCATTTTTTTTATTTGTGCAGTTGATAAAAAGTTTATTCAATTGGACATAAAGAACAAGTAGTTCTGAAATTAATACAATCACTTTAGACAAAGCTACCCTGCTTCGGTTTTATCGTAGTTAAACCCTATTGATTTATTAGGATTAAATTCCGACTAACTTGTAAGTGAATCTGGGAGTTAGGTACGAGTAAGTTCGCTCCTACCATATTGGATTCCAGAGACCTTGTTCTGTATTGGATTCGAATATTGCCCGACGAAATGCAGGCAAGTCGACAGTTACGTTGGTACGTCGCATCACAACTGCAACAGTTGACACAAATCGTGAGCTGCATATTTATTTACACAACAATAACATGACTTATTGAAAATCTTTGTGTACCTAGTATTGTTGTATGTTGTTATACCTATTTTAAATACACAATCGGGATTTAACGCGATGTAAAAGCTTTTACAGGTAAATAGTACTTACATACCGGCTTCGTGGCTCATTGTGGAAAAAAAGAAGCACTCTTGATTGTGTATTTAAAATATGTGTAAATAACGCGAAAGTTTAAAACTTACTGTTGCTATATCTATTAATACAATTTTAAGTCTATTACAAACATAATACAGCAAAACTAGTTATTTTTATTTAAAAACAAAACTACGGAATCGATTTTGATAAAATTTACATGGGACTAGTATGTTAATGTATCTTTTCAAATAAATAAAGAATTTTCAGTTTATAACTGCCGAAATTAATAGGTAACAAATATAAAGAAAAATACTTCCTTTTTTAAAAGTAAGTTGAACATAGATCCTTGTTGTTCGAAGTAAATATACTTAAATAACAAGAAAATTTATTGTTACGTTCTATGTTAGTCGATTTCTATGAGTACAATAAGCGATGCCAAATAATTTTCGACAAAAGCCATTTTAGGCTTTCAATAGCCAAGAAGATTACTTTCTATTATCCTTATTATCTAATATCTTCTATTCAAGCTCACCACAGTGATGACCAAAAACGTGAAATGGCAAGACGACGTGAGATGGATGATATTAGCTCTCTACTATAAAACACAACGACCACGATTATTCTCCTAAAACGTATTGAATAAGCAGAAGATCTATGTGCTCCTATAACGAGATTTATTTATTTATTTACGCAATAAGGTACTACATACAACTTTTACATTTTTTATAATACATACAACTTTTAAATTTTTTTTATACAACTTAGAATGGCAAACAAGCTGTCGGCCCACCTGATGGAAAGTGGTAACCGTCGCCTATAGACATTAGCAGTACAATGGACATAACAGAGTATACTGTTTCGCGCATGATACCTCCCATGCGTTGCCATTCCTGAGGACTCAGGTGTTATTCCTCTGTACCCTGTAAATTCACGCCATATCCCACCCTTCAAACCGAAACATAGCCATGCAAACACAGCTGCTTCACGGAAACACGAATGGGACAGAGGTATCCAAGTAATCGACTTTTGTATAAAGTTACATGCTACTTCATCAATAACACAAAAATAATTTTGCTTAATGTAAAATTCTTTCACAGGCGAACATAAGTTTAGATGAAATTTACACGAATACAGAGGTAAGATATCTAATTTCATACTAAACTTCACGGATATTACAATAAGCAAATAAGAATAAAAAACACTTGCAAATCACGGTCGTAAATCTTAAACGGTCTATAGAGATTTCATTTCTAAATATGTTAATGATTCAGTCTTAAAACGAGAATTAAATTCAGTAAACTTTGCTAAAATAAATAAACTCACACTTTTTATTTATTTTATCATTAAGTAAAAATGTAACTTCACTAAGAAAATAGATTGGCTGGTTTTCCATAATAAAGGATATCTAGAGCTATGAATAATTTCTATGTATATGATGTTTAATAATAACATGTTTGCATTATATGCATATTGCTTATAATGCAAAAACGTTGTTTGGCCTCTAACACTATCTACCAACTCCATTTTTTCTTATCGGGAACTATTCTTTCTCTCAAGTTGAATCTATCTATCAATCTATCCTATTTAAGAGCTGCGCTCTTGTCGGTGGAGCTCTTGCCACTCACTACGATTTTCAGCGAGTCTCTTCACCTCTTGATACGACACGACACAAACTCCTTCCTTGATCTGCCTGATGTAACTATGTCTCGGTCTCCCTCTTCCCCTCCTTCCTTCTATCTGACCTTTTATTATAATGTTCATAAGTTCGTCGTGTTGTCGTGTCGTCTCAAGTTGGATACACATTTACAAAATTTTAAGAGATTTTGGAGATTAGTGTGAACAAACACAGTAATACGGGATTTTCAACCAACTCCAAAAAGAAGGAGGTTTTCAATTTAGTAGTATTATTTTTTTCATGTTTATTACCTCTTAATTTCGTCAGGTTGTAAAACCGATTAAGATTTTATTTTACTTTTAATTAATCATATCTGGTTCTTTATTTGAAACAATTTGGTCCTATAGATATTTTTTCTAAATCGAACCGTTCAGTTCAGTTAGATTAGTTTTAAATCAAAGTAACTAGTTTTGCCTCAAGTTTGAACCTTAATTATTATATATTAAGATAAGTAAGGATATTCAATTTTGTATAAATAAGAGATGAGTCAGTCGTAGAAAATAGTTCTGGCTCGAAACGTTTTTCCTTTTTTATTATTAAATAAATATTTTTTTACCTTTATTTAAAAACTTTGTTTAGGATATTATGAATAATAAAAGTAAAACTTTCTAATCGAGATACGAGTGCTTATAATGCGCTTATGTCTATAGATAACTACACAGTCACAAAGTCTAGATATTATAATTGTAACTTTAGGATTGAAATTTCAGAAACGATCCCGTTACTTTAATATTATGTACATATATATATATATATATATATATATATATATATATATATATATATATATATATATATATATATATATATATATATATATATATATATATATATATATATATATATATATATATATATATATATATATATTGTAATTATCTTTATTAGTCTAATTTAAATGTTATTATTAACTTATGTATATTGCACAAAAATAGAATCCGCAATAATCGGAAGGTAAGACAAAGTATTAAACCGCTACTCCACCGAGGTATTTTAATATTAATAATATAGTTTGGAAGTAACCTTATCGTAACGTATTTAAATTACAATGGTTGTCAGATGTATATCAGATCAGAATAATCTATTGACAGGTCAATAGATTATGAAGCAATGTAAATCTTTTTATTAGAGGTGTTAGACATATTAATAGAAACTTTTGTTTATTATTATAATAAGGTTACAGCATCAACGTTCTATTGTTGGTTATTTGATTTTTGAGTTAATTCGTAAAATTTTGTTATTCTACTATTAGTAAGTGTGTGACTGTATTTGTGTTTGCACGGCTGTGTTTCGGTTTGAAGGGTGGGATATGGCGTGAATTTACTGGGTACAGAGGAATAACATCTGAGTCCTCAGGAATGGCAACGCATGGGGGGTATCATGGGCGAAACAGTATACTCTGTTATGTCCATGGTACTGCTCATGTCTATTGGCGACGGTTCCACTTTCCATCAGGTGGGCCGTCAGCTTGTTTGCCATTCTAAGTTGTATAAAAAAAAAAAAACTCTCAAAGATTGATTACCACAATTACTACAAGAATTTCCACAACCTTCCTCAGGAATAGCAACACATGAAGTGTATAATGGGCGAAACAGTATACTTTGTTATTTCTATGGTACTGTATATACGCGACGTTTACCACTATCCGTTAGGTGGGCTATCAGTTTGTTTGCCGTTCTGAGTTGCATAAAAAAAACTGAGTGGTTACAATTCAGTTGGCTGCGCTTGAATGTGGCCTAAGGTTCCCAAGATTAAATTTCAGCCTAAACCTCCGAGCTTTTAAAATGATGTTAGGATTGTGAAAAATTAATGTTACTTACCGCTAAGCCTTTGTGTATAAGAACGTGGCCTAGAACCTCTTAACACAAGGTGACTACCCGTGCCTACATGACTTTTATAAAACTTGAAATTGCGAACGGGCGATTTTCAACAGGTGCGACCCCTGTTGAAAGTGGTACACTTCGAGTCTCCAGAAAGGCCGCATTGTGAAGTATCCACTGAAAAATGTGTGTACAACTTCTGTGAACCGAGAGAAGTACATTTCGAGCCTCAAAAAAAAAAGATTTTTTTTTATTTTTTTTTAATTATATTTTATTAATTTATTCTGTAAGATATCTTGTAGAGCAGATCATTAGAGCTTTTTAACTTTAGTGAAACTGAAAACCTAAATTTCAGATCTAGTTATCCTGAATCATAAGTCAGGATTTGTGTCCTTATTTTTGTAGTTTTGGGTGATAAATTACATTTTGCTATACTAAGCTTTGTTATTTATTTATTTTTTAGTACAATATATGTGTACAATGCGGAGTTAGTGCTATAAACATTCTCTCTCAGGCAACCTTAGGGAGGTGTAAGAATGCTTGGATATATATCTATCGAAACATTGTAGCAATAGACAAATGATTGGTAACATCTATTTGAAAATTTATTTTAATATAATCACTAAACAAAAATTATAGGTTCATTATTACAGATTGTAGCGAATACAGAATCCATTTCAAATTCCGATGTTTATGGTATGAATTCACATGAATGAACACCATAGATGAACAAAGACGATCTACGTTCGGAAACACAGTACAACGCGAATCTCTTTTATTGTGATGACATTTAACCTTTCCATTTACTCTGTACAACTGTATCGCTTTGAGATCCGTCCATGGATACCTTCAGCATTATTCTACACACCCACATTTTAAAAGCTTTTAATTTCGCTTTAACTGCTCTATTATTTTAACAAGATCTTGTTTTATGTAGTATTTTATCTCTGTAGGGTAATATCCTTGTTCATTAACAATGTAGCTACTATTCTATAGTTTGATCTTACAACAATGTATTTAGTTGTTGAT